GCTTCGTACTTCCTGGTCACAATACCATAATTATGGTACCCCTGTAGCTGGCAACTTCCGTGGCTCTGAAGGTGTTTCTGCCCTTGTTTCCCCGGATTTTCCGCTCACTGTCACTCCTTTCCCTTTGGCCACAAAGTATGCGCTTGGCCTCCGCTTGGGTTCCTCTCTTCGCCTTGTTTGTCTTTACCTTCCCCCCACCCTCTCTCTTGACGCCGTTTCTACAGCCCTTTCCTCTATTCCGCTTGCCGATGATATTATCATTTGTGGAGACCTGAATGCCCGCCTTGGTACTGTCACTGGAGATCGCATCAGCAATCCACGTGGTCAGTTACTACAGGATTGGGTCACCGAACGTTCATTATCAATTCTAAATATTTCCCTCGCTTACGGCATACCCACGTATCACACTTTCCGCCACAGCCAAGTCCACAGCAGTATCGTCGATTATTTCCTCACCAACCTCCCCACGCTTCCCCACTCATCCCTCCATATCTTCTCTGATCTTTCCCTCGGATCTGATCACAAGTTAATGTCGTTATCATTTGTATATACCCTTCCTGATCCATCCACCGATTACTACACTCCTTCACCATCTCCCCGCCGTCTCTGGAACCTCTCTCGTCTTAAAGAACTTGATGTCCACCAGCTGTACGTTGCCTCTTTCCGCTCCTTTTCCCAACCACTACATGAGAAGCTTCAACAGCTCTCCTCTGATCCACCCGCCACCCGACCACCCATTGATCAACTCAATGACGACCTCAACAACGCCATTTATTCCGCTTTGGATAAATCGGTTGGTGCTCGTGACCCTCGGCCCCGTCAATGGCAGTCATTTTGGAATGCTGACTTGCAAACCATGGCTGACCATCGAGATCGCACCTACCGGCGGTGGCGTCGTGCCATTGGCATTGACAAAGCTGTCTGGTGGGATGAACACCAACAGGCTGCCCGACGATTTCGAACCGCCGTCCGCCGCGCGAAAAGGCAAGCTTGGCGTGCTTTTTGTGCTACTGTGGCTCGTGGGGATTTCCCCCAAGCGATGTCCACGATCAAGTCCATCCGAAACCGCCGCCGCCAACAAGTCCAATTCACCCACCCTGATGGTCCAGCCGCTGGTGCATTAGCCATGCGTGATCACCTGGCCTCAGTATATTCTGGTTCGGGTTTACCCTCGTCTCGCCCACCATCTTTGCCGCCATCCACATCTTCCCTTCCTTTCGCTATTTCCCCATCCACCCCTCACGTTCCTTTCTTTACTCCAGATACAGTTGCCAAGACTTTGGATCGACTCCCTCGGCGAAAAGCTCCCGGATCGGATCATATCCGTTCTGAGATGCTTATGCCCATCCAGTCTGTGCTTTCCCCCCTCCTTTCCTTTTTGTTTAACCTCTGTGTCCAATGGGCATACGTTCCCTCCCTTTGGCGTGAAGCGCAAGTCGTTCCGATCCACAAAAAAGGCGATCCCTCCCTTCCCAGCAATTACCGCCCGATTTCTCTGACTTCCATCATCCGAAAACTTTTCGAAATGTGTCTCCAGCCCTTTGTGGAACTCGCTGCTCCTCCCCTTGATGTGTCCCAAGGCGGCTTCCGGCATCAACGTAGTGCGTTGGATCAAGCCCTCTGCTTGCATGACTTGATGCGCGCCTACCGCGATCGCCATAACCATTATCCTGTTGTTGCATTTCTGGACATCAAGTCCGCCTACGATACCGTCGATAGACGAGTTATCTGGCAAACTCTCCTTTCTTTTTCTGCTCCTCCGGCTTTGGTGTCCCTTCTCGCCCACATGTTTGACGATGTTTCAGTCACAGTTCTCCTCAGCAACCACATCTCCTCTCCTTTCGTTCCTGCAACTGGTGTCCTTCAAGGCTCAGTCCTCAGTCCGTTCCTTTATTCAATTTATATCAACACTTTGCCTGTTCTCCTCCGTTCCGCTGCTTCCCGATCTACAACTTCTGTCCTCTCTTGTTCGCCTTCTCGTCCGCCACCCTACAACGCTTCCTCACCTTTCGGTCTTCCATTTGGCCCCACGTCCACTGCTTCGTCCGATCCTTCGCCCACTCCCATCAACTGTCTGTTGTATGCGGACGATGTGGCCCTCATTGGGTCCGCTCGCGAAGTCCAACATATGCTGTCGCTTGCTGAGGCTCACTCGGTTGCTCTTGGTTACAAATGGAGTCCATCCAAATGTGCCATCATTAATGCACCGGTACCCAGTTCCCGCAGCTATGTTTGTTTAAGTCTGTACAATGAGTCCCTCCCGCCTGTTGACGAATTTGTCTACCTTGGTGTGCCATTCCGTTCCAAAGGTATCGATGCCTCTTCCATGATCCGTCACCGTGCGCAAAGTACATTTCTTGCAATGTCCCAGTTAAACGCCATGGGCCTTAACCGTAATGGTTTTCCGCTGCTTTTCTGTACGCGTATCTACGCTGCATTCATCCGCCCCAAGCTCGAGTATGGTTTGGCCATTTCTCACCTGCTCAAAAAAGAGTATGCTGAACTCGAACGTGTGCAAGATCGTTGTCTCCGGATGATCGTTGGTGGTCATCGGACTTCCTCAACCCAGGTGCTCAAGCACATGTGTAACCTTCCCAACATGTCCTTCCGTGCTGACACTCTGGTGTTAAAATTCTGCCTTCGTACTGAATACCTTCCAGACGATTGCCTCCTCACACTCCTTTCACCTTCCATTCGTTTGTCTCTTCTCTCCCGTCTCCGTCAGCGACAGATTGTTCTTGATCATCCTGCGGATGACTCCTCCAATTCCCGTCTTGTCTCTTGGCTGCGTCAATATCGCCAGACTCATTTTACCGCTTTTCTTGCTTCTACCGATCGTGTGCTCATTCGTGCGTGCCGACCTTCACTCGAAATTGATCCTGTCCTCTTTGTTCCTGCCTCTCGGCCTGACCGCAGTCGCCTTGTGCGATGGCGAATGGGTTGGTTGCCAGGTAAACCCCGTCCCTGTGCTTGCGGCTTTGGTGATACCAAACGGCAGCATTTAATGCTTTGCCCTAAGATCCCATCCATACTCTGGTACAGCCTCCCATTTCCGCCATCAGATTTTACTGGGGTTCGTATCGATTACGCTTTGAATCTGTTGCCCACTTCTCGCTCTGCTGCGCCACCTCGTTTCTGGTCGGATCTTTGCACCATTCTTTGGCACATTGATCAACTCTGCAATCCCGACGGTGACTACACCACCGATCCTACCCCCGGCCAAGTCTGGCTCGATCTTTTTGTTTCTGGCCCTAGTGAACAGTGCCCGGATCTCCCTCTGGCCTCTTCCTCCCACTGCGACAACCATTAAGCACGTTGCGGAGAAAGACCATGGTGTTGAAAGGTTACTTACTAGCTAGCGGATCCCTCCTGTAATTTCATTTTAGATTTTATTTTGTTTTCCTTTCCCATCTTTTTCCTTTTTCACCTTTCTTGCGACTCGACGGGTGTTTTTTTTCGTTTTCCCCTTTTTTTTTTCTCCTTCTGTTCACCTGAGGTTTGGTCTGTAGAGGGCTTTCCCCAAGGCCGATCGTCCATTCCTCTAATAAACTTATACATTTTCGACTGAGCTAAGCGAGCTTTTTCTTATTTCAGCGATCGCGAATATAATGATAAATACAAAGCAACATAGATCACGTGATCAAGAAATCCTCTCTTCTGATTGGTTAAAACTGCTTTTTTGCCGGACCATAAAATGTTTGTGACGGGTGTCCGGCGCGGCCTTCAGTATCTTTCGTCAATTTTTGGGAGGGATTCTGGGAAGCTTTTTTTTTGGGGGGGGCCTGAATGGTGCGGCAAGTCAGTCGTCGTCTGCCATTTCGTTTTGTGGCCTGAAAACTACCTGAAGGAGCGAATATACCTTAAATATGAGTTTTATCCGTTGTGCTGCTCCTGATTTATCACAACTGGTAAGCGGTTTCCGCAAAAAAACAATAAGATCAATATCACCGGTCCTGTCAATGTAATTTTAAGGCAACATCAGTTTCTATACCATGGCTCCTAATAAATTCCTGGTATTTGAAAATATCAAATGTGTCAGGCGTCTGTGGCAGTTATTTTCGGTATAGGCATGTTTTGTTTCCCATATTATTGCTGGAACTTGATTAATGTGGTTTTATTACATTTGATCTGCATATCGTAAATCGACCTTCCTATCCCCTTTCTCTCTGGCTTAGGTATATCATTTCTATATGCGTCCAGATATTCTTTGAAACTGTCACTCTATTGTTCTCGGGTTCAGATATCGGTGTAGCTATTCGGTAACGCGGGTTTAAAGAGGATACATTAATTGGAGATCATTTTAAATGTCTGTGATCCAGTCTCCTTGGCATCCTGGGCTTTCTCAGCTGGTAACTGATAACTCACTGATGGCCTAACCGCCTTGATATTCATTGGTCTGTAGTCTTCCCTGATACTGAAGAATCACTGTCACTGATATCGTTGTCAGAGCCGAAAACTTAGCAGAGAGTTCTCATTCAAAGGTCAAAAGCAAAAATGCTGGGTAATTTCCCTCCTTCTTTTCCCGGAATCTTCATTACCTGCCATTCGCTTCTCAAGTGTCGTAAACTACGTTGTTGATTTCCGCCTGGGATTCTTTTTTTTTTCTGCTGATTTGGCCGCATTTCTAGATAATATCGTATTGCTGATCTTCCTTATTTATCGCACTCGCTGACATATAACTATTTGTGGGGTAATATCACTGCTAAACGCGACGGCAATGCTCGTGATTAGAATAAAACCACCAATCAGCTACTGCCTATTTAATCTCTCTCGATAATCCTTTTTTTTTCTTTTTGCACAGGGAAAAAACAAGCTCATCAGCATGGTCGAATACGTGTCCACTAAGCTCTTGTTTCCTCATTATCAAATTATCAACTCCGCGTCTTGTTCAGATCTTTATCTTTGTATAACATGATCACAAAGTCGCTGTCACTGATCGCTCCATCACTATTTGCCTTGTGCCTTAATCGCCGATTCCTCTATTTCTGCCATCTTTCACCATGTCGACCTCGGAAACCCTCATATTGCAAGCAGCTAACGTTAACCCATTGGGACACAACTCCTGTCATACCTCAATTGAACTGTCAAAGCCAACAAGCGTCTCTGATCCGCTACCCAAAGACGGACTCAAGGAGGAATCAAGTACTGCCACGGATTCCGCTTTGAAGAAGCCTGTTAGTACCCTCAATCCCAATGCCCGTCCTTGGAAGCCGTTCTGGAGTGCTGAACTCCAAGTTTTGGCGAATGAGCGTGATCGTATGTATCGACGATGGCGTCGTGCCGTTGGTCTCTACAAGGTCTATCCTTATCTCGCGTACAAAGAAGCTCGTGATACTTTTCAGAAAGCGGTCCGAAGTGCAAAACGACAAGTGTGGCGTGCTTCTCAAGATACAGTGGCAAAAACGCAAATAGAAAAAAAAATGATCAAGCTTTGTGAAAGTGTTGTATTTATCTATCCAGGTGAAAAAAGGATCCGCATTCATGTATGGTTTTGGGTCCACTTGTAAATTCACTATGCAGAAAAGATGCTAGGTGATTTGAGATGGCTAGCCATGTGATCTTTTTTTTTTTTTTTTTTTTTTTTTTATAGTTGGTCAGCCATGTCTCCGTATGCGAACATGCCTTTTTCCTCTCAGTTCACGAACCACGCATACGTTCAAGACAATCTCGATTTCGTATACAATCACGGCTGTCCTCGCCTCAGGAGATATAGGTTACAAGGCTCTTATTTGAGAACCTTCCCCGTAAAGTTTCGAATTCGTACCGCAGTAAGTCGACCAGCAAGTGCAGCTATGTATTCCACTTTGACTATAGCTCTATTTCTTCTAGACTCGTGTATCCCGGGCTACTTTTTCCTGGCGACAATCCTGTTCTCGGTTCCTCAACAACTTCATCAATGGCGGGAACACCGAAAATCAACCTGTACATATTCTCGACAATTAAACTTTTTTTTTATTTTTTAGAATTCATGCTATCATACGTATCAGTTATGTAGATCTGTGCCATTTTTTAGGTCTCATCAATGATCAATAATGGTATTTTGTAACCCTAGATCCAGGCACCTTTAGCACAGATGTAATTTTTCCAACACGTCTTTTCGCGTTGAAAAAACTGCCTCCCGTTATCGACCCGATGCTTATTGGCTTTGGGTCAAGTCTCCCACCATTTGGCAACTGTGCCGTGTTCTGCCCTTATTCTAACGGCTTTTCTTTTGCCTGACTTTTGTCTGAGGCATGACTTTGATGATCCCGATTTTTCTCTTTTCTCTTCTTCTCCCTGTTGATATTACTGTACCCTCCAATTCGCGACGAGCCGAGTTGATAAACACAGAAAACCACGATTCGTTTGTCATGAAAATGAAAAAGGACGATTGTGACTAGAAGACAAAACCTGGGTATACGCAAGTTTCGAAAAAAAAAGCATACCTAAAGAGCTCGACACCATTAGTTATAGGTCAGATTATGCAAATAAAGGCGTAGCATAGCAATCGACGGCGATGCAGATGACTATGACCGTGCTCTGTCGAAAATGCGGCACAGAAAACATGGTATTATTTTAGCGACGTTTGCTCAATGTAGCCAGTGATACTTGATTGTTATGAGTATTGAGCGTCATTACACTGGCTGATGATGCGATCCAAATAATCAAATCGTTGTGGAAACAGGATGATAATACGTAACTGGGCCACAAGTCTACTTTATATCATGCAGAATGGTTGCAGACACAGGTTCTACATTCAAGTCAGCTACATTTTAGAACAGAGGAAAGGCAAATATGAGGGAATGTTAGTAAAAAAATGCCATTTGGCGAAAAGAATATCAAGACTGGAGATAGTGAAACGTCAGCAAGGAGCATACTGATCTTGTATCATGTTGCACGATCCATGCACATGGGAAAAATATACCAATCATTGGCTTAAAATAAGCCAAAATGGATTTCCGTTACAATAACAAAGCGGTCCAAATTGATGATGGCAATTTCAGTAAGCTCAAATATTCCATATCAGTTGGTATATTTGGATGACGATGATGATGATGTTTATGATAAAGGTACATCCTTGATACATTTTATGGCAAAAAATGGTTTGTGCGCACGTGATGGACATGAATTAGCTGGGTAGCTTCAATTGAGCTCTCAAACTGATAGAGCTGCTGTTATCAATCAAATACAAGGCGAACCGACCTGTAAAAACTTATTGGAACAATGGGATGCCACCAAGTCCAACAATCACGGAACAATCAAAACTTGGGACCGTTTCTGATTGGCATTTAGGGATACATCTGTTATTCATTGCGCTTCAGCCAATCACATCGCTTAACATGTTCAATCAGATCTCTTGGTGTATTGGAACGCCGCTTCAATTCAGGATTTCCGACATTGTTGTTTGGCACATCGAAACTTTATGCGTCGAACCGCGTTTCTGCTGTTCATCTAAAAGAGGCAAAACGACAATATCCATTCCAACGCCCTATACCAAAAATCAACTGATTGGAAGGGACATTTTGCCAAAAGACAATATTCACGCTTCATTGACGTTATGGAAAATGGTTAATAATTTTCAACGTGAGAAAAGTAAAGAAAATGTGTCAAACACACAAGTAGCGAGTGATTCGCTGATGATCTTCATCAGTTATTTGAGAGAAAATAGATGAAACATGGAAAGACGAGCCGAAGGGAAAAAAAATATCTAGTTTAGATCTGCGTGACATTAGGGAATAGTTTACAGCCAACCTGGGGGGGGAATCTCAATTTTTTTTTCAATAGATCTCCTTTTGAAAAAGATGGTCCTGCATGAGTGGCCCTGAGTTTCATCCTACGAAACCGACGTATCTCACCACATGTCATTTTACACTTTCTTCAAACTCCGTTTATAAGTCAATGTGGTCGACCACCGGCGTGGAAGACAGTAAAACAAGGGCAAACATGGATGATGAATAGATGAACACGTTGTTATGATCATCGTTGAGAAAACTGTCATACGTAAATGGGCATAAAAACCAAAATAAAGTTGATAAGGTTAAAAAAAAAGCTGATGTGTAAGGTTGGAGTTTGCAGGAGTTCATCTCAATCTGGTTTTTTATGGCATTGAGATAACTTCATTGGCCAGTTATACAAAGATGAGATGGCTCGCAATGCAGTCCAATTATGTTCAAGATCATGGGCCTCAGTTAAAACAACTATATATAAAGCCAAGTTCATGCCAATTCTATTTTTTTTCCACTTATCTTCCATCCATTCTTCATTTTTTACTATGGTCGTTGCTACCAATCTCGGTTTCCCCTACGTCGGTGCTAAACGTGAGCTCAAGAAGCTTATTGAATCTTACTGGTCTGGTAAGATCTCTGAAGCCGACCTCAAGTCCGGTTACGAAAAGATCCAAGCCGACCACTGGAAGTTGCAAAAGGAACAAGGCTTAGAACACATTCCCTCTGGTGAATACACTCTCTATGACCGTGTTCTCGATACCGCTCAGCAATTCGGTGCTATTCCTCAACGCTACCAACACATCAAGAACCCTCTCGAACAATTCTTCGCCATGGGTCGTGGTCTTCAAAAGGCTGCCACCGAAACCACCGAAAAGGTCGACGTCCCCGCCATGGAAATGAAGAAGTGGTTCGACACCAACTACCATTTCATTGTCCCTGAATTCGAACAGGACCAAACTTTCACTCTTCAGGCTCCTCGTGCCGTTGAACAGTTTAAGGCTGCCAAGGCTCTCGGTATCCACACTCGTCCCGTCTTGGTCGGTCCCGTTACCTTTCTTCACCTCGGTAAGGCTGCCAAGAACGCTGGTGAATTCGATACCTTGTCTCTCCTTCCCAAGGTCTTGCCTCAGTACGTCGAACTCCTCAAGCAACTCGAAGCTGCCGGTGCCGACTGGGTCCAGATTGACGAACCTATCCTCATTCTCGACTTAAAGGACAACGTCAAGGCTGCTTTGGAAACCGCTTACAAGACTCTCAAGGCCTCAACTTCTCTCAAGTTGTTGGTCGCTGCTTACTTTGGTCGCGTTGAATCCAACATCTTGTCCGTCAAGGATCACGTCGATGCCATTCACTTGGACTTGGTGCGTGCTCCCGAGGAACTCGATACCGTTTTGCCTTTGCTCACCAACAACCAAATCTTGTCTCTTGGTCTCGTCGATGGTCGCAACATTTGGATTAACAACCTTGCCAAGTCCTTGGAATTGGCCGAAAAGGCCATTGCTGCTCTCGGCAAGGACCGCGTCTTCATTGCTCCTTCTTGCTCGCTCGCCCACTCTCCCTTCTCCACTTCGTTCGAAAAGAAGATCCAAGAAAAGAACCCCGAACTTTTCAGTTGGTTGTCTTTCTCCGTTGAGAAGTGTGCCGAAATCGTCACCATTGCCAAGGCCTTGAACGAAGGTCGCCAAGCCGTCCAGGGTGCTTTGGAAAAGAACGCCGCCGCCGTCGAAAGCCGTCGTACTTCCCCTCAGACCACCAACCCCGCTGTCCGTGAACGTGTGGCTCAAACTCCCGCCTCGGCCTGGAAGCGTCCCTCTGCCTTTGCCGTTCGTCGTGAAGCCCAGGTGAAGAAGCTTAAGTTGCCTCTTTTCCCCACCACCACCATTGGTTCTTTCCCCCAGACCAAGGAAATCCGTGTTGCGCGTCAAAAGTTCAACAAGGGTGAACTTGCCGAAGATAAATACAACGAATTCATCAAGGCTGAAATGAAGCGTGCCGTCGAATTCCAAGAAAAGGTCGGTCTCGATGTCTTTGTCCACGGCGAACCCGAACGTAACGACATGGTCGAACATTTTGGTCACTTGTTGCACGGTTACGCTTTCACCGAAAACGGCTGGGTTGTCTCTTACGGTTCTCGCTGCGTCAAGCCCCCGGTTATCTTTGGTGATGTCTCTCGCAGACGCCCCATGACCATTGACGAAATCGTCTATGCCCAATCTTTGACCCAGAAGCCCATGAAGGGTATGTTGACCGGTCCCGTTACCATGATGAAGTGGTCCTTTGTCCGTGACGATATCCCCGCCAAGGATCTCTGTGCTCAAATTGGTCTTGCCCTCCGTGACGAAGTCGTTGACTTGGAAGCTGCCGGTATCCCCTGTATCCAGGTCGATGAGCCCGCTATCCGTGAAGGTCTTCCCATCCGTCGTGCTGATTGGGATGCTTACCTTGACTGGTCCGTTGCTTGCTTCCGTCTCTCCACCGCCGGTGTCCGTGACGAAACTCAGATCCACACTCACATGTGCTACTCTGACTTTAACGATATCTTTGACGCTATCGCCGCTTTGGATGGTACAGTATTTCTTTATTGTGTTTTCAATTTATTTTCTGTTTATACTAAAACTTTTTATGTATTTCAGCTGATGTTATCACCATTGAAAACTCCAAGTCTGATGAAAAGTTGTTGAACATCTTCGAAACCAAGCAGTACACCAACGAAATCGGCCCCGGTCTTTATGATATCCATTCTCCCCGTGTTCCTTCCGTTGAAGAAATGAAGCAGCGTTTCGGCGATATGCTCAAGTACCTTCCTGCTCATCTGTTGTGGGCTAACCCTGACTGTGGTCTCAAGTCCCGTGGCTGGCCCGAGGTTGAGGCTGCTTTGATCAACATGGTTGAAGTTGCCAAGTACTACCGTGCCCAGCACCAGCAGTAAATTGTCTTCCGGTTGCCAACAACAACAACAACAACTTTAGAAAAAACTCCTCCGTTCAACTTCCATTTCCCGGCATTTCATTCTCAACAACAATTTGCCATCAAATTTACCCGAATTTCAACATTCCCCGTTCAAAAAAAAATCCCTAGAAAAACTTTTTTTTTCTCCCTCCTCTTCATCCCAAAAGATCTTTATGTAAAAGTACTCAATTTGATTAAGGGTTATGTTGATAATCTGTATTGTAGATAGATAGAATTCTTTCACTAGTAAACGTCTTTTGGGCTTTGAAAAAAGCTCTTGCTTTTTTGTACATTATTGCTTTAATCTCGACTTTTTTTTGTGTGCCATGTTGAATCGTTCATAAATTGTGCACAAACCGCAAATAGAAAGTTGTCCAGTTCCTTTATTCTACAAAGATCTCTCTGATTTAGAAAGCTATTTGCCATCAATAAGCAGCAGCTCGATATAGTTTCTTCGTCGTAAATTGAGATTTTAAGTGCAGGCAGATGGAAAAAAAGTTCCTTGTCCTTTCGGAATATGTCATTATGGATCTGCTCTTTAAAAGGTCCTAGTTGGAAAAACCTAATGACAAGTATGATCGGAGTGCAATCAAGTGTGACCAACAAGCATAAATCTGTTAAATCCTTGATGACCATGGAGTTTATCATCTAGCTGTTACTGAAGACTTTAAACTTCAATCCTTTTTGATCCATAAGGTAACGTCATCGGCTTTGGTATTTACCGTTAAAGTTAAAGGATCATCATGGATGATTGGGTAATTTCTTGGTCGTAGTGCGACGGATGAACTAAAATCTTTCGCCGACGAATTCAGGGGAGTGATATGCAGCAAAAAAGCGTCGCCATGGCTGGAGCAAAAAAAAAGGAAAGTCATCTAAAAATTTAAGCGAGTGGGACATTCGGCCCGTCCTGGTTTTCTCAGGTTTTTTTTTTTTTTTTTTTTTTTTTCTACTGTATCCGCGTTTGTTTTCATTTTCTTCATTCGTCCTTGTATTTGTAACACAGAAATGCATATCGTGAGATATGTGCTCCAATCCATGGCGCCCGCTCTGTTATTCATTATCGTCTCTATACCTACCAAACGACGATCCCTGTTTCAAGAGCTCATCCTTTTAAGTCTGTGGTTAGCCGGTCTTATCACTCCCATTTACTATGCGGGTCAATTTTCCTACATCAGCTCCATCAGTGTTTCCGTTTGGTGCTGGGCAACCGGTTTAAAGATGGCGGTATGGTTGTTCTGCATGAGCATGGACGAACGTAGAAAACGACTGTTCTTGTGGACATTGTTTCATTGGCGAACGCGATCCGGGCCTTTATCCATTGTTGCTAAACCAGACGAATACGTCGACTTGCCCCTGATGCCATACGTGTGGGACTGTGTACGGCACCAATGTTACTTTGAACTGATGGTCATGTCCTTCCGCTGGCTCGATGCTCAACGACCGATTCACATTTTCCAGCACGCGCTAGGGATCGTGCTAAGTGCATTCTATTACCCTGGTGGAGGAGACTGGCTCCATCAGAATCCAACCATTACCATCGATGCCGTTCTAGTGAGCTTTGGCATGTGCATCCTGTTCTCCATTTACTTGCAAATGCAGATGCAGGTGACGTATGACGCATTCATGGCCGGTTGCTGCGCTGCCTATCGAGCATTTCCTTATTTGGAACAACAATATCCGCAGCACCAACGTCGTATACGACAAGTGAAAGCGTATATCGAAGACACCGTTACCATGCCACCCATGTTTGATGCCCCTTGGAGTGCCACGTCGTTGCGCGATTTTTGGTCGCACCGCTGGCACAAGTTTTATCACGATTCCTTTTATCGCCTTGGGTTTGTGCCCGTACGAAGAACTTTGGATTGGATTGGTGGACCTCATGTACCGCGATCGTTGCGCCGTATCTTGCCTGCGTTGGCCGTCTTTTGCTTCAGTGGAATAATGCACGAGTATTTCCTCTATTGTGCAGCCGGGCCTAAACTCTATTTTGGGAGCCCTCTTGGCGCGGGGGGCTGGCAACTGATATTTTTCGTGGTTCAAATTTTTGGTATCATTATTGGCGATCTGTTTTTCCATGAAGGCTGGGCTGGGTCGCTGTGGGCGATTGCATACATGGTGTTCACGTCTCATTTATTCGTCGTACCTTATTTGTTGCTGGACAACTTCTCTTTTGCTATCGTCAGCATGACGCTCAAAGCTTTTTTACAATAAAATGAAACACTGCCATGATTTTGTCATTTATTTCTTATCAGCCTTCTGCCACTGGTCTAAATTGTCAGAGCCAGCTGAGACAAGTTTTCCTTTTTTCTCTTCCGCCCCAGAAGCATCAACTCCGACCAGCATTTTGGGAAGCCTAGACAAAGTTCTGACATGCTTGTAATGAACCTCTTTTTCCGCTCTTCTTTACTTTTTTTCTTTTCTTTCGTCTTTTTCCATTGTAAAAAAATCCAAAGGAACAACAAAAAAGACTACTTTATATTTTTTTATACTAATTATTTTGATATCCAAACACTTCATCCATACCTTCCATTCTCGGTATGCAGTCCCATCCTCATTACGATACGAACAATACCTGGTCTCCGTCACCACCTTTGCCGCCTCCGCACCGAGATTATCCTAGCTCCGGTTATCATTCACCCAGTCCGCTGCTCGATTCCTCCGCTCACCAACCAGGTAATGGTCCGTGAAATCTCGGTCACTTCATTCCCTTGGACCCAGAGATGCCGGGAAAAAAAATTTCTGGTCCCTGAAGCAGAATTTCTCATCCATCGAGAAAAAAATCTAGGTTTTCGTCATATACCAAATGGGGATTATCCGAACGGCGACATGGAAAAGAGTGAACACAAGCGGAAGAGAAAGCGTATGGCCGACCGCAACGGTTGTGCACGTTGTCTTTGTTGCGCATGTTGCTTGCCACTTTGGGCCACTTGTATTCTGTGGTTTATTATCATTGCTATTATTATCGTCGTCCTCGTATTGGGAACGATTTTTGCTACTTTTACCATGCCAACCATTGACATGGCCGGCGTCACCTCCAGTCCCAACAACGGGTCTCAGATCTCTTTCCACGATGATACCTTTAGCATCAACTTCGGCTTGTTAATTCACATCAACAATCCCAACTTATTGAAACTTAAGCTTTCCAATATCAATGCCACCGTAAGTATCACCAATCAGTGTCGTCCGATTTCACCTCAAGTAGAAACCAACTTGATTTGGGTATAGGCATATTATCCGCCGATCCATGGATCCTCAAAGACACCGGTGGGAGGTGGTTTTGTCCAGCACCTGGACGTACCGAAATATACCGATTTCAACTTTACTTTTCCATTTGCGATTGTATACAGCCCTACGTTCGATCGTGATCAAAGTGTGCTCAATAGTATCGCCAATAAATGCGGTTTGACCGGTGGGTCCGTACAAGATATCACAGTAGACTATACGATCCAATTGACTGCCAAAGTATTATTTGTCACGGTTCATCCGACCATTGACAGCAGTTCCACCTTCAAATGTCCATTGACGGTAAGTGAGGGTAACGCATATAAGTGGCCTATTTTTAGACCCAGTTTTCTGACATTTTTGTTTTTTTTGGCATTTTTTTTTCTCGATATAGAACAATGGATTGCCGTCCCTTGATGACGGTTTGCTTAGTGGGTTCTAAGTTTTTTTTTTTATTCTTTATATTTACCTATTATTTTGTATCAATATCTGTATTTTACTTTTGTCCATCGTTTTATTTTACTTTTTTTGCATAGCATTCCCTTATATTTCAATCAGCCACTGATTACTGTCTTTTTTACAGTTTTCGCAATAGCCAATCAAATCCAATCGTAATAAACATGAGTCACTTTGATCGCATACCAAAAAAGTAAGCGAAGTAAAAAAAAAAATTGAATCAAAGGGTCCTTTTTTACTGGTCAAGTCTTCTTTTTTTATATTTTTTTTTTCCTTTCTGTTACTTACGTTGAATTCATTATGAAGTACCGATCAACTCGCGGGCAAGCCAAGGACTATACCTTTGAGGAAGCCGTTATGGCTGGACTGTCACCCGATGGTGGTCTGTTCATTCCTCACCACATTCCCGCTTTACCTGCCAACTGGCGTTCTCAGTGGAAAAACCTTTCTTTCCAGCAGTTAGCCGTGGAACTGCTTTCCTTGTATATCGATGCCTCGGAAATCCCTCGTGAAGATCTTCAAACGCTCGTTGAACGTTCCTACTCAACATTCCGTCACGACGATGTCACTCCTCTGGCCAAAGTGCGAGACGGTTTCTATGTCATGGAACTGTTCCACGGTCCCACTTTCGCCTTCAAGGACGTCGCACTTCAATTCGTTGGCAACTTGTTCGAATATTTCTTACGTCGTCGCAATAATGCCGAACCTGAAGGCAGCAAGAATAAGCACCGACTCACCGTTGTAGGCGCTACTTCCGGGGATACTGGCAGGTAATTTTTATTCGAACTGGGAAGGTTAAAGTGATAAAGATCTTTTTCCTTTTTGGCAAAACTGATTCGGGTATTGATATGGATCTTTTTTTTTTATTAATCTAGTGCTGCTATCTACGGTTTAACCGGAAAGGAAAATATCGATGTTTTCATTCTTCATCCTCGTGGCCGCGTGAGCCCTATTCAGGAAGCGCAAATGACGACGGTGTTGGATAAGAACGTTCACAACTTGGCTGTCGAAGGTACTTTTGACGATTGTCAGGATATTGTCAAGAATCTGTTTGGCAACAAGGAATTCAACGATCGTCATCATTTGGGTGCTGTGAATTCGATCAACTGGGCTCGTATTCTCGTGCAAACCATCTATTACTTCCATGCTTATTTCAACCTGTTGCGCACTCACGGCGAGGAGAACATGGATAAGATTCATCTGAACTTCTCGGTGCCTACCGGTAACTTTGGTGACATCCTTGCTGGTTACTATTCCTACCGCATGGGCTTGCCCGTCCACAAATTGATCGTCGCCACCAATGCCAACGATATCTTGTACCGTTTCTTTGAATCGAATGCTTATGAAAAGCAAACCGGTGCCGATGGCGGTGTAAAGGAAACTTTAAGTCCTGCGATGGACATTTTGGTCTCATCTAACTTTGAGCGTCTTTTGTGGTACCTTGCTCGTGAAACCAAGGCTGACGGCGGACGTACCGAAGTGGCAGAAGAAGATACCAAGTTGAACGAAACAATGAGCGACCAAGCAGGTCAAACCGTCAACCAATGGATGCAGGAACTCAAGCAGAACGGTGTGTTCCGTGTCAGCAATGAAGTCGTCCTTCATGCCCGCAAAGTGTTCGATGCTGCCAATGTCACGGATCAAGAAACTTTGTCAACCATTCGTGCCTTTTACCAGAACGAATCGTATGTTTTGGATCCTCACACTGCAGTGGGTGTGGCGGCGGCCGAACGTATTTCTGAAAAGGAAAAGTATGCCGTGTATCCCAATGGTCCCGAAGTTATGGTGTGCTTGGCTACGGCCCATCCTGCCAAGTTCTCCGACGCTGTAGAGGAAGCCTTGAACACCGTGGAAGGATTCGATTTCAATAAGGAAGTGTTACCACCTCAATTTGTTGGTCTCTTGGAAAAAGAACGATCCGTGGTGGCTGTGGAACGAGCGGATCCCGAGCTTGTCATGCAAGTCATTGAACGCGAGTTAATAAAATAGAGTCGAAAATGTTTATCTGTAATTCATGAAGGAAATCACTCTTTTTTTTTGTTCGTATTCATTGTATGTTCTTATTTTGTTGTTTGTGTGTGTTTTCAGCAGCTATTACCGTTGACTGTCATTTGATGGTTGCAGAAGTTCAATGGGGAATTTCGCTGATTACAAATATCCCTTTCAATTCCTGTTTTCTTTGATTTTCATGATTGAGCGATTTTATGAGCAGATATAACGGCGATTTTGTGCCATTACGACCATTAAGGGATTGGTAGGATGAAGCATGGTCGTTGCCTCATTTGACGTGCCAATCGTCGCTTGGATTTCTGTTACCTAGTGTCACATTTATTAACATGCTCAACGCCATTAATCCTAATCTGGATACTCTGGAGGTCAAGCCATACTTACTGCCAAAAGCGTTACCGGCATTTGGAAGTATTCATAATAATATACAAACTGAAGGTCATCCTCTTAAAATTGGGAGACTCTATTATCAGACGAAAAGTTCAACGCATATGAGGGATAACCTGGGCATAAGTGGCAAGCAGCATCCGGCAGTGGATGTGAGGCTTGTTAATATAAGAAGACGTTTCATTTTAGATATTCGCCCCTTAAACCCCCCAACCCACCTCCAACCCCCAAAAAAACCTCTGAAAAACTTTAAAGCAACAATTAAAATAATGAATTCATCATGCAGCTCTCTTGTAGTATTCAAAATTTTATGATTGATGGTTACGGTGAGAAGGGAGGGGAGAGTGTCCTTCACTGGTATTATTGTTGGGTGCCTTGCTACCTAGCGGCACATCGTCGTCTTCGTCATCGTCGTCTTGATTATTGGTTGGCATGGTTCCTTGCATACCATAGTAAGGATTTTGAAGCATTGGATAACCTTGCATCATGGCGGCTTGCATCATGGTCATGCGGGGATCCATCATGGGCATACCCATTCCAGGCATCATGGACATGCGAGGATCCATCATTGGCATACCCATACCAGGCATCATGGACATTCGTGGGTCCATCATCGGGGTATGCATCATGGACATGCGGGGATCCATCATGGGCATTCCCATTCCGGGCATCATGGACATGCGCGGATCCATCATGGGAACACCAAGATTCATGCCCATATTCAGACTCATACTGCTGCTCATTCCCATACTGTTGTTCATGCCTATACTCATCGAGGGCGTCTGAGTGGGAGGCTGAAGAGAAACTTGTGATGGAGATTGTGATGGCATGGTCTGTAACAACAAAAATGGGTTCAAAAGCCGATTAATGATCTACTTCCAACCAGAGACGAGGTGGAAAAAGTGCAATGGCATCACTTACTTTTTGCATCATTTGCTGTCGTTGTTCCATGAGATATCGTTCGCGTTCTCGTTCGAGTAATCGTTCCTTTTCCATTTCTAATAGTCGTCCCTTGTTGGAGTTTTGTTCCTTTTTCTCGTGTTCTATTTGCGAAATCATGCCAACAAGTCCTGCTCTCGGCTCTGGTGGTCGGTTCGGTATTTGGATCAGCGGTTGGCCAGTCGCTCGTGCATATTCCTGCTGATCCCTAGCCGAAGGTTGCTCTGCTCGGTACGTATCTAGTAAACTGTTGGGATTCGCAAAACGATCGCCAAGTTGGGGAATTACAGGTCCATCTTCGGTTTCCATCATCGGCTGATGATAAGCAGGATACATCCCATGCTGTGACGCTTCGCCATATTGCATCATGTCAGAGTGCATCATATCAGGATGCATTGATGGATCCCACATTGGATACTGCTGCTGATATGGATACTCCCCATCGTACATGCCCGATGCATGGTCGGCTGTATAATGGTTTCCCAATGGTTGTTGATGTCCTGGTTGTCCCTCGCTGTCTTCATCGCTGCAGTAATCACCGTCGCACCTGTGATGAATGTCTTCATCTTCTGAATCATCGCTGTCCGATCCATAGACGCTGGCACGTGGTCGAACCACTTTACGCGGTCGGGGCTGGGAACCCGTAGCAGGCTTGGGTGTCGCGGATTCTTCTTGGGATGCATCGTCTTTGCTGCTGGATTCGTCGTGGTTGCTCTGATTCGCAGTAGTGGTGGTGGTGGGATGATTGTTGCCCTCTTTGGTGCCGACTTTTGTAGGGACACCCTTTGCCTGCTGCTGTTTTGCGTTGAAAAGCGATCCATTGTCACTCTCAGCTTCATCGTCGCTGTGACCGTCATCTTCGTCTTCGTCTTCGCTGTCGTCGCTCGCGTAAACCATCTTTCCTGCGTGAGATTGTGACCGCGGCATGGCGGACATTCTGACTGGCCGTCTTTCTTGCAAAGGATCGGTGGTGGGTCCCGCTGAATAATGACGCTGATGACCTGCTGCGCCTGAAAAATCAAGCCCTGGATGGGCTTGACGAGAATTCACGGCTGCCATCGGCATACGTTGTTGCTCCTCTACCATGTGTGTTGGATGTCCGCCAAGATTCAGCAAACCAATATCATGCACGTCCTCTTCCAAGGCGTTGGGTCGGCCATATAGCTTGAATGCATCGAAAGTGCTAACAATCCATTGAACCAGTTCCTTGGTGGATGGCACCATGATCAAGGCCCAAGTGGTAGGCTTGATGACTTGATGTTCTGAATTCTGCAAACTTGCCTGAACTTTAAGCATGGTTGCCATATCAATAAGTTGCGCTGTTTCGGGATACACCATATAAGCTTGTGTTACATTAACCATTGTCATGACAGGCGTTTTGGCCTTTTTGGATTCAAACAGCATCAACTGGCCTTCAGCAGGTACCGATTTTTTGCCAAACAACTTTTTCTCATCGCGACGATCGGAAACCACCGCCCAATACTTTCGCCATTCCTTGGTATCCGGCATTCGCACGTGGACAAAACCTTCCATTTTAGCACTCGTTTTGGCCATTATATCCCGATAATCAGATCGGACGATGAATTTCTTGGTATACATTTCGCACACGCACGAGCACTCAAAACAAGAAGTGCGCAAAGAGGAGATCCAAGTTTCGGTCGTGATAGGCATCACCGTTGCTGCATCTTGCAGTGGCACCCGGAACAAGTAACGAGCTGTGCCTGCGGAATGGATGCCAAATGTATCTTGGTCGATCTGGTCGATTTGTGCCTCAATAATGTTAATGTATTGCGGCATTACGTTATCGCCATCTTCCTGAGCATTCCACAACGAGAGCACCGAGCCGCACAATTCAGCGTAGCACATGGCCCAGTTTGGATTCTCCACTACAGACTCCTGACCCACCGCGGCTTTCATCTTCATCAGGTATCCTTCGAGGTATAATTTTTGGCAGTACAAGTCATACATCTTCTGGACGGGCTGCATATCCGGAGGTAATTGCGGGCCCGGGCCTTGAGCCGCAGCGAGATAACCAGGTTTGACAAATCGCGAAGGCCGAGCCTTGTTGGTAGGAGCGGCCACGTTACGTACGAAAACAGGTTTATCTTGGCTCGAGGTGGAAGATGAACCCTGATGAGGCAGAGGGGAACCATATCCAAACGAAAGAGGCCGGTCGTCATCATCGTCACTTTCATTGAACAGATTGTGCTGATTCGGCTGATGCGGTAAACGAGGCATGTCCGTCACAGAAAGTGACTCCATGCCTGATTGAAGACGTTGCATGGGAGTAAACTCTAGTGTTGCCAGGGCTGTAGTAGATTGGTTTCAAAAAAGCAGTTTATAAACCGACCCCAGAAATCAGAAAGGAGTGTCACGACAAATGGGGAAAGGAGTAAGATGGAATGAAGGGAGGTCGAGAAAAAAGGCCAAAAAGAAAAAACGCCTGGAATCAACAGAAAGGAAAGTGGGTTCGACGACCGATATTGGAAGTCGCGTGTTATGATAAATGGAGCACGTAGCACATAAAAAACTGATGGTTGCACAAAAGACAAACCCGCAGATGGATGATCCTCTCCACCTTTGCTTTTTCCTTTCATCTTCTAAATAATGTAGAGTCACAATGTCATTGCTCATTACCATGAAAGTTGAGAGTTATTTTTTTGCTGAATGATGCTTTGACTTGAGACGATGCATCAGATAACAATGCCAAAAATATATCGGCAATATATCTGACGGGCAAAAAGACTGTGTTTGAAAGTTCCTCATATCTTTAATTATGTCGTAAATCATAGAATATATCAGAGTCTAAAGTGTCTCGCTAGATTGATTAGCTGTATTGCACGGCCTGCAAGTAAATCGACAGAGTTTAAAGTAGGGAATTCCGTATGATGAAGGTGCCTGAAACGCACCCATTTTTCTCCGACATCAAGTTTCATTGAACAAGTTTTACTTTTTAACCATGCAGACAGACCGCATTTTCTTTTTTTAAAAAAAATGACACTCAACACAAGTATTGCCGCACGGTTGAGTGTAATATGCACTTTTCAATGAAATGACTTGACTGCCATGGTTTTATCAGACAAAAGGAATGGTCCCAGTAATAGATTACCACGACAGAGCTGAATAAGTCACAAATGTCATTATGTTTCGCTGAGCAGAATGCTTGACACCGCTTTATTCATACATGCAAAATATTTCTATCGCCTGTCATCACCAGATTGTTTTCTCAAGGACCCGCCGAATTGGAGCCCTACGGGTTCAATCTATATGACAGTCAGATTCGTGAAAGAAAAGCTCTTTTTTGCACTACGAGAAGCAGCAGTACATCCCCTGCCAAAAACTTGAAATGAGTGAGGCTGTTGTTGCTCTTGTGAGGATGGTGGCGGCTGAGAAGCAGATATTGTTACTGCCTGCCAATGTGTTAGCTATAAAGAGAGACAATACTGTCGAATGGTTTCTTTATTGAAGGATTAGAAGGCTGAACATCATGTTTCGCGGTGCCGATCGATCAATGAGTGCCAATGGTTGACACGCCAAGCGTGCTGAAAAGGTGAACCATGGGGAAACGTTTAGAGTACATTGAGTCAAGGCCGCTAAGGCAAAGCAAGTCAGGGAACACTCGACAGGCAGAAGAAATCCTCAAATGTAAACCATATGCCATGTCAATAAATCTGGGAATGTAGCCTCTGTAACTTTTTACGTCTGATATGCCATAAATTGCAGTACAATTTCTGTAGAGGGAAAGCGGAAGGGAGAGAGAAAAAGAAGATGAGCATGCAGTGTTGAAGGAAAGTCCCTGATCTTCCAAAGATAGACCAATAAAACGAATAAATTTCATTCATCGTGATTTTCATTTTCATTTTTCCATTTTTTTCATTTCATTTCAAATTTTATAAAGAAAACTTATCAGATACCATCAGTCCCGGTGACCCCTAAACCAACAAGTTGGCTGGGCAAGCTACCAAACTTGTTCCCCGATCCCACCCCCGCGACTGCTGATAAGCATTGCCATAGGCACTTGGTGCCACAACCCATCCGAAGACAAGGCATGCTACGGCGTCAGAGGTCTTATAAGGGAGACTTGACACCGGGCCACCTATGAACAACCCACCGAAAAACATTCGTTTCCCAACTTCGTGCAAGTTGAGGGTCAGAGTCCCCGATAGTTCAATCTTATAAGAATCTTTTTTTTCTTGCAAGTTGTTCTCATTTTTTCTACTTCTTTTCTTGTTATCCATCCTGTAAGAGATGCTATCTAATGGATCCGACCAAATGCAATCATTTTTTATCGCTTTTTAAAGCGGGAAAGGGATGATAAAGCAATCCCACTCATCGTGGCGGCGCTTTAAATTTCCGCACACCCACTGCTCAACAAAGGTTGATCGATGGAGGAGTGACGAGGTGTTCAAAATACATAACTGTGGGACGGCATAAAGGGACCGTGTCCATGCCGGTAAACGGCTGAAACAAAGCAAATCAGAATTGACCCTTGGATCAAGTTGTTCCCGCACCTGTGCTTTACACATTCGTCGCCCAGTGCGACAAAACGTGGCATGAAAAACCTTCTATCTCTTCTGATGCTTGAAAAAGCTATTCAGACCCGAAAATCTGTATACGTCGAGGGACTGGAAAGACACACATATAAGGTAAATCAAATAAGGTAGACAGCCCAAGAAACTATCAGCTCTTGTAACGCCACAAAAAAGCTGGCAGCGGAAATTCAATCCCCGCACACATTTTTGGAATAAGTGGCTTGTAGGCGGGAAGAGCAGTCCGATCTGTCAAATGCGAAATTCAGTTGAATTTTTAGATCGGGAAACGATCAACATTTTGGATCGAGGATTGAGCATTGCTTTTTTCATCGTCTCTTTTCGTCCGAACTTGAACTTGCTTTATACAAGCTAGTTGCGATTCCATACCTTCTTCATTGCTAAGCAACGCTTTGGGTTTTCGCACAATGAAAGACGGTGGAACCACTACCGAACTCAACACAACCGATGGTGCTAATCGCTTCAAGGTGAGTGGCCCTGCTTTTCATTCACCTGGATTGGAGAGAAGACCCAAAGTTCTTTTCTTTTTCTAACCCGATTCAATAGTACCAATCGTTCAATACTCGAGTCGAGCGCTTAAAAGTGGACATTGTCCGCCGATCTCGATTGGTGGAAGATGAAATTGACGAACAAGGCTCCTTCTTTCACGAAGCCTTATTATCCTGGAAGGAACTTAACCTTACGAGACACTTTAAGAACTTTTACCATGACATCTTTCCTTACGCCAAATCACTGCCTGCCATTGTTTACCATAAAGACAAGATCACCGAAATTCTCGAAACGCACTTGAAAGTACGAGATAGCATGGCCCTCGATGCATTGTTGGAGTAAGTCATGACCTGCTTCAGTACTGTGAGAGAAACGTGCAAAGCTGACGCAACGATTGTTTAGTCTTGTAACCAAGCTTGCCAAGGATTTGGAAGGTGAATTTTATCCTTACTATCCTCGTATCTTTTCATGTGTCCTGCCGCTTGTTTATCATCGGGATGTCAAACTTTTGGAGGTAAACTTTTTAAAATCAATTCTACTTGTTCGTTTCATTTATTCACCATGGTTGCATTTCCTGTTTTCTCTGTTTTTAGAGCGTGTTCAATTGTATTGCCTATCTCTTCAAATTCCTATCTCGTCAGATTCTGCCCGACATTCGCCAGACTTTTCAGTATGTAACAGCTGTGATGATGGAAATGGAGGATTGCGAAAAACTAACAGGGATATGTACCGTAGAATGCTGGCCAAATTGCTTGGCGAAGATCACTCCACCAAACCATATATCCGACATTTCACGGCCGAAGCTTTTGCCTTTTTGATGCGCAAGCTCAGAGGCAAAGATTTGGCTGACATGGTTGAGCATATCCTTTCGTCGTTATCTGCCGAACCTTCTCGCGAGTATACCGAAGGTCTTGCAATGCTGTTATTTGAATGCATCAAGGTAAAAGATTAAGCGATGGCAGTCATAAGATGATTTTTGTTTCATTGCTAATTATTGTATATTGGGGATGTATTGATGAACAGCAAGTGGATCATCGTCTTCACTCGAGAGGAGAAGCTGTGTATAAAGAACTTTTGCAGCAAACTTGTCAGGGTGTATCCAATCCGGACTTGGGTAAGCATTAAAGAAGAGTGAAGGATTTGACAGGAACAACGTGACTCAACAAGGGATGCGATTAGATCTTTCTGCTGTAGTGGATTTATTAAACAAGACGACGCTTCTCACACTTCATCACACTTACCGTCAACATTTCTCACCCATCATCAACATTGTTCTCAACGCGATGGATGCCCAACTACAGGGTCCTTCTTTCGACGAAAAACAACTTACCATTCTCATGACCACCGTCACTCACATCGTCACCGTACGCAAAGCCAGTCGTGTAGAGGGTAAGTTTTTTTTCCATGTCTCACAAAAAAGCGAATAGTTTGATATACGGGAGCTCATGAAATTGAAATCCAACATTTTTGCTAGATCATAAGCCCATCATCAATCGGGTCCAACAAGTGGTGAAATTAGTGTTCCAGAACCCTGCAGACAATGTGACGGAGGAATTGCAAAAGGAAACATTAAGAGCAGCTACGGGTTTGTTGTGCTTTGGTAACTTGGATATCGTCGTTACCGGTGGCCGATTGTTGCTGGATTCTATCACATGCTGCAGCAATGCAAAGCTTGTCTATGGTTTCCTTTTGGGCTTGGCTGAACTCAACTGGCCCAATTTCACTCAAGTCGCTCTTCCTTATATTGTCAGGTAAATTTTTTGGGATTGACACTTTGGGTGGTAAATGCCGTTCCAGAGAATCTCAACCTTTTGTGTATTCTACCAATTCTAGATATGCTGCTGAACAATACGAGTCGCAAACCGAAGACACCATTTTGTTTTTGTCACAAATGGTGGTATCAGACGCCTACCAGGTGACGCCTGGCATGCTTTCATCGTGTGTCTCAACCGAAGGATTGTTGCGTTTCCCCACGGTGGAAGGAAAGAAGACTATTTCAAAAGGGCTTTTAGATGCATTAAGTGCATCTTACGACTGGGAAAAGGAAACCGATATTTTGAACAATACCGATGTTACCAATGTAAGTGATAATTCCCCATGGTCCAATTTGTTTTTTTTTCAATTTTCTCTGATGTGGTGTCTGTGTTTCTATAGGCTTCCTCTTCCACCGGCTCTGCCATTACTGTGATTTCAGCCGTTCTTAACTTGATACCTCACATTCAGCTGTCGGCCAGCGATGCGTTCACGGCGTTGTTGGTATTGTTCCACTCTTTGAAATCGTACCTGACGTCCAGCAACAGTCCCCTTGTGCGCAGCTCATTTGTTCTTGGTCACAAAAACTATGCTTTGGGTTGCTTGGTGGGTCTGTCCGTGGAGTCCTTGACAAAAACCTTTTCTGCCAACAACGGTATGTCGCAGGAACAGTTTTTACAGCTTCATGATATTCTGTTTCAAGATGTGTTACCGAACCAAAAGGATCATGAAGTCGTCCTTCGCGGTATATTCACATATATGGATCATCTTCGATCGAGGTAAAGACCCAGGAAATGAACGAGTTATTGCAACGATAATTCAATTAATGTAATGTGTCGCTAGTAATGATCACAACGAGCTCTTTTCCCTCGATCGATTACACACCGTCTACGACGTCGTAAAAACGAACCTTTCATCTTACCGTGCGCACACACGCTTATACACGCTCAAACTGCTGTCACTTTACGATCAACCTCTGATGAAGAAGGATGAACAACATCGGGAAGAAGAGGATTGTGAAATCGTGCAACTGGCCGTCGATATGGAGGAGGTGATTCCCACCCTCAAAGATTATCGCAACAAGACAAAGCCAATTCAGAGACTGAACGTCATCACGTCAAGCCGACGCACACCCGATATGTTCGTGGACTTTGTTCCTCGCCTGGCTTTCGGCATCTTGACCATGAATATTCGCCCCGTATGGGATGAAGCTCGTGCGGCTCTCAAGACATTCTCGGAAGTTCACCGTGACCTTTACTGGACACTGATGTATGAACAACTCACAAAGTTTGATGATGAAACACAGCTTTTGTGCGATGGGTTTACTGGCTCTGTCATGGCCACATATACCGCACCTCCCGAACAAACCAGCGGCCTGGCGACCAAGACCGGTAATATTTCGTTTGAATGTCCTACCTACAACAGTTACGTCCATACCGAGAACAAGGCTTTGTCCATGATGGATGAAAAGCGAACCATCAGCTTTGCCATGCTTTTTGTCAAGGTAAGTTCAGCATACCGAATGAGTGTCTCACACATGGATCCTCACATTCCTTCTTATAATAGTTATGCGATCAACAAACCATTCATATGGACTTTTGGAACTGGTACAATCTCTTGTTAAAGACTCTAAAGGATACTCCCAATGTTACCGAACAGCATTCGCGTGATTTGATTCCCATCTTCTTTGCTTTCCTTGAACAAGAGTACGATGCTGTCACCGGAGACGACGAGGAGGACGACGAAGAAGGCCACGAAAACTCGCAGCTGGAAAAAGGATCTTCCAACGAAACGTTTGGTTTGCTCCCTCGATCCAGTAAGCTCGCCAAAAGCAAGTTGGCAGGCTGGTTGGCTTTGTTTGCCGCCTTTATGAATCCTCGGGTCCTTTACAAGAGTCAGCAACTCCACGATGTGTTTATGCGATTGATCACTCAGGGTGATGTCAAGGTGCAACAGGGTGCTTTGGAATGTCTTCTTACCTGGAGAGACCCCAATATCAAACCTTACGGCGACAACATGAGAAATTTGCTCGACGACGTGAAATTCCGCGACGAACTTTCCACATTTATCCAGAATCAGGAACAGAATTTTATTGACCCTGCTCATCGGGATGGATTGATGCCGGTGGTGATGCGTCTCTTATTCGGTCGTCTCGTTCAACGTCGCATGAAAGCCTCCGCCAAAGGCACAAAACACGCTCGTCGCAAAGCTATCCTTAGTGCTGTCGCGTGTTGTTACCCGAATGAAATCCGTTACTTTATCGATTTGGCTTTGGAAGCCTTCAAGGGTGTCGTCGAGTTACCTTCCGAGACCAGAGACGCCAACGGTTCGGTGATTGATTTCACCTTCCTGGCGGAAGGCGACAAGATCATCCAAAGCATTCCTTGGCGTAAACAGAACGGTGTGCTCGTATTGATAGAAGATATTCTAAAGCAAATGGGTGCCCACATTATTCCTTACATGGAGCCTCTGCTGAAGGTGACACTGTACATTATCAATGCGGCTCAGCGCCGATCAAATTCGGCCATGGACGTTGACGAACCGGTGGACGAGGAAGAAGTAGATGCCAACAACGAGGTGGAACCCTCCCACGGCGGCCAAAGCAAACGTTCAAAGGATGTGCGATCCCAGGCCATGAAACGTGTAGTGGAATTCTTCAAGCTCAGCGGCCACTTCAACTTTCAACCCTACGTCCCAGCCATGTTCCGATCGTTCATTTCTCCACGCATGGATCTTTTCGCCGTCGAAACTTCACAAAATGTCACTCCCTTATTGTCTCTGTTGACGGTGTGGGCGGAAAAGGTGGAATTCACACGATTTTTGGTCGATTACGATGATCGCGTTATCCCTCAGTTGTTTGCCGTCTTGTCGGCCAAAAAAGTCAACGAGCATGTGTTAACGACGGTCCTTACGGCGATTGAAACGATCCTCGATCACTGTGATGATGCCATGGAAGAAGATGGGCAAGCGACGGTCAAAGAAAAGCTGATTCTTCCGTACGTGGATATCTTGCTGAGCCATATTCAGTTCCGTCTGAATCAATCCAAAGACGATGTCAAGTTTGGCAGTGGCAAGTATTCGGTTCGCGAAATCGGCATTGTGGCCCGTGTAGCCTCGTATACCAAGGACGGTGCACAAGCGGCGGTCATCATCGATCTGTTACTGCCCAGTTTGAAAAAGCCTAACCGAATCATTCCTGAAAAGACCAAGGAGCACATCTTGACCATTTGGGCTCAGTTTATCCGCATTGTCCCTGGCTTTGAGCTCGATTCGCCCGTGTATCACAAGTACTACAGCATGGCCTCATGGATGCTCTCGTCATCTCGAACGCATGCGTCGCGCAAATCTCTTTTGGCCATCTTCAAGGCCTTCAAGTCCGTGAATCCAAGCTTGGAACTGGTCGTCAAACTGCTCCAAGATTTCAACGCCTATTCAGCGAAACGCGTGGAAGAACCAGATTACGATCGTATGCTGGACGCGCTCAACAATATCGGCGAGCATCATTATTTGAAGTTCAATCATCACCAATGGTTGCCTTTGCTGCATCAATTTGTTTACTGTATGCATGATGCCGAAGAAATGGCGATCCGTGGCAGCGCGACGCATTGCATGACTCAGTTCTTGGTCGCCGTCAAGGAGCAATCTGATGCAGATGAACAGCGCAAGATGCTTGGCTATGTCACCCATCTCATTTATCCTGCCATCAAGCAAGGCTTGACGGAACGCGTTGAACTCGTTCGCATGGAATTCGTGAATCTCCTCAATGCGTCCATCAAGAGTTTCCCTGAACTGGATATTTTCGCGGATATGGTGCAACTCCTGGGCGACAATGACGAAGAAGTCAACTTTTTCAACAACATTTATCACATGCAAATGCATCGTCGTATCCGTTCGTTGAATCGCCTTGCGGAAATTGCCGCCAACGGCACCTTGAAGACCTCCTCCATCAACGGTATCTTTATGCCTATCTTGTCGGCCTTTTTCTACGAGAGTGATCGAGTGATGGATCATAATTTGATCCACCAGTGTATTCAAACCTTGTCGGCGCTGGCCCAGCTTTTGCCCTGGCCTCACTACTATCGTCTTCTCCGATACTATCTGGCGTTGATTTCGAAAAAGGAAAGAGAAGAAATGGAAAAGATCTTTGTCCGTGTCGTGACCGCCATCTTGGACGCTTTCCATTTCGACTTGAGCGAGGTGGAAGTGACGGACGAAGCCGCAGCAAACATCATGGGACGACAAAAGGTTGTGATCGACTATCTGACCGTGAGACAGATCATTGAAAATGCGGCGGCGAATGAAGAGGCTGCGGAAGGAGGAGAAAATGACGAAGACGAGGAAGAAGAGGATGTCAGCAGCAAGGAAGTGTTGCCAAAAAAGACTCAAGCAGAAAAGATCCACGACATCCTGATTACCAAGGTGCTTCCCGAGCTCAATACGTACCTCAACAACAACAAGACGAGAAACTCAGTGGTGGTGCGTGTTCCTATGGCGTTGGGAATTGCCAAGTTGATTCGTGCCTTGCCGGAGCGATCGATGCGTCTGAATCTACCTGGATTGTTGGTGTCACTTTGTCAGATCATCCGCAGTCGTGCTCAGGACGTGCGTGATATTGTGCGCGAAACCCTGTTGAAGATTAATGCATTTTTGGGCCCCGATTACTTTTCGTTCATTGTGAAGGAGCTCAAGACGTCGTTGACTCGCGGTTACGAAATGCATGTGCTGGGATACACCGTGAATGCGTTGATTGCCGACACGATTCCTCGTGTGCATCCCGGTCAGTTGGATCCTTGCCTTGAAGACATCGTGGCGGTCTTGGTGAACGATATCTTTGGTTTCACCGGTCAAGAAAAGGAAGCCGATGAAATGACTGGTAAAACCAAGGAAGCGAAAAGCAAGCGCAGTCCTGCTTCGTTTGAATTGTTGGCGACGGTGGTGCGATTCAAGAATATCGGCTTGCTGTTGTTGCCTTTCAAGGATATTATGACGGAAACTGAAAGTCTCAAGATTTTGCGCAAAGTCGATGATCTGCTAAAACGCGTGGCCAACGGATTGGTGCGCAATCCCGAATTCGATTCCGAGGAGTTGCTGAACTTTTCTTACGGTCTGATTTCGGAAAATGTCGACACCCTGAAACCGCAAATCAAGATCAAGGTCCAAAAGTCACAAAAGGAAAAGAATTTCGAAGTGCAGATGAAACGTATCGTGGCGGAACCGGTGGATCACTATCGTACGAATGCGCATCGATTTGTCCACTTTGGCTTGAGTCTATTCTACACCAGTCTGCGACGCAACAAGTTTGATTTATCCTCGCCCGACTATGTGACGAAAATCGACTCCTTTGTCGATGTGGTCGGTAATACGCTTCATTCGAACCAGACGGCCAATGTGACGTTGGCGGCCAAGATCATGGCTTCGCTGATCCGCATGCCGCTCCCTTCGGTACCTGAAGCCGTACCGGCGGTGGTCAAGCGCGCTTTTGGCTTGGTGAAAAAATCATCGGGCAATACCCACTCGGCGTTGGTTCAAGCGTGTTTCAAGTTGCTGACCATTTGTATCCGAGATATCAACGATTCCAAATTGACGGAGCATCAACTGACGTATTTGCTCAACATCATTCGCCCCGATATGGAAGAGCCGGATCGTCAGAGCACCGTGTTTGCACTGATCCGTGCCATTATATCCCGTAAATTCATGGCACCGGAAGTATACGATCTCATGGAAACGGTGGCGCAAATCATGGTGACGAATCAAACCCGAGAAATCCGCGAACAGGCGCGTTCAGTGTACTTTATGTTCTTGATGGATTATCCTCAAGGCCGCGGTCGATTAAAGGCTCAGATGAGCTTTATTATCAAGAACTTGGAGTACGTTTACGAAACTGGACGTGAATCCATCATGGAGTTGATGCACCATATCATCAACAAGTTTGGCGATGAAATCCTCGTGGAGTACGCTGAGCCCATGTTCCTTGCACTGGTGATGCGTCTGGTGAACGATGATTCGTCGAAATGCCGCGAAATGTCGGCCGAACTGATCAAGAACTTGATGCGTCGCTCCGAAGATCGAATGGAAACCATCTACAAGTTGCTGGATAAATGGATGGATCAAACAAAGCAGCGCAGTTTGCAAAGAGCCGGTTGTCAAGTGTATGGCCTCGTCATCGATACCTTTGGTGCTCAATTCCGTCCTTACGCTCCGAAACTGATCACCAAGCTTTCTGAAATGCTGATTCTCAGCAAGGATTTGGTGCACGACAGCCAGGCCGAAGAAGAAGGCATGGAAGTGGATTTGGACTGGGAATTGGGTTACTATAGTATCAACACATTTGCCAAGATCGCCAAGGCGTTCCCGAAATTGGTGTACGTGTCCGATACCCTGCCTGTGTGGCGCGCGCTGGAGGATATGTTACTGCACCCTCATACTTGGATCCGATCCTCGACGGCTCGTCTGTATGGTGTCTACTTTTCTCACATTGACCCTCAGACGCGCTGTGTTGTGGAAAGCGGCAAGAATTCCGAGTATCTTTCTCGAGCGACATTGCGAAAATTAGCGACCAAGTTTATTGGACAGCTGAAGAGTGTTTATCTTTCCGAAGAACAAGCGAATCAAATCGTAAAGAATCTGTTCTTTATCGGCAAATGCTTTTATTACATGCCAACCGAAGAGGATGTGGCGCCCAAAACCGAAGACTCTACCGAAGCCGAAGAAGCGGGTAACAATGAAGACGAAACCGCAGTGAACAAACCATCTTTGAACTGGTTATTCCGCAATGCATCCTTTACTGCGCGTGGTGCAGCTGTGAAGCAGACCAAAGAAGGATTTTTATTGGTAAGTCTACAACCTGAACGGAAAATAAGAAAGGAAAAAGCGACTAACAGGAAACACTTGTTTTTACAGCGAGCTTCCATCTTTAAATGGTTTGCTGCCATGTGCAATGCGATAGAAACCGAGGAATTGGGACCATATCTTTTACCTGTGATTGCGGTTATTTATCGCACTGTGAATGACGAGGCGACCAAGGAGCCTGGATTTGGTAAGTGGACCATGTAAATCAGGTATTCTCAGGGGGGCAGCTCCATTCTAATCTTGTGTGCTTTCTAGACGAGTTGAAGCAATTGGGTAACGAAGTGCTAAACTTGGTTCAAAAGAAGGCCGGTCCTACTGCATATTTTGCCACCTATCAACAAGTTCGAGAAAAAGTGAAACAATCCAAATTAGACCGTAAATCACGGTTAGCGCGACAGGTAAGCGAAGAAAAACAATCAACGTTCTTTTACAGCAATCATCGGTTCTAATACTGAAAATGATGACAGGCTGTGGTTGATCCGGCAGCGGCGGCTAGACGTAAACGCGCACGTACACGCAAATAATCATTAGATGCATCTTCTTTTATTTCCTTTTTCATTCTTCAGAACTGTGTATATCATTAAGAGCTTAAATTTCATTTTTTCATTCATGGCCTTTATTTTTCCCGTCTCTTGCATGCCCTCGCATGATCTACCGGGCATGACAATTTTTGAAAAAGTTTACCTAACCTTCAAATCACTCATAGCACAATCAAGAAGATATGCAATGGTAATTATATGCTGCACCATCGCTCGAGTTGCGGTTCATTGAACCGTTGCTCGAAACTTGGTCGGGAAAAAGTATGATCTCTTTTCGTATTCAGCTGCAGACTAAGATGAAGAAGAGACATGTATAAAGATAAAAAAGTGGTTCCTTGGCTCTTGTCTATCAAATTTGTGTAAACTTGATTTCCATTGTCATAATTTTTATCGTAAAATTTGTTCACACATTATTAACGTTTTTGTACCATGCAATAACTTTTTGCAAACGTGAGCTATTTTTGATTCACGGTAAAGAATGAACCAAGACACGGAAACAAACGTTCATATATGCATGATCCATACAGAGTGCAAATCAGGAGAATAGGGATGGCTGACACAGTGGGAGAAACAGTGTGAGGAAAAACTGGACAATGAACACTTTCTGAGATGTTAAATAAGAGGATGCCGAATTGACAATTTTTTCTTTCTCATTCTCATTCTCATTCTCTTCCTCTTCCTCTTTCCCTCTCATTAAACTATCAAGATGGATGACCATATTTATCCTGGCCAAGAAGGTACATTGCTCACCACACAGGTTATCGTGATTCATCCTCTCACCTCTACCGATTTCTTCATTTTTACAGAAGTCCAAAAGTACGTTGACCGTGTTGACGAACCCAGCTTCCATGATTTTATGAGCATGCACAGCAATAATCTCCCTGGCTGGTCCATCGGTGCCGCTATCACTAGTTCCAGACTCTTGTTCAACGTGTGGAAGCGTCGTTTCTTGGAAGAAGTCAATGATCAGGCAAAGCTGCCGCCTGCAGCACCGTAAGTATTTCAAGTGGACAGCAATGGAATATCACCACTCAATTTTTTTTTTCACGCATAGGATTGTCTATCATTCAACAGTTTGGCAACCTTTATACCGGGAAATGAAGCTTCTGGTAAAAAGTTCGCAACAAGGAACAACACAACAGCATGGATTAAACTGAAACATCTATTCTTTTTTTCTTTTTTGTTTTTTATTTAGCGGGAAGCTCAACACGCGTATAGAACAGCTGGTTTCGAGCTTCTGATCAAAGCTAGCCGTGTATGTCGCGATACAGTAGCTCGCACACTGGAAGCCAGTGGTACATCTGAACACTCTCAGGACAATGAGCACAACACTGACGTCAAGGGGAAGGAAGAGGAGTACAACAGTGACGATGAAGACGATGCTGACAAGGAGATTCAGATTGACGACGACGGAAATGTGAGTCACCCTTTTCTTTGTGATGAGTTGCACGGACACTGACCCCTTCATGGTACGGTCTTTAGATATGTATTTGTGGCAACTCGGAAGGATCGCAAGCCGGTCAGAAAAGGAGCCTTCCTACTACATGCGACGAGGCGGCACTCATCGTGAAAAAGAACAAAGGAGCACTTTACTAAATGATATAAAATTCAAGAATAGCAGTAAAATGCAACAGCAATAAAAGCATTGTCATCGCTTCAAAATTAGGGCTGTTTGCTCGATAATCTGATGGACTAGTAGAAATAGATACTACAAGTGCTGCTTTTTCTATCGAGTGATATGGAATGGGTAGTAATGTTTTATTATGATATGGGTTGCATTGAGAAAGAGGGAATTCCCCATTCGAGCCTGGCCCATACTTGCGATTTTCGGCCTGGCTGCACGGTGTCGCAAATGCACTTGGTGGAAAGCTATGGTGTCTATTTCCCATTGCATCTCATCAAATCGGTAATTATACGAATGCGCTATTTCGTATGCATGAAACTAATGCTGTACTTTGATTCGATAGGTCATATGCCAGTCGACACCACCGTTTATTGGAATCCTCCGAGAAGCCCATGATGCCAATGAAGCTGTCCCAGAGAGATTATCAGTGAGTTTTCATCTCGAGTTTAAGAACAATGATTTTGATACCAACTTGGCAGGAGGGAACGAGGGTCTTTCTCACTCCAGCTGAATTTCGAAGCAGTGTCTCTCATGATGGTGCCACGAGAGAAGCTCTTTGGGAGGAGATCTTCAACATAGACATCGTCCAAAGAAAAAGGCGCAGATATCAAGGTAAATTATATTAATTACAAGCATTGACTCAACCTAACGTTCTGTTATACGATAGATGTTGCGAATATCCGCAATCAACCGCCGATCTTTGACCCTAGCTTTCAATCCGACGGGGTTATGATCTCGATGCGCTTTGTTGTCCGTGGCCGTGGTAAGAAATACCGTCTCAAAATTCCTAGCATGACCAAGCTTACAAGCTTTTTACTCCTAGACCCATTGCCTTCCTCTCGCCTTCCTCTCGAAAGGAGTTTCAATTACTTCCTCGACAGTTCGATCTATCGAATCGGCACCATATTCTCACCCGTCTGTCGAAGGAGCCCCGAGGACTGACCTCCGAACGGCTAGAGCAATCTCGAGTCATTGGTATTGATCCAGGTACTGTAATTATTTCGTCAGAGATTCTAGCAGGAAAAGTACAACTTACAATATCATTCAGGTATCCGATCGATGGTTACCGCGGTCGATACCAATGACGACCTCAACACAAGGGAGCTCCGACAGCAGCATACCTTTTCCGTAAACAACGGATATTACCAGTAAGTTTGCCTTTGCGGACGGATACGTTTCTGTAGGCCTCTATTAACAGTATCACTTGCTAGGAGATCGTCCATGTTCCGTTGGGCTGCGCAAATGGAGAAGAAGAAGATAGAAGTGTCGCAGATTCAGCCTATATACAACGAATTGACCGCCTTCCCCCCCCCCCCCCTTCCGTCATGTAGGTGCAGGCTTCCAGGTGTCTATACACGCATTGAGCCGTGTGCGTACGAGGTAAAGGTAGGATAAAATACAACAAAATAATGGTCTTGGTATTGAAAACCATGTTTTTTTATAGGCTTTTCAACTTCAACGCACATTACAAGCATCGAGAGCATCGAGCTGTTTTGAAAAGAGCCCAAAAGCGAACGATGGATGTCATCACGGAAAGGCTCACGGGGAACTTTCCTACGCTGGGTATGGTGAGTCGATGCATCCAATGTCATAGCTGGTTTTGTTGACACTTCTGTGGTAGCCGCTCCAATGGATTCATAAATTCGACAACGCCGAGCGGAAACGAGAGCGGAGGGCAATCCGAAGATGATCAGGTCTCCAGCCTGACCACAGGCCCGTCATCATTGCCTTTGGTGACGCTGACCTCAAGTCTTCGGTCAAAAGCTTGGCCCCACTTCCTGTCAAGGTACTTTTTCTTCTTGGTGATGCGCTTGTGACATAACATATTCATATTTTTTTATTTATTTTGGCAGCGGGTCAGACAGGAACTCGCCAAAAAGGGACTCGTTTTGTGCGTGGACGAGTACAAAACCGACGCTGGTGCTTGAATGATGAGGGACAAGTCCTTCATCATACCTGCGCGTGTCCAGATCGCCAACAAGTTCGTGAGTACTTTTATTTGGTTACATCAGGCTTTTACTCTTACTGATGAAGTGGTATTTTTAAAGCGGCGAACGATTATCGCACCAATGTGTATCCCATTCGGCAATGCCTTCCATGCGAGTCAGGGCAAGACGAACCGAGAACACTTGTAAGTGAACATTATAACCTGCCTCATTCACACAGTTTCAGATTAAAACTTTTTTCTATAGCTTTGGAACCGCGATGTCAATGCTGGCCGCAACATGCGCCGTATATTAGAGGCCTACGTGGCAGCTGGCTGCCAGCTCGACTCCAGACCGGAAGCCTTCCGTCGAGCATAAGTGCGCAGCTTTTGTTTGTAACTTGCTTTAATCGGTGGAAACAGTCAGGCCCTCGGGTAGACCGGCAACAATTCCGTTTAACTTCTTACTCCCGTCACACTATTCTCTTTTTTTTTTTATGAAGCCTTTCATTTTTTAAATTGCTTTATGCGGTGGAAACAGTCAGGCCATTACGGTAGACCGGCAACAATTCCGTTTTGACTCTTTTACCCTATGCTATTTGTGATACATTACAACAATTCATGTTTTCCATCTATATACATTAAACCTTCAAAGTCGTTCATGATTAAATATATATTATGAAGGAACTTGGATACATATGATACAGCTCGTAACCTGCACTAGTATACTATCATCAGTCTTGCCGACACACTATACAGTAATGGTGCGATCGCGCTCGGTATCATCCCACCCTTCGATGAGACGGCAATCGATACAGAAAATGGAAACATTAATGATTTGCTTGCTTCATATTGACGAGAGAATACCCAAAAGGCCTATAACATAGGCGAAAGGCCAACGCATTGGAGGACGTTAGTCAAATATACAAGTTACAGTAACACTCGATCGCATTCATCGCTACAAAAAAAATTGACTTGGGAAGCTTAATTCTCCACTCAAAAACGTAAGTCATCGATAAGTTGATGGATGGCAAGGGCTTGCGGCCTTATTATACTTCATCTTGTTGTATGATAATATATTTAACCAAAAAAAAAAAAAAAAAAAAAAAAGGCAGGCGACCTCAAGGAGAAGAGAACTTATCAGCAAAGTGAATACTCAACGACTGGTAGTCACTTGAACGTAGTGCATTCGTCCATCAGTCGCAAGTCTACCTCTCGGGTGTTTAGTCCTGAACAGATGGAAACTGTGGAATTCAGGCGATCGCACATAGCGTTAACGGCAATGGACAGTGTTGGCAGCTCGTCAAATCAGATATGCTGCGCCATCTGAAGGATAAATTGGATTACTATCTCAGTATTCTCGGCAAGGACGCTGCCCGAAAACTTTCTAAAACATTGAACAGCACTGATGCACCTCAACGCCTTCAAGCTTTATGGTTTATAAATTCCTTACTGTGCTTTAATTGCATGCAACACTTACAACATTGCTATTGCCACTTATAGTGAGCAGCAAAGCATCTTGTTTGTACCATTTTTCTCTCTTCCTTCATCCATTCATCCGATTATCCTTTTCAGCTCACGTCAAGTCATTTCTATCTGGTGACTATAAAACCAAGACATAGAACCAAGCTCCTGCCACTATTCATCGCTCATAAAGGTATATTTAGAAGGTTCTATGATCTAACCGATCATAAGCTTCTTTCATACAATTGGTAACTATTGCCCACTAAAATTGATCTATAACCTCTCAACTAACATCATATATCATAGCTGTTTTTGAGAATAATATAATTCAAAGCAATACTGTCACTGTCGAGTCTCATTCATGTGCATAAAAAATCGCAAATGCACATAAGCTACATCACCAAAAAAATGAAATTTAAGTGATGTCACTTAAATTCAATTTACAGTCCCATTATGTGCAATCTCTATGTGCATAGCAAAACCCAGTCATTGGCTTGAATTTTGCTTATTCCTTTTTTCCTGCTGTTGCCAGCAATGACTGTTCGATACCTCGTCCTACCACTGTTGTTGACATTAATAACCACTGTGCTTGCACAGGTTGGTCGTGCCAATGGCGGAGCCGTGGTACTAAGGACCCACTCCATCGCCATGCCCTATATAGGCAAGCTATTCTATCCAGTTTTCTACGAACCATGCTGCTCACGTTTCACTTCCTACCGTGATAGATGACGATCTTCAAAACCGATGGTTCGACTTTGGTGGCGATGCAGTGATTAATACGAACCGTCATGTTCGTCTCACCAGTCTTCAACAATCGCAAAGCGGTTACCTTTGGTCTCGATTGGTAAGTTGCGCGAAAAAAAAAAGAAGAAATGCTGCTCCCGTAACCCGCGAATGCTTACGATGAGGACCATTTAGCCTCTGACCGCCGATAATTTCGAGGTGGAGTTTGAGTTCAAAGTGGACGGACCTTCAGGCCATTTATACGGTGACGGATTTGCAGGTACTTGTTTTTTGTATATTACTTGAAAAAAAGCTTGTCACTTCTGGATTCTCATATGTGGGGTTTCAATCGAAGTGTGGTTATCCAAGCAAAGAACAATGCAGGGCCCTGTCTTTGGCTCGGTGGATAAATTTGATGGCTTGGGTATCTTTTTCGATACCTATGACAATGAGAGAGCTCACGTAAGGAGGAATCCTCGGTCGATCATTCTCTGTGGATACTATCTAACGATTTCTTTTACAGCGACATTCATTCCCCTACATCAGTAGTATGCTGGGTAACGGTATGCAACCTTATGACAATGGCAAAGATGGTCGCGACACGGAACTCGCTGGATGTGAGGTGAGATGGCGGCTCATGGGAGAAATCATTCATCACGAATATCTCATTGATTTGGATGGATTTTACGATAGGCGGATTTCCGAGGAAAGCAGTTTCCAACCAAAGGGCGATTAACGTACTACAAGAACAACTATTTGGAGTTACAAGTTCAATGGCGAGCAGAAGAAGAATGGGATACATGCTTCAAGGTAAACTTGAAGACAATTTTAAAACGAATAGAATACGAGCGGGACTCTTACCTGGGAGATGTTTTTAGGTGCCTCAAGTAAACTTGCCGGATCAAATCTATTTGGGCTTTACTGCCCACACCGGTGAAGTTGTCGGTAAGCATCACAAATCATTGTTGGGAAGAAGAAGAAAAACGGGAAACCAAGTCTTACTTTGATTTTTATTTTCGACAGATGAGCATGATATTATCAGTGTTACCACCAAGAAATTATCACCTAAACCTATTGAAATGCCAGCGGTAAAAGAGAAAAAAAAAAGGGTAAACGATGGGAATAGACGGATGCTAATGTACGTTCGTTATTAGACCAAGGAGTCTCAACCAAAGAGCAAGAGCAGGGGCGGCGGGTTCTTCAGCTTCCTTTTTAAACTCATCCTGGCTGCTGGTTTGGTGGGTGTGCTCTTTGTGGGTTATCGTGCGTATGAGAGCAACAACAGAAACAAACGCTTTTAACCAATGTCCAATTGGGACCTTTCTGATGAAAAATAAAAAGCGCTAAAAAGTCACTGATCAATTGAGCCCTACCCTCTTTCACTTGCCATAAGCTACAGATGCAGTGGACGCGGGCTGCACTTGATGCGGGAATAAGTTGAACAAGAGAAACATAAGCTAGATTTAATCAAGATAAAGAGGATATTTTGAAACGATGTGCGTGAAAGAAAAAAATACTGTACAAGGTGCCTGAAGTGTAACGAGGCAATGGTGGGTTCGGATGAAAGTAAATGTCACTACATATGCTAAAAGGATAGGTAGAGTATCCATGGCCTTTTGGTACGACACAAAAGAGTCGGGTTATGATCTTTTGTTCAATTCCTTTGGTAGTCTTCCAAATGACAAGGCGTTTTATGAGTTTTTGCAAGAGAGGCAAAACACCGCTTCCATTGAAGATGAATAACTGGGATTCCTTTATATCAGTATAAACCACTCCTCTAGCTCGGGTAAAGAATGTCACTTACTCTATCACGGAGCAAGTGGTGCAATATTGGTTTTGGCAGCTATGGCAAGTTTGGGCACAGTTTGCGCATATGAGTTGTTCGCAAAACGCGCAGCGATCACTTGAAGGATGGCGAGAACAGCGATAACATGGACCCGCACCGTTCATGGCATAGGGTGTTGTTTTAGCTTGAGCATTATTGAAGAAGAAGTAGGACGGTTCTGAGGTTGATAATGATCCATTCGTCGGTCGCTGCGCCTGCATGAGACGCTGGAATGTCTGTTGTGCTGTAGTTTTGGGGTTACTTTAAATACTCTTCTTGTTATGAGTTGATGAGGCTTCTTTGTACAGTACCATAGTAAGCTTTCAATGACGGATCTTCCTTTTGTTTTTGTTTCAGGACATTGACCAATTCGCCATCGTCTAATCGTCGTTTGGTCATTTTTCCACACTATACAATCCCGCTGTGGGCCAAACTTTTTTTTTTCTTTCTTTTTTCTTCAGAGGCGAGATGTTGGCGCCAATATCGGTATTTCAAAAAATAAGAGAGAAAGGAAGCGAAAAAAAAGAAGCATAGCACTTGCCAAGAAACTCAAACTTTCTCTTGTTTGTTCCAAACTGTCAGAACTTTGTATAAATTATTTTGCTGCTTTGCAAGTGGCGTGGATATCAAGAATAAATTACTTTAATAAGCAATTGCTCTCTCCCCTCCCCCCACATCTCGCCACGTTTATCTTCCTATATTTTCTTCTACCGAGGTAATGCTTCCTCTTATTCACCATAGTTGAATAGATTTCAAATAAACGGATTAAAACACACAGTTTCCGTAGGTTTGTTAAGGTTACTGATTCACAATAAGCGAGATGTAGAATCTCATACAGAAAGCTGACTATATTTTCATAATGGCTACAATGTAGAGGTTTGCGGAAATGAATGAGGTAAGATTTTACATGGCTTTTTTGCTTTTTCTTTTTTTTTTTTTTGAGATGCAGTTAAATTTTGAGGTATGAATAGTTTTTACGATGGGGTTCAATCATCTGGGTTCTACCAGTCGTACGAAAAACGTTCAAGACGTGATGACGCGTCTTGCATATCTTTCTGTACCTTTTTACGCATATAAAAGATTGGACAGTCGTTGTTCGTGCAAATAACGTCCTGATGCAGCGACTCTTGACACCGCTGGCATTGGGTCCAAAGGCGCGAGAATTTGACTTCCAAGTCATTCACCGTGGAAACCTGGGGGCAGTAGCACATTAGCTTATCACAATGGAAGCGGCTGTTTTGCATGCCGTCAACGTACCTGTTTGATATACAACTCGCTTAATCGCGGGCGACAGTGCTTACAAACCGCCGAATTATCTGCATAAAGCCAGCCAGTAAGCTACATTGTAATGAACAAAGTGAGTTGTTTCGGCTACTTACCGCCCTTGGGCAACGGTGCTTTACAACCCAGACATGTGGCACTTTTCACCGCAAATTTCATTAAACCACCCGTATTGGGAGTGGCGATATTCACAGTTCGTGTATGGGCTCCCGATACTAAAGTGTTTGATCAGTATTTTGGTCATATTATTCCTCGACAAATGTAAAAAGACAACTCACATAAAGAATGGGCATTGTCACCAAGGATAGGCTCGAAAATACGGATCAAAGGTTTGGACAGTTGATTTTCCAAGTAATATCTTGTATCAATGGGGATATTATTTTCCAGCACGTAGATGGGATCTTCCGATCGTTCGTAGGCCGGAGTGTTACTGCTTGCGCGAATGATCACATAGGCGACACGATCGCCTAGTGCTGGAGCGGAACCGGCGTCACGTCGTCGCATACGTTCGGCAAGTTCCACATGGGCTTGCTTAGCAGCATAGTCCGTTTTGGATAAAGCTTTTGTAATCACCAACTGTGACAGATCCACCTTGTTTTGCAAAAGATCAGCAATCGTTTGTTTGACAAACTCTTGCGCTCCGTTCACGTCTCGGTCAATCAAGAGTTTGTGAAGACATGTCTCAATCACATTTTGCACCAAACGACAGTTGTCACGACGCACAGTCTACAATAACAGCAGTTGATCCATTTTAGTATTCATGCCCCCAAAAAAACAAACACATCTTTATGTCTTCAAAGCTTACCTCAATACCCTTGGCGTCTAATTTATCGTACTTTTCGGGATTCGTCCAATATAATCCGGCATAGCGTTTTTTACTGATAAGTAAATAAGGGAAGTACACTTTCTCAAAGTCAAGGTTGATCGGTTTGATAAATTCCTTCGTCACCAGTTTAGCGCCTTCTTCACCTGTATCGACATTAAATCAATCAGCAAGTTCAGGATCTTTTGTCAGACCGATGGCTCAGCCGCTTAATACACATACCCAGTTTCATGGCTTCCTCCAGATTGTCAACGCCAAACTTGATCATGACAGAATCAGTGTCACCGTAGATAACTTTGGCATCATGCTTATAACCGTTGCGAATAGAAAAATGACTCTCCACGGTCTATAAATCCACTCATCAGATATTTGTCAGCGTTAGGAAACGGGACACATTCAGTTTACCTCTTTTGTTTTGAAAATCATTTGACGACCATACGCTGTGACACTGGATGAAATCTGGAGACACGGCAGTTTTCCCACTGTGGCACCGGTAAAACCGTAAACCGAATTGGCACTGATCTGTCACGATACGTATTGGTGGTCAGGGTTAGAATCGACCACTTGTGCTCGCGCGAAATAAGTAGAGTTACCTTTAGCGCCAATTGTCGGCCATCCAGAACAGCGCGCTTGAAAGGGTCTTTTTCTTTTTTCAAGTCGTTCTTGGCTCGTTTACGAGCGGCTAAAAGGTCACCCAGAATTTCGGGAAGCAATCCCTTTCTTCTTGACGCTTTCACAAACATATCTGTGCACAAAAATTGGGCAGTTAATATGACGGTGTAAGTACATAGGGTAACTATTGCAAAAAAGAAAGAAGAGCAAAGTACCATTATTTGGCGTCACAACGTAATCGACATCCTTGACAAGATTGAGTTGTTGCACAACGCTGGGGGTCAGAAGCGTAGTGTAACAGAGATTGTGAGCCTGCATGATGGACGGATACAGAGAGGTAAAATCGAGTGTGGCAATAGGGATGTCGTAGTAGCCTTTGGTTGGCTCAATAACGGTGGCACCCTCATACTGCTCTTCCGTGACTAATGAATACAGCAAGATAAAACAAGTCGAATGATGGTTAACGAGACTATATCTCTTTTAAGAGAAAGATAAACGAGCCAAGTAATTTACCTTCAGACTTGATGACAGGAATCACGAGATCCTGATCCAGTGCTCTACGGAAAAGCTGGGAGACAACCTTGATCTGCTGTCCACGTACGAGAATGTAATTAAACGGAACACCGGTCACTCTCGCCATTTCGGTATAATTGAAAAGCAACATTAACTTGTCCATCAAACGTAGAGGCAAGTATGCATCCTTCAAACAGTACACAGCCAGACGACGTCGTGTCTCATCGTTGCCATTTTGCAGCTCGGTAATGATGGAATGATGAACATCCTCTTTTTGTTCCGCTAGAGTTCAACTATCAGTATTGTCCCAGTATCATCATTCCGGTTTTGAAAAACTTACACAAGAAGTGAGAACAAACAGAATTCAGAGTGTACGAACGCAATTTGTAATCACGTTGAATTGCTTGAAGCAAATCGAGTTGCAATCGACCTTCCAAGTTGATAGATTTGCTTTCACGCGTACCGTAGGCTTTGGAAGAGAATTTGGTATCCTTGACTTCCGTCTTGAGACCTGTATCCCAGCATATTAGGTCGATCCTTTTCCACATGCCAAATGAAGGGGTCCACGACATTACCTTTGATTCTGCCAAAATAGGGGAATTTGGCGACCCCCAGATGTTTGGCTCTGTCCAGCAAGTAGGGAAAATCAAAGTTGTTGATGTTATATCCAATGATAACATCAGGATCCACCTAAATTTGGTACACAGGTTAGAGCAAGTTATTTTTCGCAAGACAGTCAATCACATACCTCCGTGACGAAATCGCGCCATTTCTGTAATAATTCGCGCTCATCATAAAAGGATAATACTTGAGAGCCGACGATATGCGCGCAACTGTTGAGAGTAAAGACGTTTCTAATGAATGGCTTGGATTCGCCTAAAAAACCAATATTCCATCAGCATCGGTCCTTTTTGCATGAATATCCCTCACAGATTTTACCTTGTACTTTGACGACCGAAGCGATTTGAATAATAGGATCATGCTCTGCTTCGGGGAAAATACCCTTTCTTCCCGCACACTCAATATCGAAACTCAGGATGCGCAAGGGTGCCATTTTGGACCATTCATCTTCAGGCGCATGACTGATGAACTGATTATACCTGTAACAAGAAAGGGTTATTACCAATTCTCGCTCTTGTGAGTTCATCCTTGCAATCAAAGGCACCTACGTTGTCCGAACTTCTACTTGAGCATGAGACACAGGGTTTTCTACTATGGAATAAGTGCCTGCAGGTAGTTCGATCCAATTGGAACCAGTGACCTGCAATTGAAAGGTTGAGCTTTTCACAAAACATTGTAACAAGTAGGGATAATCATACCTTGCAATCAATCATGAAACGAAGGAGATAGGCTAAATTGCTTTCGAAAGTAGTGTCGGCTTGACACATGCGATCCAATCCAGGGATCTGCACACCACGTTCCACGCAATTTTTCACTTTGGAGATGTCCCTTGGGTCGTAGACAGTGACCTTTACAAAAGGCGACTTGGACTCCCCACGGTATCCATAGATGCTTTGTTTCATTGCAATGGTCACGTCGGCAATAGCATTCGAATTGCCAACGGCAGACTGTTAAAGTGTCCATCTCAGTCAGCCAATGCAAATGTGAATGTGGTGGATCATTAAAAACATACCGCGAGTGACGCTTTGACGGCAGGTAGATGTGTTCGTTGCAAGCCCACGGGTGCTGGAAAGTAAAAGTAGGGCAAGAAACCGTGAACATGGCACACGACGCTGTTTCCATGCTGATGGTAATATTAGAGTCAACGATATTCGCTCCCCTCGGAAAGATCCAGGTTTTGCTTACTTCTGTGACACCATAAAAGCGAATGACGGGTTTTCTTGTTTGATAATCCATGTACTCATCGGCTTCGATCTGCTGAAAAACTAATGACCGAGATGCGTTAGCTGCGCCACGGTCTGATCTGGCGTTTTCTGCTTACCGAGCTTCTCCGTTGCAGGATTCACTGCAGGCATGGGTGCCCGACCCCATACAGCTTCTGTGTTTTCAGCTGAATAAAGAAAGAAACGATCAATAAAAAAAAGTGGTCATTGGGGAATGGTAGGTTGTGTTAGACTCACTCTTGATATCGATATCCATCTGTTCTTCAAGCAGTTGCAGTTCCTCTTCAAACGCAGAAGATTGCTGCTTTTTCAGCTGCGATCCGAGAGGGCCGATCTTTCTTTTCTTGCTCGATGCGCCAGGCACGAAAGGATTCGTCGACAACTGTAAATCGTTTTGCATGGTGTTGTTTTCTGCAAGAGCGTCCACAGATTGAGATGCCATTTTTTTTATAATCCAAGGACGGACTGCAATTGAACGCGCTCTTGCCAAAAACGCGTCCAAAAAAAAAGTTTGACCTCGAAATTTCCAACACGGTATCACGTGACGGATCATAGTGCAAAGGATGCAGCCGCCCTATTGTACAGCATCCAAAAAATAAAGCCGATCTCTCCTAATCTTCGTTGCTTTGCTGGAACATTGAGGAGCTTTTTTTCAAAAAAGGCAACTGCCATGCTCATAAAGTTGTGGATGATATAACGACTTGTGCCGAGTAGTTCTGGGGCGAATTATAACTGGAACCTGTCGGAGCACTTTTTTGTATATTTCAAAGTAATTTAACGGATTGTTCGTTCACTAGGTAAGGAATAACAATACGTCTGATCAGACTGTAATTAGTTGATGGACATGCATCAAAAAAACACAACTTGTTCATCTTGTTGTTTTTTGTTGTAAATTTTTGAAGCGATATCGTTATGTTGAACCAGGATAATTTATTATTATTTCAATTATTGTCCTGGCAACAACAACAACACTGACGCAAAAGATACACAGAAATTAGTTGGGTATACCGGATGAGAGTTTATTGTATAGATGTTCTGGTATGACGGGTGAGAGTCCCGTTTTCTCACGGAGTCTGTTCCTTGAATTCGTATTCTTCATTCTTATTTAGTCGGAAGAATCGCGGATTCCATTGAACACCTTCTTTCTGTCGAGCCGCAGCTTCCTCTCGTTGGCGATTTTCAATGAGCGTTTTTTCCTCGGTCGCAGTATCCATATCGTTGCACTTGATGGCGGCTGTGACCTTTGACCACAGACTAAAAAAAAAAGGAAAATAATAAAAATCAGTACAAAAAAAATACACCAAATGATATCATCATTTTTGCAACCAAGTTGATATTAATACTTACCGTCTGGATTCCAGTGGTTCTTGATCTTTTTCATCCTGAACCAGTTTTGCATGAATCGAAGCTGTTTTCACATTGAAAAATGATTCTTTGGCGGAACTCTAAATATCCCAAACAAGGCAGGTTGAGATCTCGGAGATTCTCCGCTTCAAGTTTTAGTTTCGATCACTTACTTTTGTGGATTTGATGAAAAGCTCGTTGGCCCAAGTGCCCGAAATCTCGTACAAGACTTCACCTGTTGATTCCTTTTTGATTTTGCCAATCACACCGTGATAATGACCGGAAAAGAATCCCTACAGGGGTCCCGAGAAAATCCGATAAGCAAACAATTGGACAATGGGGGATGTCCCACGCAAAAAAGATCCCGATTGTACCTTTGTTTTGAAATCCAGTTCGCAAACCAGGTCACTGGTCACGCATCGAACCATGCACTGATCTCCGAGTTCCATGATCATCTTACCGACTAGATCAAAATTAGAATCACCCAGAGAAAAAAGAATCAATGTTCATGAGAAAAAAAAAACCATAATGCGCAGTGATCAATTCAAACTTACATAAGATGCCTCTTGCATAAACATTAGGATTCGTGATATCGTAAGTCTCATTGTGAAGATGGGCAAATGTGATTCGGGAGTAACCTTTCATGATCGTCGCCGCACTGTTTCCGAGAAACTTGGCTTTCGGATGTGCTTCTCCTTGGATATAAATACCGTGCTTGGGATTCTCATAGTGATATGCGGAAATGGGAGGGTGATGCGATACTTGCTCGGCGACGTAAGAAGCTTCGGTGCCGTCATCAAACCGCCATTGGCAGCGGAAAAACTCGCCCAAAACTGGATTGTATGGTTTTTTTACACCCTACCATTGTTATTTCAATTGTTAATATTCTGATTTGGTCCGGTGACAATCCCTCGGAACGGCGAATCCCATGAGAAAAAAAAAAAAAAAAAATTGAAAAAATAAAACAAAGAATAACAGAGGACAGAAGAGGGAAAAAAGAGAAACTGGTCGAAAACCATAATCAGGACAACATTCACCTTTGCTTTTACATGCCAGCCTGAAAGGAAATATTTGGTCACGGCCACAAAACGTTCGACAGGATCGGTCATTCGACTTGCTCTAAACCAAAAGAAAATTTCAGTGAATGGTTAACTGGCAGTGACGACAAAGAGATAAATTCGACAGTTACTGTATACATAAGTCGGGGTGGCTCATAAAGTCGGTGATTTTCTCGAGCATACTACGAGGTTCCAACACAAAGGTCGGTAAAGTGACACGCGACAGATCCATGTCTTTCCGCATCTGACTTATAATGCCCATAATGATGCTACGGTTGCCGCCTTCCAATACTTCGGTGTTGGCAGCATCGTCGTCGGGAAAGGCGTCTTCAGCTGTGTTTTTTCGGCTCATATTACAAGGCGAACAAAGGGACCAACCAAGAAAAAAAAAAAAAAAAGAAAACGAAAGAAGGGGATTTGGAAAAACGTGATGGAACGAGTGATTTTGAGACCCAGAAAAAAATCCCGGGTTTTTGTAACAAGTCCATCACACCCGACGACCGAAAGTGGGACCCCTGATCTGTTGTATGCTCCTCCTTTTCATACAAACCGAACAAAAAATGCGACAACACCCATAAAAACTAAAGAACATTATAGAAAACAGCTATAAAAAGTTGCAATCACAAAAAAAAAAGTATATTTAGGAGACTTTGGTCTAAAGAATCAAAAAAATCACTGCTCCTTTTCAACATTTCTGCACCGCAAAAAAAAAGGGAACGGACCTGTCCAAAGGTGAAGACGATCCGAGGGTTTTCGGAGTTTAAAGTTATCCTAAGTACGCACGTGACTGGAGTCCGGATCCCGGAATTTTTGAGAAATGAAGCTCAGAGTCCCTTATTGCCAGTCGAACTGTGGACACTGTGATCCTTCTTTCACATCGACAAGGTAAAAGAGATGCCATCCATCCATCCTTCTATATCAAACGCACGTAGTAATCCCAATTATCTCTTTGACGATTCTCTAGAGCCGCATTATGGTTGCTTTGAATTTGCCCGCTGACGTTTTGGCCAGCGCTGATGGCTCTCGCAAGCTTTTCAACAAGTGGTCGTACGAGGATGTTGAGGTCAAGGACATTTCCCTTCAGGATTACATCCAAGTCCGTCAGCACGTCTACTTGCCCCACACTGCCGGTCGCTTCGCTGTCAAGCGTTTCCGTAAGGCTCAGGTATGCAAAATCAACTACGAAAAAAAAGGACATTCGCCCATTGGACAATACGGATATATGGAGAGAAAAAAAACCGAGGAAAACGAGATACAAACCACACAAGGGAGAAAACTATGGAGACAATGGGCAAAAAAATAAATGGAAGGAAAATTATGGATGGGATTGCCGTACTCACCTTGGAATTCTCTCGCATTATGTGTAGTGCCCCATTGTTGAGCGTTTGACCAACTCTCTCATGATGCACGGTCGCAACAACGGCAAGAAGTTGTTGGCTGCTCGCATTGTTCAGCACGCTTTCGAAATCATCAACTTGTTGACCGACCAGAACCCCATCCAGGTTCTCGTCGATGCCATCATCAATACCGGTCCCCGTGAAGATTCCACCCGTATCGGTTCCGCTGGTACCGTCCGTCGTCAGGCCGTTGATGTTTCTCCTCTCCGCCGTGTCAACCAGTCCATTGCTTTGTTGACGACCGGTACTCGTGAAGCTGCTTTCCGCAACGTCAAGACCATTGCTGAATGCCTTGCTGATGAGTTGATCAACGCCGCCAAGGGTTCCTCCAACTCTTATGCCATCAAGAAGAAGGACGAACTCGAACGTGTTGCCAAGTGTAAGTTTTTTATTACCGTTTATCGTTTATCATTGGTTCCTATGATGCTAATTCGGCTTTTTTTTTTCTCTTTTTACAGCCAACCGTTAAATTTCGTGTATATGTGCTTCATGGCGACCTTGTAGAGTTTCCAATAAAAAAAAATTCCATATTCGAAAAAAAATGCTGGCTGATTTTACTTTTGGTTTTTCTATTCATTATCTTCTTGGGCGTAATATAACTTCTTTTCCTCGATTTGCTGCTCAATGCTTTGTAAATTAGGCAGGTTTAGATAAGAGTTATGGTAACCGACGACTTCATCCATCGGCATGTGAGGAATCATGTTTCTATTGAAAAACCACAAGCATCCATAAGCACATGTTTTTTAAGTGGGCGAGGTTTGTAATCCTTTTTTCGTTCTCGCTTACCTTCTTGGTGAAACCTTCAAGCAATGCTCTGCATCCATTTGAAGGTCCAAGACGCTGTCATAGTGTGCACCAGGACTGAACCCAATTCGTAGAGAATATTCTTTGGCCTTTCCGTTCATGTGTCGATTGCGCTCATACAGCTCAAAGGTGATTTGGGTTAAAACTAAGTAGAAAATCATTAGCACCCATCAAAACAAATAAGAAGGACAAGGTAATCCACTCACAGTCGAGTTCAGATAAGAGATTTCTTGGGAACTTGGTTGGAACACCTGATTGATAGACAAGGTTCAACAGAGCATGGACATGAGATTCTAATACAAAGAAAAGGCGGCCAATTAGAAGAAAGCGTCTACCAAGACCACTATCACTTGCGTTGTTACCTTTGGTGAAAAAGAGTCGCGTTCTTGGGTTATCAGAGGTTTTTATTTCCTCTAATTCACGCAGAATCGCTTTCAATAACGGTAAACTGATCAGTAAACCGATATTCTTCTTCTCTGCGTCGGTGATGCCGTACTCTTGCGGGGCCACAAAGTTGAAAAGCACACGCATGTACATGTACAAGTTTCGCAAATCCGTACTACTTCCTTCCTTGTCATCGTCGTTGCAGAAAATGGCCTCCAAAAATGTGCGGTTGTGCAGTGCATCGTATTTCAATGAATCGTACAATTCTGGAATACCGGCAGGATCGGGGTTGCCATCGGCATCACAAAACGTTTTGAACATCTTTTCCCATCGCTCTTTGAACAGATTGGGCGATTCAAAACAACACCAGCGTCTCTGAATGGCATTCACATCCTTTGTAGCCCAGTTATGGTGCATGGTAGCACGCATACGAGCCATAATGGTCTGAACTTCTTGCGATACCATGTGGGGTTGTGGCATGTCCGTTGGCCATCCTGCTTGGGCCAGTTGTAAAGGGGACACTTCATATCCAGATCGTAATAACGTCTTGAGCTCTTTCTTTACGGCATCCATTTGCTCTTTGGCAGCATTGCTGTCATCCAAAAGATATTTGCTTTCCATAATCACGCCATCCACGGATTCCGGTTGGCCGAGGAACCAACGAGCAAACACGTCAGCTACAACGGAACCGTATTCAAAACAAGATTAACAACCAGTATGTCATTGTTTTTTTTTCTTCTTACCTGTGGCACGCACACGACGTTCAGAGCTACTATAAATTTCAATGTCATCGAAAATGTGTCGGTTCAAAATAATCATGTCTTTGCGTAAATTCTCTCCCAAATCGCGCGATTGATGAAGGCCGGCATGAGTAAACTGAGACAGAAAGAAAGAGACGACAATGAATAACCTCCTGAAAAGCCAAATGGTGCCCGTGAGATGACGGGTGAGCGAACTTGGGTACTTACCTCACCGCCCCATTTGAGGTTGACCTTGAGTTGTCTCAGTTCGCCTGTTTCCTTATCAAACAATGGCTTCAGCTGAACTTTGGTGCCTGGTAATTCCGATTTCTTTTCCAAAATTTCTTTCATGGTCTTGAACTTTTCCGTATCTTCGTCGGGTTCGAGCGCCAAAGAAGCATCGATGGCTTCCGTCACCAGAGCCAATTGATGTTTTTGGCGGAATACCACTTCTTGCGTACTTCCCTGCAGTAAATCGATAAAGGGTTGCGATTTGACCGATGTTTTATGTTTGTTCTTTGGTGTGCGATCCGCGTGACGGAAGACGGCCACAAATCCTTTGAGGCGCCAAGAACTTTCGGGAGCAATTTCCGGTGGCATCATATCGCCAATGGACGGTTGACGCTGGACGCTGCGGAAGAATGTTTCGCTCAACAACCGAGCACACTGATCGTAATAGAATTCATTGCCTTTGACAAAACTCCAGCCATTGACGTCGATGACGTACGATTTGCCATCCACTCGGAGGAGATCCAAACCGCACACAGTCTGTCCAAACGCATTCGATACTTTGCGTGCAATTTCTTCTTCTTCCAAGGTCAGTTTTGTGCAATATCTAATTTCCTTGCCCTCGGTATTTCGTTTTACAAGGCCGTCCACTGTAGGTGATCTATGAAAAAAAAAAAAAAAAAAAAAAAAACCATGATGCAGATAAGTGATCTATTCAGAAGAAAAATAAAGGTGACAATGGGTTTTATAATTACTTTCTCGTTTCGGCATGAATAAAGGTTGGACCCACGGTGTACACCTTGATATCTTCGCTATTTTCAGCGTCCATCATTTTTTCGTATACCCAAGATCCAGTCAATGACGGTGTTTCCAGCTCTGGGTCAAAGGCACTTGATTTATTGCCGACCTAAAAACGTATGGCTTGTTAATCGGAGATCCCGCGCATCTCTTTTTCTCTCCCACTCTCTTGCCTTGCGGAATAAGCGTCTTCCTCCTCCGCCTTTACGTTCGGAATAGTAAATATTGATGTTGTGATCTTCACCGTCGGCCGGCTTTTCGATAAAGGTTTTATTCAGGCGCTGACCGTCGACTTGGATAGAATCTTTGGCGATGCGCACGACATCCGAGTTTTTGGAATATTTGAATATAACACGTTCCATATCCATACCCGTACACACTTCGAAAGCGCGCGCAGCGTCCGCATCCACTTTGGCTCCCCCATCGCGGGATACAACCAATCGAGGCGGTGTGGGAACACCAATAGCATCTAATACGGCTAACACCACACGTCGATCCCACAGTAAGGACTGCATACACACGTTGTTGACCGAGAATGGTTTTCGTAGCTTTTCATACTGGATCGCTTTATCCAACGGAAATCCACCCGAGAAAAAACAGATCAAAAAGTCACAACCTGGCCAATTTTCCACCTCTACAATAATACGATTGAGTCGAATGCTTCCTTCACTTTTAATTTTTGAGAACCGACCTTCGTCCAAAATGGTCTTATCGCCAAAGATGACAATATCAAAGTCACCATAGGCCAACAAACGATTGAGTATATGGCGCATAGGCTTCGATCGTGCCTTCTTATCAAGTGCACACACGCCCACGACATCTATTCGAATCCAACACAAATCATTTCAGAACCCATGCATACGACAACCAACTGCCCATAGTCCGCGTTAAGCCACCTACATTTGCCTCTGCTCGATGTTGGTGAATTCACTTCCAACGTGGCTGAACCCGGCGTCATGGTTAATGATAACAAGGTATATTTTGCACAATGAAAGGCAAAAGCAAAAAGATTAAGAAAAAAAGATTTAAAAAAAAAAAAGTAAAATCTCAGCTTAACGGTGATCGAAGCGATGGACAACCGTAGAAATGTGTTTCATTGTAATGTGCTTATGTAATGCGTTAGGTTTCTCAACATGTCAAGAAATTTTGGCATTGACAGAATTGACGTCTTCATCCACAAGTTGCTTCACTGCTGCAAGTATGGTTATTTATTTTCCCCTCTTTTTCGTGTCAATAGCGGTTCACAAGGACTGATGAAAGACCGAGACACTGGCAACTCAAGTTTCATCATTTTAAGATCCCGGTTTCGGAATATGAATGAACAGCAGCGTCACAAAATGACGATTTTTTGGCTGGTCTCACAGAAGGCAGCTTCTTTTTGACCCACATCCCACAACTGCAGCCCCATTGACGACTCTCAATTGTTGCTGCGAAAGGAGAACACGGCCCGCAAGTTATGGATATTTCACTATAAATAAATATCGCTTCCAATAGCCAGAAGAAGAGGTATCTCTTGCTTTCTTTATTTTATTTTTCTCTTTCCCAGTTCTTCCTTTCATTTTTATTTTTCTTTCCATTCCATATGATTTATCCTAATCACTTTTTCATGCCATTTAGCATGTCAAGATTAAACCACTCTAATCCGCGTTCTCTGCATTCGCCTTCTGCAACCAGCTCTGATGAGGAAGTAGACATTACCGAAGATCCTATCGATGAAGGCGTGATTCAGTGCGTCTGCGATTCCACCGATGACGACGGATTCACTATTCAGTGCGAAAAATGTCTGGTGTGGCAACATGCATTTTGTGTCAAAATCAAAAAGAACAATATCCCTGAACATTACCTCTGCAATCGCTGCGATCGGAAAGCATTCATCCAACGACGATCCGCGGATTCGTTAAAACGACGCAAGGGAAGCTCTTCTGCATCCAATGCTTTATCACTGGAGAATAAAGACGTGAAAAGGCCCTTGCCGCCCACCGATACGTCGCCCAGTGACAACAAAAGGCGTGCGACAAATAGCACCGACGCCAAAACGAAGAAACAGCATTTTCGTGACATTTACAACAGCACGCGTGACAATGACGAATGGCAGCCACGTTCCGCTACAGTCAAGAAACCTAAATTGTCTCAACGGATCGCCGTACGGAAACGCCCTGTTTCTGACGATGACGAACAAGACGACGAAGATCTTTTGGGTTCTCCTTACGATTTCTCCAGAGTGACTGTCCGAAAACAGAAACAAAAGCTCGCTGCGGATAAAAAATCAAAAATGGGGACCAAGAGCAAGGTAGTGAGACAGATATTCAAAGAAGGTCTTGAACAATGGAGAGATCCGAAAGCCGCTACTGCTAGTCAGTTTGTCGTGATGGATAGTAACACGCTGCTTCCTTCCATTCCTAAAGCGTCTGCTCGACCGTTATGGAAATCACTACATGGGGCACCTTTAGGCCGCGATGACCCCTCCGTAAGAAAGGGAGTCTTTGCAGATATTCATATACCAGCCGATCGATTTCTGATGGAAGTGAACGGAAACGTCATGCTTAAATCCGAATACAAATGCGATCCTACCAACGAATTCCCCATCCTTGGCACGCCTCGTGCTCATGTCATTTTTTATCCGTCGCTGGATCTCTGCATCGACACTAAGAATAGTCACAGCCATGTACGGTACATTCGCCGGTCATGTCATCCCAACGCCGACGTACGCTGTATTGTCTTGCCTCATGCCAAAGACGATCAAACCATTCATCTTGGCGTCTTTACACGAGAACATGTGGATAAAGGGGAAGAAATCACCATTGGATGGAACTGGCAGCGTGGCCATGTGGCGTGGAAAAAAAGTATCGAATGGCAGAAACAGGAAAACGGGATAAAGGAGCCTCAAACCTTGACAGAGGACGAAAAACGCGACAAATTGACCGCCATGCAAAAGATGTTGCGTCTATTCACGGAAGAGTTTGGCGAATGTGCTTGTCGAGATAAGGAAACGTGTCTGATTGAGTACATGAAGGACGAGATTGAAGAAGACGGAGATCTCTTGTCAGACGACGGAGAAGGCATGAAAAAGAAATCCGGCCGTTCGGGCAGCACCAAAAGTCCACCATTTCCCATGAAGACCAAAGGTCAAACTCGACGGGGCAGCGATGCGGTCTCGCCAAAGCAGAAGAAAGGTAGTGCAAGTGGAAAATTGAGTCGCCCCGAAATGGAGACCATGCGATTGGATACGGAGCGATTGCCACGTTCAGATTACACTCACTTTCATGATTCGGACTTGACCATCACCAACTCTCATCTCCCGAACAAACCATGGGGTAACAAAAAGGCATCATTGAAACATGAATCCGGTGTCTCATCTGCCGAAGAGGATGCAATGGAAATTGATGTAACGACGACTTCGCCGAACTCACGTCGACCTTCCATCTCTGTCAAAGATACAGAGAGTGACAGCGAAATCCTGGATATCATTGGCGACACGGATGCTTCTGGATTTGACAACAAAGACCTTTATCCTTCTGGCCCCCAAAGTTTAGATACCCATACCAGGGCAGCCAAAGTACGACGATTAAACCATGGTTTGACCGTCTCATCCGCCAGCAACGGAGAGTCGCTGTCTCCGCAAAAGATGATTTCCAAATTACCCTGCAAAAAGCTCTGGATGCGCAATTATCTGCAAGAAAAAGCCGCTGCTGAAAAGGCGCAAGAATACCCAGCATCAAGTAAGTACCTTGGCGGCCCTTGTTGGTTTGATGGCCTGTTCAGTGCAGCAGCAGCAGTGATTCTCATCCCATTGTCTCCTTTTTTAGATCCTTCCGCATCTTCTGTGAAGAAAGAAAAGGCGGAGATCTCGCCGCCGCCGCCGCCACAAAAAGACATTAATATTTTCTCCCCTTCTTCGAGCCTTAAACAGGAACCTGTATCAACTACCGACACATCATTCACTACCGTTACTGCCCCATCCTCTTCCCTCCCATCCAACTCTTACGCTTTGACCCAAGAGCAGGAGTTTGACGAACTTATGATGGACGATGGACAATTGAGCGTTGCGAGCTCTGCTTCGACCCTTCCGCTGGACGATGGTCATCGAAGCGATCTTGACGACGCCAATGAGCTTTCTTTCAAATCCATGGATGATCATCAGTTGTTACCATCTTTGGAACCGTCGGCGGACCCTGCAGCTGTGGATTTGCCAAGTACCTTGCCCAACGTATCTGAATCCAAAGATGATGACATGGTCAAGTCTGAACAGACTGAAAATGTGCTCAATGACATTTTACAGGTGGAGGAGGAAAAGACCACGGATACAACAGCGCCATCTGCGTCGACTGTCAAGGAAGAGCACAATCGTGAATCAAATGCCGAGAAGAGCTCCAAAACAGTCGCCTCTGAAGCACGCTCTGAGCTCACCAACCCTGCATCGAAAGAGGACATTTGTGCGACCGGTGCCAATGTCGAGACGACGCAAGCTGTAGAGACCAAACCGGTGAAAATTAAACTGTCTCTTCAAGAATATCTTTCACGGAGGGCAACCAAAGGAGCTGTCCAAGAATCGACACCTTCAACCTTACCTGCCGAAGCAGCTGAAAATATACCTTCGGTTCGACCACAAGATCCCCATGAACCTCCCGTTGTCAATGCATCAGACACATCTACACCCACCGTATCCCTCAACCATGTGTAATTTCGCGCTATTCTTTAATCTAAGCGCATGCGCTTTCCACTTTCACCACATGCGATTTTTTCACAAAAATACTTGATTCTCTTGTGATTCGTTGCCGCAGCGTTTTCACACAATTCCTGCAAATCCCTCCTCCCCTACCCCATTCAAGGAGTAACTAGCATCCACTATTAGCACCAGTACATACATTCTATTTGCATATTTGCTCATGTCAATCTTTTAATCATTGTTTCACTTATTTTCTCGCTTTGAAAAATCGAAACATTTGTGTCTACCGTTCTACACATTGCGATTCAATTCGTATTGTATGTTCTTGATTTTGCGCTTACTTTACAGTCAAATTCTACAACAGGTTTTACTTGTTGCTCAATTATGTGTATGAACTTATTGGGGGGTGGGTTGCAAAAGAGGCCTTAAAATTGATGGGAAAAAAAAAAGTGATAATTAAATTGATTGATCTATACATTCATTAACAAGGGTTCGCTTTCTTCGGTAGAAGGGTGTCTAAGGTTGAATTGTGGCGAGTCAACGGTGATCAGGTCGCGGCTACTATGCGGGTTGACATTTCGCTGGGCAGCTAAACCGTCGTTGTTTGGCAACCCGGATAAGAACGTACGAAGTTCAACCACAAACTGCTGTAACGCGCGTTGTTCGGTGTGTCCGCATACAAAGCCTACAATAAGACAGATCGGCGCCGCAGCCGCACATAAAATCATCAAAAATCCGCCAAAAACAGCAAGAATGGTCGCAATCATTTCGCGTCGGTCATCGGACGCGTAGTAGATCGGCACGACAATCATGACAGCGTACAAGGCCAAGATGAGAAAGACGCATGTCACGAGCCACCCCAGTAATATGTTGGCCTTGCGACGGGTGGCTACATGATCTCTATGTAAAAGGTTGATGATGTCTCGGACGATGATGGGTGAAATACGTGAAAAGGTAGGACGTGTCAGTTGGGAGCATTGAGGAGCGATATTGTTGCCCATGGCAGAGGCATTCGACTGGCATGAAAAAATTGAATGCACCGCGAAATGATCGGAATAACACATGTGCGTGTTTGCTATGAAGTCGGTGAAAGCGACATTGGAACTGATACATGATAATTCGGGGGTGCGGCGATAAAAGATATAATCCAATCGATCACCGATATTTTTATCGCGAGCTTGTTGCTTGAGAAAATGCTTGGACCACGAGTTTTCTGGTGAATCGCAAGTGATACCAAAGTGATGTATACAGTCTCTGCCGTGAATTTGATTTTGTTGAAATTGACGCATGCTTTCTTCCAAGCTACTTTCATGTGTCTCCAACCATGAATCGGTCATAAACGCATGATCTTTCAGTAACGCATAATTATAGCTCGTTGGTATACTGTTGAAATCGCCCGTCTATATCGAAAGGTCAATATTTTGTTGTTCGGTGGACGAGCAAGCATCCATTGTCGCGTGATACTCACCGCAATCACTTGCCGTCCCTGGGCTGCCGATGTACGTAGTAAATTGGCCAACTCCCACGACTCAGAGACTCGATGTCCTTCGTATTCATCAATTTTACCATAGCCAGCATGTAACTAACCAATTTGTATGAGCGATCACAGATAGGAATTATGGCACATCCCAACTTTTTTTTCACATACGTGGGTGGTAAACACTTCCAGGATGCCAATGGTGGGGTGTTCAATGCAGGCAGACCCACATCCTTTTCCAACGTAGAAATCGCCATGGAATATCTTCAACGGCCTGCCTGCCAACGAGTATCGGAGGTAGGATGATGAAATAATGGGATATCTCGAAAAAATTGCCAATCCACTACCAAGAGCCCCGCTGTAAAAGTACTTGCTGTATGGAAGATTATCGGCAACTCGGGATTTGATATACTCGTAGTCTTGCGACACCCACAGTTCTTGCAACGTTACGATATCGTACTCCTGTTGACTAACAGCATCGCCTATCGCTCTTAACCGAAATTGCCGTTGCTTCGATACAAATTTCAGACCCCTACAAAGCCATGGTGATGTATATTAGTGTGCGAGCATGCCGCTGGAATCCTTTTCGGTTCGAGATGCCATACCAGCAATTCAATGATAGCACCGACAATTGTTGGGCATCGGATTGCATAGCGTATCAATCTTGACTATATTTCTATGTTACGTGTTCTGAGATGAAGATGGTGACAGCGCCACTTTTTTACGGAGATTTTATTGAGGTGTTTGGTTGCAAATATCTGGAGACAATAAAAGAAGGAACAAAAAGTCCGTTTTCTGCATGTCTTTTTTCGCGGTAGTCTTTTTTCCGGAATCGGAGACTTAAAAAAACGCGGCGGTCAAGCCAGCCAGAATGGAAAAAAAAAAAAGACCACTCGGGCCACGGAAGCCGTGTCATTCAGATCGCTGCTTTTGACATCGAGACTATGCGCACGTACCGATCCTGGTTTCCTCTTAGTAAGGTATAACGATCATCCATATCAAATATCTAAGCTTATCTAACCGGCCGTACCGCTGAAAAGATAAAGAGACATCTCCAATAACTTGATCATGGATTTTACATTTTAGACATAAACACATTTTCTTCCATTGATATGAACGCGATGAGTATCAGTGGATTGTTCATCATGACACAGTCCCAATTGGGTATCTATTGAAAGAACATTAGCCAATGATGGTGCGCAATTGCTTGAATAGTGAACCATAAACGCCCTTCAGGAGCTGTCAATGCCGTGTATTCACGTTTTCGTCCAATCAGCATCCAGCTTTTTTCACAAAGCAGAAAGAAGCCACCAACGTTTATATTCTTTCAGCCATGAACATAAATTCAAGAATCGCGTATTCTCAAAATAAAATATCTCATTGAAGGGCCATCTACTTGTAGTATGTGAACCTTTCTATTTCGACAAAAAGACAGGAGAAAGTCAATAATCCTATTTAACGGTGAATGCAAATAATTCCTCATCATGCTACCGCTAAAAAAGCATGTAAAAAAAACGGGGTTCACGAGATTATAACCAAAATGCATAGTATCATTTTTCATTCTACTATTCTTCTTCTAATTATCTTATTTCTCTTTTCCGTTTCTTACGGCCACCATTAGCATACATCGGCACGATTGACGAAACTTGTTCTTCTTATTTTAAAATTTTATCTTTTTCCTCATATAATTGCTTAATACCTAACGGATTGGGTGAACGTCTTTCCGCTCCATACGTGTATCTTCGACAGCTTGTCATACGTACAATCCACCTTTGCCAACCCAACGAGTTTTCGATCGACATTCGACTTTATTTTTCCCAATACAATAATTATAAAAATGGAAGAATCGATTTTCAAAACCGATGCGGAAGCGGCATTTTCAATCATGTTTGTCAGCGTCGGCATGTCATGTTTTATCTGGCAATCAATGCGCTCTGGATGGATGTTTTATATGGCACGCAAGCCCATTCACTTTGTGGTGTTTGCTCAAGCCGTTCTAGGTGTCGTCGTCACATTTGTCACTCTTTTGACTTCACTTGTGGAGATCAGCTGTTATTTCGTAAGCTACAAGGATTCATTTCTCTTATAACATCATTTTATTCTTACGCCATATGCAGCAATTGGCATTTTCGATCATTGGAGTAAATCTGGGAGATATCGCATTGCAATCAGTATTATTGTGGAAAGCCTATCTAGGCAATAGTCGGTCCAAGGTTATTCTAGGCATTGGTGTGCTGCCATTGATTGGTATCGTGGTATTTATTTGGACCAATTTCACCGGGGCGCCGTCAAGTAGCATATACAGACAAGGTGTTTGCGATACATACTATCGTAAGAAGTCTCCATCGCAACTATTTTTTGACGCGTTGCACGCTTGACTGACATTTTTATTGGTTTTTAGCCGGGAATATTGTAATTATCAAGGCGGCCTTGGACTTTTCATCCAATATCTTTTTATCTTTTTGCTTTCTCTTGGTTATCTATCGTCATTACCGTATTCTGGGCACTAGTGTGCAAAAAACACTTATCAAAGAAGGCCTTATTTATTGGTAAGACTCTATCGTAAACTTGCAAAGAAAACTTAATTTAATACAAAGTGACTTCACCTTAGTTTTGGTGTATGCACTTCCAATGTCCTGACTGGCATTTTGCTCACGCTAAAAGTATTGGGCGGAAGTACACCGGTTCTTTACACGATCGACTGTAAGCCGAGACAACCTTATTGTAGTGAGCTCAATTCACACGACCTTTTTTTTTTCTTAGGGTACCTGGCTTCGTATCTAATTATTAAGCAGATTAAATTCGGTCGTGAAGGAGAGGAAGAAAATGAAGAAGAGGATGAGAGTCAGAGCACTGTGGACGGCCAGTCGTACAAGTCGAGCCCCCTGGAAGAAGAAGAGGGAATCCGACGGTCGCCGTTGTCGGAATTTAACGGTGAACCAAATTACCATGGTTATTACGTGCCAAGCACGCCCCAGAGTACACTGGTCTCGCAAGTGAAGGAAAAATCCCATTGTACAAAAGACGGGCGGTTGTCTGACCCCATTGTGCCACCACTGTCACCTTTGGAAAGTTTAACACCCACACTCAATAATTGTAACTCAGTACGATGGAGTAACCACACAGAACCTGGTTCCAAAAAGCGGGGGGCCTCATCGATCCGAGACAAAGAAACCGAGCGACGAAATACACTGCCGCCAAATGTATGACACCGGCGGTCCAACAAAAAGAGCATCAGACAAGAAATTCCATGAATAAAACAAAACCCTATTCAGGGATATCACGTTCATTTCCTCAAGTTGGAAGAAAGAAGAAAGAATAAGGAATCAACAAACCACCACCGTTGAAAATCGTTGTTTTTGTCACGATCTGATAAGAGTTTTTTTTTTGGCCGTCGGTTATACAAACCTAATTGTGTAGTTTTTCCGGGATTTCTTTTCCGTGTATTAACACTCTTGTTCCATCTACAAATACCGCATTTAAGACTTCCGGGAGTCATCAATAACGGAACAGGAACATGAGTGTCAAAAAACAAAAATTACAAGTGGGTTGACACGACTTTACAACGCAGGCACTTTTTTGTTACAAGTCAGCTTTTCTGTGTATGTAGGATAAAGCTTTTCTTTAGTCTTGACTGGTTGTAAGAAAAACCAGAGGGGGACTTATTTGCTGCTTATTCATGTGAAATAAAACCTTCACGCTGAGATAAGCGTTTTCAGTCCTTTTTGGTTTTTCCTGTAGTTGCCTATTGATAGATAAGTTCATATGACCATTTATATGAAGGGCGTTTTGGGTTGATCGATACAAAAAGGCGATGCTAATAAATCATCCAAAAAGGCTGCGTGGATCCTCGTATGTTTGTTGTACTTGACCCAAGTCAACACAAGATGTTGGTTTTTTATTTTTATTTTTATTTTATTTTATTTTATAAAAAGGACTATTGTTCTTTCAACGTCCACCTTGCAGTGATAAAGTTTTCACTGCAGGACAAAACTCTGGTTCCGAATGGGTGATGGTTATATTACAGACATTTACTTTCGGAATTGATAGCCCAGTCTAGCGTATAAACCTTGTGTTACCGACATCAAAGGAGCTAAATCCCCACGTCAGCAGGACATTTTTATCAGATTTTCTTTGCTTTTTCATTTGAAACAGACAACACCCACATGATCCATCCATAAGTGATAACGGAGCAAAGGAAAACCGGGATAGATCAACAATGATTTCATGTGTTACCTAATCGTATGGAAAGCAGTTTCGCTCTTTTGCCATGCCATGTGTGGTGATGCGTATATGAAAACTGACTTGTTTGCTGGCCAAATGGGGTATATCCGACTAAGTTTCCACTACTGTAATGATGGATGTACTGAATGAAAATGTCAACAAGATGTGTTTGTAGATACACACTAGTCGGCATCTTCACTTAATCATTTGATTTGAACAAAAAAAATAATTGACATGGAACCACTTAGAAGGCACGGTTATCAGATGGTCGTTCTTGCCCATTCACCTTGAAAGGCAACTTGCTTAATAAAAGGTCGCCCCCACCCCCCCGGACCTCCCCCCATGTGGGGGAGTGTGAAATGAACACGTAAATCTTCGTTATCAGATGGAATCTGATTGGGTTAATTTTGGAGACAGGGGTCCCGCCGAATTGTGTTTTTCTCTTTTGTTGGCCGACAGCTGGGACTTGACATCAGTATTAAAAATTTTCTTTTCCAGTCTCCTTTTTTTCGTCTTTTACTCTTTCTCTCTCTCCCCTCCCTCCTCATTCTCCCCACTCATTTTGCATTCTTATTCTTTTTTCTCGCATACGTAAAGCCATTATGGATGAAGAATACGATTATGAATCTTTGGGAAATAACTCATCGATGGCTCAAAATGCGATGGCTGGCGCCCTGGCTGGTATCGCGGAACATTGTGTTATGTATCCCGTTGACAGCATCAAGGTACAAAAAAAATCAGATATTAATACACATCAGATAATCATGGTTTTTTTCGTTGTTGCGCTTTATTCACCTGTGTATTTGATCTGCAGACTCGAATGCAAGTGATTCAAAACAGTCGACCCGCGACGGTACCTCCGCTCTCAAGTTATCCTACCGGTGTGGGGCTTCGTACGGCTTCGCGTAACCTTTGGCGAGGCGTAAATTCAGTGGTCTTGGGAGCCGGGCCTGCCCACGCTCTTCACTTTGCCACCTACGAATATTGCAAAGAATATCTGGGAGCCAATCAGCGAGGACACCATCCTTTTGCTTCCGCCATTGCTGGTGCTTGTGCCACTTTGGCTCACGATACCCTTATGAATCCTTTTGATGGTACGTTGCATCACCACCACAATCGTTTAGCGATTTTTTCAATGTACTCAATGATTCCACGGTTTTTTTTCTTTGAAATTTAGTGGTTAAACAACGTATGCAACTTCGCGAATCAACTTACCGATCGGTTAGAGAATGTGCTCGACAAGTGTTTGCGAAAGAAGGTGTGACGGCATTTTATATTTCATTGCCCACGACGTTAGCCATGTCGATACCGTTCCAGTCTGTACAGTTTGCGACGTACGAGTTTTTCCGAAAGGTGTTGAATCCTAAAGGCGAATATGACCCCAAAACACATGTGATTGCCGGTGGTTTGGCCGGAGCGATGGCTTCGTCGATTACTACTCCTTTGGATGTGATCAAGACTGTGTTACAAACGCGCGGCAGCAGCAACGATTTACGTGTGCGAAACGCAACAGGATTGTTGGACGCCATGTCCATTATCAGAGAACGATATGGACTCCGAGGCTTTTTCCGTGGGTTCCGGCCTCGAGTACTGACGCATATGCCGAGTGCTGCCATCAGCTGGAGTGTCTACGAATATTTCAAATGGTTCATGGACGCGCGACCAGCTACACAACAACAACAGCAAGATAAAAACAGTCTCTTGCTCTAAAGTCATCTTTTTTTTTTATGATCCGAGATGATCTCAAACTTATCTATCCGATTTCGGTGAAGAAGAGATCTCATCTATTTATATTCCTCTCCAAGTTTATTATTCTTTTCTTGACACCACTCGCCAACTGATGGTATTTTATCCGGATTGCATGTTGTCTCTACGTTGTATCATAGTTACCTCCCCTCTCTTCTTTCTTTAATTCTAGTTTTCATTTCGATCTTTTTTTTTTTCTTTTTTTTTACCCCATCATTCTTTGTACATAGGCTTGTCCCACATTTCATTTTAGAAGACTAAAAAAAAAATTTGTCAACCTGAAAAGAAACTTGATGATGAAAAAAAAATAAACGAACAGGATTGTCAGCATCATCCTGTGACTGATTTTCATAGAGTAAAAAGTGGTGGAAGGTTTTCTATCAGTGACATGTGAAGTTGACCCTTTTTTTTTGTCTTTTTGCAGGTGATATCTCGACTAGATTCGTATAACTGGTTAAGATCTTGTCAAATTTTCATGCTTATCTTACGGTTGCAACCAAGTTAAACCCGCCAGTACGACCATCATTCCCCCCCCCCAGGTCATAGCTCAAGGCGGAGTAATACTTCCGACCTTGTTAGTGCGTTGTTGCACCCATGGTTTGCGAGTCATGATTCGTATTCCCACGATGTGAACGTGTGTAATGGCCGGAACAAATTAAAAGTGCCACAGCTTGTGTTTAATTTCTCGTAACCCCGGTTCTCGCATGGAGTGTACCATGGCTTCGCTTTGATATGTCTTTGTCTATCTCTATTTTGTGAGAGTAGTAACCACTTGTGTCAAGAACTTCCGTCGCTCCATACCGCTTACGTACCTCCAATGTATCTAACGTTCTTTCGAATGTATCTTAGTGCGCGTCTGTTTTAAGCCATGAAATACTGTATGTCGATTTCCAAACCACTGTTATATGGTGATGACTAACACAGTTGTTATGACGATACTTTAAATTGTTCACTTCAAGACAGTTACGTTCAGTTAAGAGTCATGGCTTAGTTAGCTATAAAAAGTGAGTATCTCCTAGCAATTGCAAAGTTGGTGAGGCAAATGGATTCCCCATAACCAAGCTTTGGACTTTGTTAAGGGAAAATGCCTATCTACCAGGCTTAATTTCCGCCATCTTTCACAGAAACAATTTTGATTAGATGGCGAACACTGCTGCGCCTCGTTCATTATGTGGATTTCCTTATTTCTCCTTCTATGTCACATAAATCTTTTGAGTTGTGCCGGTTTGAAAGACAAACATACCATACTTCATATTCTTTCCAGAGTAGTCATCTTATGGTACCGGATTAAGCTCAAGCAATCGGCACTACTATTCGCTTATGGCATAAGTAATCCTATCTTCTTTGTGTTAAAATGTTTGAAATTGCGAAAAAGAAAAACTCATGAAGTATCCGTATACATTAATATTTAGAGCAGCTGTACATACAGTACTCATAAGACCAACAATACCCTACAGTCATGGCGATCATTTACTTATCGTCATTTTTCTAAACAAATAGCGCAAGGCCCTTGCCTAAAATTTGATCTCAGGGTTAACAGAGCTCTGTGCCTCAGATTTAAGGACATACAGAGACAATGCCTCTACAATACTCCCATAAAAACGGGTTCATCGCACGGTTCATCTCAAAGACTGCACGGTAATGTTCTGATAAAAAAAAAGTTCAAGCATATCATGACTAAAAGAAGTAATATAGACAAGAATGGGAAAAATGAAGGCAACTCAAGACTCATCTGCGGAAAAAAAAAAAACGCACGCACATGCAAAGCCGGAAATAGTTGGGTGGCACGATGGATGGCCGATCACATAGACTACTGTCGAATTGAAATAAGGACAACATATGCATTGTCACAATAACTGGTGTTGTTGCCTGTGATAGGTATGACGCTGCCGTTTTCTTTTTACATATTTAAACAAGTCGGGATGAACTTCTTAGAAAAAGGTCACCCTGTCCTGGAATTATGGACGGTTCACGTGAGAAGCCCATCAGACAGTGGTCTTTCAAATTTAAAATCCTTCTTTCACATCACGGTATCGTTGCCTTTCAACGGTGACAGTTCCAGAAAAAGCAAACCTTATCTACTTGTATACATACCAGGATGCTCAATAGGTAAAGCGGACGAGGTGCCAGTTGGGGAAAAGAGGAGCTAACGGAGAGAACGTTGCAAAGAGAAAAGGAATTTTTTCTTTTTAGTGAGGAACTACACATTTACCCTTGATTCCAACGGAAGGGATGCATACAAAAAATAAGGGGACTGCTACAAACACAAAAACAGAATATCCAAGAAAGCCCTTTTGATCCGTTGATTCTTATCCCTTTCCCTTGATTATGCTATTTTAACATTCGAGAATAATTCACACTCAAAAAATCACAATAAAGAAAAATAAAATAAAATGTCTACCACCACTAATCCAGTCTCGACGATCATCGCTACCGAAGAAGCCTCCACAACGCTCCTGCATCGTCTTCACACCAACGAGCGTGCATTGCGTACTCTCGCTGTCGTCCTTTCATTGGCAGGAGGCCTTGTTCTATCATTCACTCTTGGTGTTGGAATCTTTGTATATTGGTATTTTCGCAAATACAAACGTCGACGGCACTCTGTGATCGATGAGAAACCATCTAAATCCATGACCGTATCCAATACTACCACCTATGCACCCCACAATGAAGACTCTGTCGATAAAGACATAACTCGTCAATCCACAACCTTAGATAATCCAACGCGTCCTTTATCTATACGAAAAGTCTTGCCGGCATCGCTTCCACCATTACCGATGCCACAAGAATCAGGAGCAGAACCTTCAGCTCCATCGGCCAAAGAATTATGCATGGGCGTACCGTCATCGTCGTCGCCATACGATATCCCTCTTTCAACCACACAACAGCATCATCACCATCATCTTCATCAGCATAACTCCAACGTCCCTTTTCTTGCCACCAGTTCTAACCAACCACCCCCATCCTGTCATCGCTGTCATCACAATGTACTCGAACCTCCCCCACCTGCTTACACACCAAAACCTCCTTGTGATCAAAGTCATATCAATACAGTTTCCTGAAAAAAAAAATAAGAAAGGATGAGAGGAAAAGTAAACATGTAACGACCATCATCGACCAAAACAAAGAAAGGAGAAAAGGGGCATCCAATTTTGAAAATGAAAAAAAAAAAATTCTTGCAAAAAAAAAACCAAAAACGTACAAATGCAGAAATCTAGACAAGGGAAATAGAGAAAGGAAATTGTTTGTGCGTATGTGTGATGAATGATGTGAGAGATCATGGGCACTACCATATATTCATATTTGCTGTGATACAGTGCTGGCGGCTTTGCTAGCACCGCCACTGCCACCACCACCGATCTTGAACATTCGTCCCAAAGAAGAGCGTAACGAGTAGTTATTGGCCGATTTCGGCTTAGACCGTTTGTAGGAATCCAAATAGGCAATCTGAGGTTTGTTGAATGACCCTCGTCGTTTACTCCTGATAAATTCAATGGCATCCAACGGCTTCATTCCCATTTCGATCAATGCAATAGCCACAAGCACAGGGGCACGTCCAAGACCCGCCACGCAATGCACTGCAATGGTTTGTAAGCAACCTACTGAGGATTCTTCTTTTGTTTTCTCAACCAGCTGAAGCCATTCTCGTATCACATAAGGAGATGGCTACAAAAAAAGGAAAAAAAGAGCAAACCAAAAAGAAGAAATAACAAAATCAGAACAATCAATAATAAAAAAAACTTGGTCCCCCACACTTTTTATCTCTGAACAAATACTTACCACACCACCATCTTTAAAGGGAAGATCGATGACGTTTATCTTTCGCTCTGCTAATCGGGCCGCATTGTAGGTTGGTTGGCAGCATCGTACCACCGAGGTAACGTTCAAGTGAGCAAACTCTTCCATATAGAAATCAAGGGTAGATTCGGTAGGGCAATCAAGAATTAGATAGCGTAGAGTAGTATTGGGACAATTAATAACCGTTAGCATACGACCCAGCGGAGATCCAGTACGTGACAATGGAGCAAATCGTCTATCTGCAATGTTGACCATGGTGATTTAAGAATAAGAAAAAGAAAAAGAAAAAGCTGGTTGATGAAGGTAAGGTATCTAAGGCAGGCGTAGGTAGTGTCGTCGGAGGCCAGCGGAAGCGTCGTGATTGTATCGAATAGCCTTGGCAAGGAAGAAGCTCATAAATCAGTGGCAAAAAACTTCGTTGAAACGAAGAAACAACGTAACGAAGCTATATGACTATAAAAATTTTTTTTTTTTCTTTTCAAAAAATATCGGCCTTTTTTTCTTTCTGTTTTACTTCACGTGATGAGCGCTCGTTTTATTTTCAAATGGACAAATCAGGGAGTGTCGGGTTTGAAAAAGCGCATAACTGGTAGCCACAAAAAATACGGTATTTCAATCTTCATTATACCATGTAGATTGGATTGATCTGCGATTGGATCATTGATAAAATTACTGAAGCCAATATTCCAAGCGCTTTTCCTTCCCCATATCGTGTTGGTCTACAAGGCATGTTTCAGCCATCGCCGTAAGACACTTCAAAAATAAACTCACAATAAGCTTTTAAATTTGCATTCTTGTCATGATGGAACTGACCGGCTATCGAACAGCTTACAAAGGTATACTGTAACATAATCTGTCCTGGCATACACTTACTCGTGAGATCAGTCAGCAAGTCTGTTCGCAAAAAGGTAAGTATATCCAAACACAAAATCTCATACATCAAAACATTTGGAAAAATTGCATATTTTTAAATCTTGATTTTTAACAAAGTTCTGTATAGAACAAATTGAATTTTCGAAGCGGAGCTATTATCGATTGGCTTTGATTGGGCGAACGTTACAAACGTTCGTGATTTGTTAAAGAAAAGGTAATGCGGAAACAGATTGGCAAAGCACTTTTGCCTACGTGAGACACACGTCATTGGAAGTTCATGCATAATCGTCCAAAAAGCTTCTCAAGATCCCCCATTTATGCAATTGATTTGTGGACGTTTCAGGTTGACACCAATATATAAAAGAAAACGAAAACCTGTTTCTTTTCCCTACATTTCTCTATCGTAACAGGAAAGGGAAAAATATGGCGCAAAAATACATCAGAAATTGCAACATGCGCAAGATCACAGCTGTTGTGCGACCGCAACATCGTAGCAGTTCGGCTCGCGCATGGGAGGCAACAGTTTACGATGAGGATTACAAACCTTGGACCAACGAGTTATCGAATTCGGGAACCACCCGCGAAATAGTCGAAAATAATATTGCACGGAATCCTTGTGTGGATCCAGCCTTGGAATTGCAAGAAGTGAAATCACAGCACCAGGTAATCATCATATAAGCTCTGATAATAAGCCCATTCATACTGATATCAATAACGTTGAAAAAGGCATGGGGTGTGCCAGATATATTGGCGTGGAGTGCGGCCAACCGTACCATTTCTGAAATTGAAGACGGCGAAATCACCTATTCACATTTGCCGCAAAATGATGTGCCATCGGCCTATGGATATAATCATATGCCACGTACGCCAATGCGTTATGGTTTATACAAACCAATTCAGAAACCTTGCTTTAGATATTTGGAATAAATCGCCAAAAAAAAAATCAACAACAAAAAGGCCCGCCAATCAATGTCCACAATGGTCAGGGTCATTTCTGTTCTAGAGACAACAAAATGTCAAAGACAGTAATTAATGCAAACAGGGAGAGTGGGTAATGTATATCTCACGTTGGAAGGCTCAACAAATCAGGGTACAAATGGGGGAATATGGACAGAAGCTGACGATAGATGTTTCGTGGAGTGCCTACGAGTTAAGGACGCAGAGGAATGATGACAGGCAGAGCGGTAATATCGTATCGAAGAGCTACCCGAATAAGAAGGATCATTAAGTACGTTCTGGCTAGGCATATATGCTAATTGGAGAGAAGACGAAGATTCGGCTGGCATGCTGTGTGGATTGCTGTTGGGCAAATGGGAGGGCGAGCAAAAAGACAGTGGGTCTTGTGTTACGAGCTGATTCCTTAGTAATTGATGTGGAAGACTTTGCCTATTCGTTCTACGCATGCAAGCCGGTATATAATGCATATGGCGCAGATGATCTACGCTCATCATTTTGCGCATGAACCGTTGGCGATGTGTATTGGCTGTCGTACTGCTTTGGTTCGGGGACATGGGAACCTGAAGCGACGGCTTGGCAGGTGATGTGGATGTAGCCGTACGAGCCTCGGTTTTAGGAATTGAACAATTACTGTGGTCATCATCGAGACCCAGACACGAAGTCCACCTAGACAACTCCTCCACTGAAAATTTTCTAGATAAACTTGACCGCTTTGATGCTCCCGACGTCTTTTGTTCATGCGCTAAAGTGCCTAGCGCTTTGACTTGGTCGGAACGCAGTGCATGATTAGTAAAATCCGGAATTGGAAGATCGTACAGAGTCCTCTGTGTGTCTTGTTCCATGCGAGCTAGTTTCAATAGCTGGTCACCGTATCGCTGTAATTCATGCACAGACACATTCAAGTCATAGTTGCTTAGACGCAGAAACTCCAGTTCCAGCAAATTCAGCTCCGTGATCGATAGTCCGCCCACCTAGTCCAGCCAATGTGTAACGACTCTCTGTCTTTTTTTTTTATCCTCTTTGCTTGCTCTTCTGTAGTTACCTTTGCATAACGTGTGTTTGTGTAAAAAACGTCACTGAAGAATTTGCTGGCAATCATCACCCCTGCAATGATGAGACGATGGATATTGCACGAATCAATAGCAAACAGCTGACCGGTCCATGTTGAGGCATTTTTTGACATGCGATCAAAGTAGACCAGTATACTTAGGAAACACTCATTGGCACAAGGACAATATTTCAGAATGCGGGAAAGATATGCATAGATATTGATGGACGGAGTCGAACGGGAGTGGAACCGAGTGTAGGCAGTATGATGGCCGACCGTCGATGCTTGGCTACATCTGAGTATTCCTGCTGACGTTGTTGAACTACTGGAATGTTTATCGCTCTTGGTCAAACCACTCGATTTCGGCAATTGATCATTAGCGACCGTCATCCGCTCGAGTAGACATGCCAACAGTTGAATTGTTTCCTTCGGTGGAAAGTTGGCAAGATCAAAAGTCATTGCTGCCATTTCGAAAAAGGGAAGTGGAATGTCGATAAGGAATGATTGTTTGTCCCCAAGATAATCAAAAACGGATTTCGATACAACGTTTCATGCAGACAGAGAGAAGGGGGTCCAGCTCCACTTTTTTTTTTCTTTTGTTGTAGTCAACTCGCTTCACATCGACTCCACTTTCATTGCTTGGCCTCTGAAGGAAATTGGAGAAAGTCAATAAGCCCACTAGCAAGATGGTTGCATTTATCCATTTAAATGTGCACTGTTGTCGTTTTGATCTGGACTCGATTAAAGGAAGATCGCTTGCCTGCCAAAGTGGGCCAAAAATATCAATCTCACTGGTTGTCTTTTTCTTTTTTGCATTTATCACAACCATCTTCGCAAGAATTCATGTCAAAGCCCTTCCAAGACATAGCTCATTTTTATAAATATACAAGCTTCGAGATGAATGATTACTTCAATATCTTGACGTACAACGACATTTTTGATACCTGTCACGACCCTGCATTTTCAGGATCAAACGCTTTCTTTTATCCGAGACCAATCAGACCCTTGGTTAAATTCTCGTCGCATGATGTTCCCTATTCGGATCAGACAACCGCAGGATGGACCCCACGGTCACAAATATAATACAAGTGGTATACTTTATACAACATGCAATAGCAACAATACCACTAGGTAATGATCAATGATGATAGATTTTTTTTGTGGTAATGATGTAGCGGCAACTTGTAATGCAATGATGAGAGAATGGTTTGAATGATAAATGATTAAACTTGGTGCTCTTCTATGGACATGCCATCTCTACCAATAACGTAAGCCAATCTATTCCACAACCGTTGGATCGCTTCATTGGCCTATCAAAATGCGTGAGTAAACATCGTTGATAAAAAGAATAGCATGTTTTCACTTTACCACTGTGCGTTCCAGTACGCCAACTCTTCCTCCTAATTGAAGAACACCGTTAGTCGCATGCTTTGATAGTCAATCCTGTGAAAACAGACTTACCAAGTTTTCTGCCAATTTTTTGCAGTTCCACAATGATATCTTGAATCCGATCCTGTAAGCAAATCTGATTTAAGTACGGGATCTTGCAAGATGTTTTTTTTTTTTTTTTTTTTGGTATTGCCAACCTTATCTTTTTTAAGTTCTGTATCGTTGTTGCTAACAGCAACGTCCAATATCAAGGTTAAATGCTGCAGCATAACAAAGTCCGGCTTCCTCTGCTGAAATATGCTTCCTTGATCCGTCAGAAGACGTATGATAAAACTGATAATATCATGACTGGATTGAAGCTCCAAAATCTCATTTCTCGTCAATTCTTCATCTTCATGGTTGTGATAAAAAGACAGTGAGGTAAGTGCCAGAATTCGCTGGAAATACAATGTGCGCTCGCAGGTCGGCTTCATCGTACGAAATAGTTGCACTTGATGTTCAAGAGAAGGAAAGCGCAATCGGGTATCCAGAGCATATTTTCGGATCTGTAAAGTGTTAGAAATGCCACGTTTTCGGTCTATCCCCGACATCTGCCTTCTGTTTACCTTTTGCTGCCACTTTGCTTCTGACAGGATAGAAAGACAACACGCTACCGCTGTTTCGATCTCTCGCATGAGATAAGGAGCCACGCGATCCAAAGATATTTGAAACAACAATTGCAGCAGATACTTGATCGACATGCCATCGTAAAGAAAATGCCTACGTTCAAACGACAGTGAGTATTACCTTCCACAGCCAGGTTATCCACCTTGATCGTTTTACCATGATTTCACTGAAATACCCATGAGCTGAAGTACCCAAGCAAACTGGGTCAGTGGAATCCGCTCTTCTACTGTTACATCGACCGTCGCTTGTACTACTGTTTCGCAGATACTGTTCACGTCTATATGTACATCGGTGACCATCCCTTCGTTGCTTGATAATTCCAAAGGGATGGCTCCATAACTTGCCAAGATATATACAAAGGTGCTCAGAGTAATATGCTGATTGCCGTCTTTCAACTTGATTTTGGTGCCCTTTTGCAGTGGGCTGCATTGTCTTCCCTGGCAGCAGTTTGTCAATGCCCCTAACACTTGAGATCAAAATATACGTTTTTACCACTTACCAGATTGGACCATAGTGATAATAATGTGTCGTATGCATGCTTGGCCGTCATGGCATCCCGTTCCAAAGCCACTGTACACAGGTGAATTTCCTCGTAATACACACTGTCATCAGATCACGCATTTTACCTATCTCCATGAGCCATTGATAAATATAATGCGGGCAAGTCCACCCTCTTCGATACCAATATCGCAAAGTTCCATTGGATAAAAGGAATCGTCGCCCTTCGGCAGCTTTTCAACCAAACCAAAAAAAAAAAAAAAAAAAAAAAAAAAGGTATGTTAACACTCTGATCCGTTTGGTGATTCTGCTATCCATGCATTACAATCTGCCAGCGATAGGACAAAATCCACTTTTCCTTGAGAACAGGGACTGACGGCTTGACACATGTCTTTTGATAATCTCGGGCAAGGTAACTGGGGTCGATTTTCAATATGACAGATCAGGGAATGGAGACACTTGCAGTTTTTCAACGAACATGTCCTACCTTTGTTCTGTGTTTGAAAAATTGGTACCTGCGTTCCTTTTTTCGTTTTTCCGTCGACTTTGTCAAGACCTGCATTCCGTTATCAGTATTACAACCTTGGAGTGTGAAAGCATGGTTCTGCAGGATCTACGATGTACCTCCTTCAATTTTGAGGATTGTTCTTCATCCAAAAAGTTACTTGCTACGCTGACCAGTTGGTGCGCATCTTCTTCATTCTCATTGGCGGATGAATCGCTAAAAAGTAGTTCTTCGTCTGGAACTTTCTCGGCTTCTTCTTTGGATTCCTCTTTCTCAGGTTGAAGATCGGCGTCATCTTGCTCATTGAGTTCAATGTCTTCATTCAGCTTATCGAAAAGCTATGCTTCCTCAAGATTAATATCGTACGGTCATTACAGAAAGCGCCATGACCTACATTATGAAGCTGTGCATGACTTTCCTGTCTTTCGACGCGTTTTCTTTTCCGAGAAATCAACGCTTCAATAGAGAAATCCATGGCACAATAGATCTTGTCAATGACAAGCGACAGCGGGTCTTTTTTTTTTGACACACCGAAAACCCGTTTCGTGCGCTCTCCGATCATGTGACACGTTTTTTTCTCGACAGGATCAAGTAGATTTTTTGTGCCAACAAAACGATGAGTAAAAAAGCACAAGGATAAATGCAAAAACGCTAAATCCATGTCAAACATTTGCTTGAAATTATCCATCCTTTGCTACAAGCTGCGTTGGAACAGACTTGGGGATATATCAGTTAATAGGAAATTGGATGCAGTCCATCAATAATTTACTGGCTTTTCTTCTTTATTAATGCACCTTGTGTCTTGCGGATAACACGCTTCAGTTAAAAAGGTGTACACTCTCTGGCACTGGATATCGCCATTTTACATTGAACGATTTTCATTAGAGTCCCAAAGCATATAAAACCTAACCTCTTGACGGCACTTTGGTATATAGGTGAACAATCAGTCATACCACCAATTCATGAACGGAAGGGCAATTTGGCCAGATCAACTATACACAGGTCAAAGTGTAATTACATATCATTCACTACGAAAATGAAGAGGACAAGCATGCATAAACAGATAATTTACATGTTGCTACGAAATCGCATTTTTTCAATCATATTATCAACCGCTTTCTCACGAAAAAAAATAAAAATAAAATAAAGCTTTCGCCCCATGAGATTTTTCATGTTCCCTCTCCATTAAGCGTCATGGCCTAAAACCATTATTCCACGCACAGGCAGTAAGAGCGACTAAAAGGTTGCTTCAAAATGATTTGTCATATATATATGAATATATTGAATATAGCTCAGCCAGATAATGCTCGATTAAAGGATGGATGAAAGCGTGTACCACATCCATGTTTTTGGGAATATATATCAATCGATACACTCCTTCGTTTATACGATATACTGTCTTGTGTTCAGATAAAATAGATAGGGTATGTTGCTCACTGTTCAAGATTTCGTGATGGCTGACAAAGCCGTGCGCAAAGCCACTTGATAAGTGGAATTTGAAAAAGTGGTCACGGTAAGCGCATAGCGAATTTCCTTGGCTCCTTTTTTGTTCGAGTTTTTCAGATTCAGTCTATTCAACGCTCTTTTACTGCCCGTTTTTTTTTTATACAATATGGCGAAAGGAAAGAAAGCAATGGGCCAATTGGGTCGAGCTGTTATCAAGTCTCGATTCCAAGGACAAAAAGCAATTGCTCTTGATGAAGGAAAACTTGTAACGTATCGTTATGCAAATCGGTTCTTGATCGCTTTTTTTTTTTTTTCGTTTTGCTTATTAATGAATGCATAGCACACCACCGAAGTGGACGACGGACCAAAATGGGTCAAGATGCAAAGTATTACTCAGGAAAACGATCTTGATGCATTTCTTAGCACCGCCGAACTCGCTGGCACCGAATTCACAGCAGGTAGACCCTCGATCTAAAAAAGATTCGGGCACCCACAAGCGTATATGTATAGCATCAACTGAACGATCGTGTCCGATCCTTTCATTTAGAGAAACTCAACGTCAAAGTGGTGCAAAACACATATCAGAATCCCTTCTTACTGTCTGAACAAGAAGAAAAGGAGCAGTTGCAGAAACAGGAAGAAAATCTTGATAAGTTATCCGTTCCCAGACGACCCAAGTGGGACAAATCAATGACAGCAGAACAGGTGCAGCGAAACGAACGTGAAAGTTTTCTAAACTGGCGTCGCAGCATGGCCATGTAAATTATTCACAATATCGAGTGTATGAATGGAGGGACGGATGAACTAACATTGCGTGAAAAATTTAGGTTGGAGGAAGATGAGGGCTTGCTACTTACACCCTTTGAAAAAAACATCGAAGTGTGGCGACAATTATGGCGTGTCATTGAACGATCCCAGTTGGTCGTACAGATTGTGGACGCAAGAAATCCTTTGCTTTTCCGAAGTGCAGATCTCGAGAAATACGTAAAGGAAGTGGACCCGACCAAGGAGAATTTGCTGTTGATTAATAAGGGCGATTTCTTGACCGAGGAGCAAAGGTATAAATGTGGAGATTTGAAAAGTAGATGACAGTGATCTAATGCATGGGGATTTTGTATTTTCGCAGACGAGAGTGGGCCGATTACTTTGACAAGCAAGGAATCCAATATACTTTCTTTTCCGCCGCATTGGCAGCTCAACGACAAGAAGAAGAAAAGGCGGCACGCGAGAAAGAGGAATATGAGAAGGCATTAAATGCGCAGCAAGCAGCTGATGACATTGACGCGGACGAGGACAGTGAAGAGGAATCGGAAGATGAAGCGCCGGAAAACGAAGAGTCAAACGAAACCACCGTCAAGGATCTTGCAGAAGACGTTGCCAATGTCAATCTGGAAGAAGAAAGGTCCTCTACTCCGGAAGATGAACGCACACGTATCCGCACCACCACCGATTTGCTGGATCTGTTGATTGAAAAAACCCCCAAAACTCAAGGTAAAATACCGATCGGGTTTGCTTTTGAGCAGAGCCATAAGATTAATTCGGCCCTTGTTTTAGTTGATGGAGAAGAGGAGCCAAAAATTACTATTGGTTTAGTGGGTTATCCCAACGTTGGTAAATCCAGTACCATCAATGCTCTTATCGGTGAGAAACGTGTCTCTGTATCTTCTACTCCTGGTAAAACCAAACATTTCCAGACTATCCACTTGACTCCATCGTTGGTCTTGTGCGATTGTCCTGGTCTTGTTTTCCCCACATTTTCTACTACCAAGGCGGATCAGGTCTGTAACGGTGTGTTGCCCATTGACCAGCTTCGCGAATATACCGGTCCAACTACTCTTGTTGCCAAACGTATTCCGCAAGCTTTGCTTGAAGCCATTTACGGTATCCGCATTCGAACCCAGCCTACAGAAGATGGTGGCTCCGGCATTCCTACCAGTGCGGAACTCTGTTCCACTTATGCCAGTAAGTACCATAGCACTTTTTTTTTCGGGAGCCCTGGATATTTAATGTCTTCATGTTACAGTCGCAAGAGGTTTCTTCCGATCCAGTCAGGGTAATCCCGATGAAGCTCGCGCTGCTCGTTATATTTTGAAAGATTATGTCAATGTAATGTATTCGAAAGTGGAATGTATTCGCCTACAAAAGCCACTCATCCTGTTTTTATTGTAGGGTAAATTATTGTATTGCCACCCTCCTCCTGGTATCGATGAACAAGAATTCAATCGACGCTTACTTGAAATGGCATCCAAAATTCAAAAGAAATTGGCACCATCTGTACGTGTACCTTCCACAGCGTTAAACTATGTTGCCCCCGCGAACGGATCGTCTGCGCAACCTGGCAGCAAGACGGAAGCGGTGGATAATGCATTTTTCAGAAAACATATGGCTGCACCGAGTGTACGGGGGAAGTATGCAGGTGCCATGCGTGGCGGATTTTCCCGGGTGACGTTGTATCCTCATCAACGTAGTGTGGCCGATGATGGTTCCGTTATGCCGCAGGGCCGACGGGAAAGATTGGCCATGGTGCAACAAATGGCCATGAACGCTGGTGAGACGGTTCCTTCCAAGAAACACAAGAAGGGAAAGAAGCATGTCAAGGTCCGAAGTGGTGCTGGCTACGAGATCTAAATACCTTTATTTTTTTTCGTGGATAAAAACTACAAATAGTATTTTTTATTTTTATTTTCTTTTCATTGAATATAAGTCATGAACTAGTTGATTTGCATCTTTAGACAACATCCTGTATTAAAATCGTTTTTGTATCATTTTTCACGGAGAGATTTCGCGCAGAAGCGGACATCGCACCCTGCCCGTTAATCAGAACATATCGCTAAATCTGGTTCCAATTTTACTGCAAATGACATGGCTAACAAGCGTTTTTTTCCTATGATTGTCGGTTGGTCCTTGTTTTCGTAGCCATTACATACATCTTCGATCTTGCAGAGTCATTGTAAGAGACCTGCACCCTCATTTGAGAATACAGTCATTTAAAGGAGGTCCCCGTCAATGACGGGTACAGTATTATTAATCTGGCCGCTTTCCACCAAATAACATGTCAGGATTGGAATCAAAACCTTCTTCAGCGCCGTCCTTCCTTGACTCTATCCTTAGATAATTTAATATGATTGTAAGCCATTATTTTTATGCTTAATATATAATGTCACAATATAGAGAAAGGTGATCATCTGTAGAAAAAGAGTCAAAAGAATAGGAAGACACGCTGCGTCAAGTTGGACCATGCATGCAAAAAGACGCTCGGCCGCTGCTTGAAATTCAATGCCCGCGATAAGAAAAAATAAAATCGGATTGGCAGTTCACCAGGAAGTCCCGTGTATTTGAAAGCTATACCACCATGAGCGAGTCGGACGATCTTGATGAGCAGAATCTTCAGTTCGAAACCAATGAGAAGGTGCTCTGCTTCCATGGACCCCTAATCTATGAAGCCAAGGTGAATTGATAGAGTGAAAAACACGAGAAAAGGGATTTTTTCGTTTGCTCCAACTGATGCCGTTAGCGAGATAGATTCTTAATCGACAGTGGATGGACGAGACACCCGAGTTGCAAGGACCGCATTATTATGTTCATTACAAAGGCTGGAAACGTACATGGGATGAATGGGTCCCCGAAAGTCGAGTGCTTCGCTGGAACGACAGCAATCTCAAAATACAACAACAGCTGAAAGATCTCTATACCAACAAAAAATCTAATCGCAGTTCATCTTGTTCCGATTCATCCACGAGCAACGATCTCGCGTCAAATAACAAAAAGCGGCAACGCCAATTAGCCGATCTCGACGAAAAGGTACAGCAGCGGGGACCGTGACACGATGGATCAAATCATGACCACTCACCACGCTCACTGACAGGAAGAGGCTTTCCTGAACAATCCCGAAATCCGGATAGATATACCCGATACTTTGAAAGGTCAATTGGTAGATGACTGGGAGAATATCACCAAAGATCAACAGGTATTTTTTTTTCTCTCGGCCAGTCCAATCCTTCTTGGTCATTGAGACTTATTTTTCGCGATTCTACATAGCTTGTTCCATTACCGAGAACTTTGACCGTTTCGCAAATCTTGGAACAGTATAAACAATTCAAAAAAGAGAAAAAAGGCAACCGAGACTTGTAAGCACCCGATTCCTTTACGGCTAATCATCCTGTTGCACAATGGGATCTCATATTTTTGACTGTCACGTTCCAGAAACGAAGAGTTCCTTGACGAAATCCTGCATGGTATTCGTACCTATTTCAACAAAGCCCTCGGCACCATGTTATTATATAGGTTTGAACGCCATCAATATGCAAATATACGAAAACAATATCCCGAGAAGGAAATGGCAGATCTATATGGCGCAGAGCACCTTTTACGTTTATTTGGTAAGTTACCCGTTATCATACGTACGGACGGGAAGAGACAATCAGTAGCTCATCCTTTTTTATCACAGTGCAATTACCTACCTTGATCGCACATACAGATATGGATACCGATGCCGTATTTGTACTGACAAGATATCTAACGGATCTTTTGCGGTAAATCGGTCAGACGTTAATCTGTTGTGTCAGTCATGCCTAACCTACGTTGTTTTATTCAGTTATATGCAAAAAGCCCAACGATCTCTCTTTCTAAGCGAATATGAAAATGCGCCACCCGGTTACGCATCCGTCACCAATAGCGACTAACGATGTAAGTTTTCTCTTTCGACTTATTTCACCTTTGCTTATTCACACTCCAATGCGATAAAGTACGTTATTTGCGGTCGTGTGTGATTGATTAACTATCTATTAGAATGGCACAGATTATTGAACTCACCATACTGTTACTGACTACCTTTGACCGCAAAGAAATCAGATTATGGCTTTACAACGGGCCTACGTTGCCGAATCACATCACATTTATCGAGCTGCATAATACATCATATTAACCTGCATGAAGATCCACGTTCTTTGCGTGACAGAGGATTTGTCATTCACAAAGAAAAAGTTATACATCTCGACTAGTTTTTACTGTCCCTGAAGTGCGACGGATGGATTAAAATGAGTGGACCCTATTATTGTAAATCGAGTCATTGAAGTCTTTCACGTAATGTGCACATCCTTTTCTCTTTGATGGATAGATTATCATGTAATGATTGGCAATGCAGATCCGATTTGACAGAGCACGTCATGTGGATTATCGAGATATGCTTTTAAGCAATCAATTTTCTATTCTTTTTTTTTCCTCGTGACGAGACAAAAATCACGTTCGTGTTATCGTGTGCTACTGCTACAAATAAAAAGGCTCGCGTCCTTTTTAGTGGATCCACCGAGTTGTTCTTGTATTTTTAAACCAACAAGATACTGGTGAGATACGCGGCGCAACACTACATGTGTATCTATTGACTGTATGATGTTCCTAAAAAGGAAAAACCCAGCCATGGCATCGAATTTTGAACAATCTGACTGCCACACAGTGCACACCGATCATCAACCGACGCGTGATGATTAAGACTCTGACACCGATTAATTTTTCTTTTTTTGCTACCATGGAGTTCGGAATCACGTCGCCCGGATTTACAGGTGCAAAGTTAAGACCAGGACTTAGAATGTATTTTTTTACACAGCATTTCCTTGCGGACTCAAATACCTCGATGGCCTGTAAAAATAAACAAAGATTTCTGAAAAGAAGAAAAGATGCTAACTTTGGAATCTGAGACGGAAAAGATCAGATTGCTTTCACAGATTGATGTGGGTCAAATTAAGACTACAAAGAAAGGAATGATCCATTTGAAGAGTAATATTTTGTTTATCATAATGCAACGAATGTTGGTGTATCCGTGTTTCACAGAGAGCAACCAAAATCGAAAACAACATCCCAAAAAATCTCAAATTTTCATATATGTAAATTTTACTGTATAGTGTTATATTGAGGCCCGAAAATGCAATAATAAATGACGTCCAAGCAGAAATGAAAGAATAGCAACACAGATTATGATATAATGAAATAAATTATCAGTTGTACAGTATTAACGCATTCATAAAACTTTCTTTATTTGAAAAAAGGAACATATTACGTACGATAAAAAGCAAGGAGTCTGGATATCCAGCGTGAATTTTAAATACAGCAAAATTCGTAGCTTATTGTGCAACACTCAGGTCCTATACTGTATCTTTAACCACTCTGGTAAGTAAGTTGTCGCTTTGATTGACTTCTTCCGCTAACAAGTCCTTTGTACGATTTTTCATTCCGTTATGGGTAATCGACCTTATTAGTCTTTCATTTCCGACTAGGAATAGATCTCCATTTCATCATCTTTTTGTGTGAAACGCATAGATTTTAGCCCGGTGCATTAAGAAGATGCTAGAAATACGCAATATTGTTTGTACAAAATAACCCCTTACTTGTTACTCCATATTTGTAAAGCATCATTGGTTGATGTATGCATTCTGCAAAGTCCACGGCGCAGAATCGGCATAGGCGCACAATAGGAAAGAGCTCTGCAGAGGTCAAGGCAAAAATACCGACACAGCCGCACAAAATAGAGAAGAAATAGCGATTGGACTTTGTGGCACATGATAGCAACTTTTTGATTGCATCCTCCCTGGATGCCGCGAAGCAAAAGAATGCTTCACAGTCGCTACACTCTCCTGCAACACAATCAGGTCCTTCACTTCCCACTCATCGAGCGCTGGAAATCGTTGAGATAGCAAGTAAGAATAAGCGGAGAGTTAGCATTTGGTTGGTCATCGTAGGAACTTTCGCTGGAAATGAAGTAGTAATAGAGTGGAGGTCGAAAAGACAAGGGCTCCCTGAATCTCTGCCATCTACGACAAAGGTCAATCACTGTCATTCAGCTCTCTTCTTTATTGATATGTCTGTCTCAATCTTGTGCCGCGATTCCTGCTGGATTTCTTCTTTATTTGCTTATATGCTACTACATAAGAATTACCTCGGTTTAAGCAGACAAGAGACACTTGAGCAGTTACACATTATTTGTACATTTAAATCCCGACACCAATTATTATCCTTGGATACCAGATAGTATAGAGACCTCTTTAGAGAATAAACAAAGTCGCACCTTACTCCACGTCTCTACACATATATACAACACTATGCCGCTTATACGCCATGAAGTCTGCTAAATGCAGTTGATGATGCTTCGACATTAAAATACGTTTCACAATCAAAGCTGTGTAGATAACTTAGACATCTAATACGGTGCAATGCTTGAAAAAAAATCTTGACGATCTATTTGTAATTGATACTGTGCTGAAAAGGGATGGGAATAGTGGCGAACTGAAACAGTAAGTTGTCAGACTCAGCACGTCTTCGCAAGTCGGTTAAAGGTATTCCATGCAGTAAAGTTTAGGTTATATAGATCTATTTCGTCTGGACATTGCTCCTCGTTTCCGTTTCAGTTTGTGTGGCAACCATGTGTCAACGGATACCCTATTGTGGAACAGCCCCCCTTTGAGTTCTCTTATAATTCGGTTAGCCTTCAGTAGACTTCACTGTATGATATTACCGTATGCAACAATCAGCGAATCGCGTGAGTCCTTTTCCTGGTTTACATCCTAAAGTGTGATTTTCTCCTGGTTTTCCTGCGATTCCGCTTCCGAAACGTTTCCGTTTTTTTAGACATAAGGAACCTGTGCAGGGCAATTTTCTGTTTAACGAACACTAACACGGCATTACTATTTTTGTTCTGATCTCCGAGTCTTGTATTCTCCTTTCTCCATTCACAATCAGTTTACGGTAGGTAAAGTCAGCAGTAATATGAATAGAAAGACACCATACTTGGTGGCAAAGCTATCGAGGCCCCAAGCAAACATCAGTTCCTCCCAGAGCTACAAGCCACGCATCGGTTTCTCTTCAGCATACAAGCAGGCAGTAGGTTTATGCGTCTTCTACCTGGCAAAACATGCTTACTGTATATGTATGCGGAATACATTATTTTATTATGCCGAACACGGCGCTCAGCACGGTAATTGCAAATAGGACGCTAAGGTTCGTTTTAAAGCATTGCATTAGAAAGTGTCAGGTATCTGCAAAGTTTTAAATTGTGTGAAAAATAATGGCCGTTCTTACCACTTGTACCTCGGAAGCATCTGTATCCTCAAATCACAGCACTAAATCGGTAAAGAATCAGCGCAGTATCGACACCAGTCGCATTAATAGGGGAGAATCATGCATATTTCACGGCGCAGAATTTGGCAAAAGGCGTAATAGCGAAGAAATAGTCTTGTCACGTACATAGCAGCAATTTTTTTCATTTATTTATTTATTTAAGAGCAACCATGTATTTTCGGTGAGTTCTCAACCCTTCGACCTCCATTTCTATACTTCACTTGCAGCGAAAGTTCACACTATGGCCAACCACATGTTAATTCTCTGCTTATTCTTACTTGCTATCTCAACGGTTTCCAACGCTCGATGGATTGGAGAAGAAGGACCTACCTGTACACCAGCACGATGTGCGACCAATGAAAGAACAGCTTGCACGGCCCGCTTCGAGGGGGAAGTAGAAGATTATTGTCCAAAAGAATGTACTGGCTTTGGCGACACTATTTGCGACTCAGGCTTCCGAACCTGTTGTCTCCCAAAATAATTCTCCCTGCCCACTATACTTATACTTGCTCTCTAATAAAGAAATGCACCACTATGCAAATGCGGGAATCACTGAATGGCATCACATATATTTTAAGAGCACACTGCTATATATCAGATGCACATGTACAGGACAGTGGTCCCTCGATATTTTCACGGCTCTGGGAGGCCCTTACCGAAAAATAGCAGGTAACTTTCACGATTCTCTTTGATTTCAACGTTCACGGTAATTCTTGCTCGTGAATCCTTAACGAAGAACAATATCAGTCAATCACATTTGAGAATCACAGTAAAATATAGGGTTGGGATTCTGGAGAAGGGAGAAATATGAAAGACAAGCTACTGTAGTATGAATTTTTTTTTAAAAAAACAGCACCAATTTCACTCTGCTTTGAATGTGCAATTTTGGTATTTCAATCAAACCAAGTATAAAGCTGATAATTTAGCTTCTTCGTTGAAAACTTTTTTTAAGAGGTATCGTGAGCACAATGAGAATGCTGAGGGCACAACTGGCCAATCACACTCCGGTTTATCTGGCAAATATATATATGCCGATTTCGGTAATACTGCAGTTGACTAGACGAAGACGGATAATGTGGTGAGTATGTACCACATTAGAAGTCTGAGTCGAGTCAACGGGGATTGTTGTCAGGGGGACGATAAACAGTTTCAACACCTCTATATTTTCAAGGCACTTGCCCCCCCACCCCCGCCCTTTGAATGCATAAATTATGCAGGCTGCAAGCTTATTCCGAGACATAGTAACCCGCAGTCACGAAATTTTGGCTCTGAATAATTCGGGAACGTAATCATCGCTTATTTAGAATGCGACCGGATTCGATAGCGGTTCTTCCGTAATACAGTTTTGTGCCGAAGGACCCTTGATATTGAACTGCCAGCATGTGTGTCAAGAACAAAGGGGTGGCTCCCACAGCGGGAGAAGACAACTGAAGAGAAAACTCACTTAGCAGGCAAACGGAAGGATATAGGACCTGAGCACTGGATAACAGCTACAGATTTTGCTGTATTTAACAGTAATGCCCGACGTCCATGCTCCTTTCCCATTTACCGATGTAATATGCGCCTTATTTCAAATAAGAGAACCTCATGGATGCAGTAATACCATACAATAATTATTCTTCCTTAGTCGTCAATTACAAGCGAAAACACTACAAACCAAAAACAACGTTGAGCAAACCAAAACGCAACACTGAGTCATTATCAGCAAAGTAGTAGTAAATAAATATAATCCAGCTGAAGGCGAATCGAGTCTGTCTAAAGTTTGCTAGTACAGTAGCGGTCCTATACCTGGCGTAAAGCTGAAACAAACGGTTTTCGAGATACACTGACAGCTTATTTCGGATCGAGTTCAGTCATAAAATTGATAACTTATTATGATTCAACGGCTTGAAAATAAAACTAATACAGCTATGCAGCTTACGATAGTAAATTAAGAGGAAAAGGAGTCACGGCCAATCCGCTATAGAAAAGCTTAATTATAGTAGCTCCCTTTGATCCCCAGCAACATAAGAGAGATATGATCAAATTTTCCGTTCACGGATTCTCTCGTCAGAACAATAAAAGGTCATGTAATTGTGGTATATCCCCTACTTGTCGTATTATCCATCCTAGACTGGTGTTCCCGAACAGGAAAGATCGGGATCTAGAGGTGTTTCCATTGTGAGTGAGCTTCTCCATTAGAACGCCGATTGAGCCTCTTCATCCATAACTTGGATCTATCGCCGAGATCAATTCAAACGGGTAACGCTGTCACATCACAGCATGTGGATCCTTCCTAATACACCTTATAACCGAGGACTGCTCACTGATAATTATTAATTCCGACTCAAGACTAAAGTATAAACAGGCAGATCACATTAATCGAAATAAAGATATCAAACAGTCTCAAAGGATTCTCATTGTCTTTTTTGTTCTAAATTCTCTCATATATCACAGTAATCACTCTTAGGAAGTCCATCATGAACGGTGGGAGAATTCATGCGCCGAAAAAATTAAGAGGAAACTACAAAAATACAGTAAGAAATGGCTAATACACATGGTAATGAAGTCGCCAATTTCTCATCTGCTATTTTTTTTTCTGATTTTTCTCACTTTAGGTTGTGACTGAGGATGTACTCTTTAACTGGAGTGCAATTGGCGATTATCCGTGTAAAGACTGACTCGGTTACTGGAGTCTTGGGTTGACTTTGATGGCAGGTTTTTGTCTCCCAAAATGATCCTCACAGCCCATACCTTGTTTGCTTTATCGTAATCCGTTCATACTTTCGATAAAAAAAATGAACCGCTATGCAAATGTGGTATCACTGAAACGGCGTCAAAGATTTGACGAGACTATTGCTTTGTGTCAGAATACATAACGACAATCCTTTGAGGTAGCTTTGCATTAAACAGCTGAAGCAAGCTTAAGCAAAGCTTGTTCCGAAACAACATAACCTTCCATCACCAAAATGGTTGTTGAATAATTTGGAAGCGTAATCATCAGTTATTTAGATAAAATATGAGCAAACAATTGCTGAAGAGAAAATGCTACTGACTCCGGTCGCATTCTCTCTGAATAAGCGATGATTACGCTTTTAGTTTATTCAACAACCATTTTGGTGACCGAAAGGTTCTGATGTTTCGAAATAAGCTTTCTATCTCCATAGTATATTTATAAAGATAATAATAAAGGGATTCTCAGTGATTTTCTGCTATGTGAGCTCGGAAAAAAAGAACCATTACAGTAATTAGCCTCCGCTTTATAATTTTTTTACAGGTTGAACCTTGTTCCAGATGCTTCTATTCAAGTATCACATCAAGGGAATTGGTGCGTATGTATATGGTATAAAGCAATCTTCTCTTCAAAGATATATAATGTCGTTCAGTGATACCTCATTTGCATAGCTGCCCATTTTTTATTCGGTAAGTATGATGGGTATGATAAAGCAAAACAGATAAGATCCTGGGAAATTTATTTTGGGAGACAACAAATTCGGGAACCAATGAAGCATTCAGTGTCACCAAAGTCAGCACATGCCTCTGGGCAACGATGGTATGCATCCAGTTCGTTTATCGCCTGGCAAGCTATTTTTTCATTGTCGGCGCAAGCTTGTCGCATACACCGAGGTCCGGGAGTTCCGACCCATCGAGCGTTGGAAATCGTTGAGATAGCAAGTAAGAACAGGCAGAGAAGTAGTTTGTGGTTGGCCATGTTAGAAACTTTGCTGTAAATGGAGTATACAGAAGCTATTGAAGACGTGAGAGTTCCCCAAAAATCTATGATCGGCTTTAAATAGAAAAATAATGTTGCTGCCATGGACGACAAACTTCAATTGCTGTCATTCGGCTATTTCTTGTTTATTTGTGCATCTATGGCGGCCCTTCGCCCTGACATTTCAGAACTCTTTCCTATTTGTGCGCTTATGCAGATTCTGCACCATAACTCGTGCAGGATGCATATATCAACCAATGATGCTTTACAAATATAGAGTTACAGTAAGCGGTTGATTTTGTACAAACAATATTGCATATTTGTCAAGCACTTCCATAAGGCAATGGGCTAAAGGCTAAAATCTATGCGTTTTACAAAAGGTGGTAAAATGGAGGTATATCTTTCTAGGCAAAAATGAAAAGCTAATAACGTCCATTACGTATACGGAATAAAAAATCATAGAAACCGTGCGCTGTGGCTGTTTTGCAAGCATTGTATTATGAGCGGGCTAACTATCGGTGCAAATTTTGTTATAAGTAATACGTTGCTACAGCCATCATGTGGGCATTGCATTGTGAATGCATATACCCGACAGAGGTTACAGTAACAGAACCGGGACAGGCACACAAATAGAGAATACGCTATTATACGCGCTGGCTTCTTTTCCGAGTAGCTTTTGAACGAAAAACATCCTGAAACAAGAACACGGCTTCTCATACAGTCAGCTCCCGCTTTTTTTTCATTTTTTCCCTCTGGATTGAGAACGATCCACTTCTAAGCATTGCAGAATTTCCAAACCTCACCTTTGTTCAATTGTCAAAAATTTTAGCCTCTTTAATAAATCCGGGGTTTATAACATTTATTGGATTTTCTCGACGAAAACACGTCTAATGTTGCCTTTTTAGCTTCGCATTGCTTTTGTAACTTCCGGCGTACATCTGTCAAAGAATCCTCCCAGAACGCTTCTTCGTCAACGTTATCCATCATAGTCTGAAGACGACGAAGTAACTCGCGTGGAGTTACAATTTCAGTTTCAGGCTCAGGCCGACTCCCCTGGGCTGTTTGGACTGCTTTGAATGCTGGTGTTCTATTAGACAGACACGTCTTCTTCAAAAAATTGATGTTGAGAGGAAGAATTGACCTTCAGCTGAGCACACTTGACCATTTTGTTGACAGCGCTGCCTTGTAGCTCTGTATCTTTCAATACTCTGGTGTCCATCACATTGTACAGTAAATGTTCGGCATTTTGTTCCAAGCATATTGTCCTTGTATTATCCACTAGAAATCTACTCCACGCGTTTTCCAAACTTCGTTTTTTTTTTTTTTTTTTTTTTTTTTTTCAAAAATCTCGGTACATCCACTCTGGAAGAAAGTGGAGAACCACTGTATTTTATTCACCTTCAAAGATATATGATGCCGTTAATGGGACCACTTTTGCCTAGTTCATGTCTTTATTAGAAAGTATGGACGGGCACGATAAAGCAATACATGGGCATTGAGGGTTAATTTCGTGTTAAACAACACGTTCGGACACCATCGAAGCAATCAGGGCCAAAGTCACCACAGATTGAAGGGCAATTCTCTCTTGCATCTGCTGCTGAGTACGCTGTGCACATTTCGTCTTCATTGCTTGCACATGCTACTTGTATACAAACTTGTCCCTGAGGTCCGGTCCATCGAGCGTTGGATATCATTGAGATAGCAAGTAAGAATAAACAGAGAATAAGCTTATGATTGGCCATGGGAGGAACTTTCACTGGAAATGAAGTGTAGAATAGCGATCGAAGAGATAAGGGTTCCTTGAAAATGCATAATCGGCTTTAAATAGAAAATTAATGTTTCTGCCATATACTACAAATTTCAATCGCTGTCATTCGGCTACTTCTTCTCTATTTGTGCGCCTGTGCCGGCCCTTTGCCGTAACCTCTGCAGAAGTTTTCTTTATTTGTGCGCTTACGCCGATTCTGCGCCATGAACTTTTGCAGAATGCATATAATCAACCAATAATACTTTATAAATATGGACTTACACTAAGGGGTTTACAGTATTTTGTGCAATCGATATTCATGTCCAGCACCTTAATGCAACGGGCTAAAATTAATGCGTTTCACACAAAAGATGGTAAAATGGGAGTCTATCTTCCTAGTCAGAATGAAAGGCTAATGAAATCCATTCACTTATAACAAGCCGTACACCCGCTGTGCAATGGATGCCACCTGCTACTGGACGTCGCCCTCTTACATTAGCGACATTCGTCAGACAAAAGCCTAACGCATACGGCATAACCTGGGCGAGACGCTTGATGGAACTTTGGGTATATTAATGTCAATACTCTGGCATACCGTACAGTCATGATTTCCAAACATGTGTGCAGCAGCACTTAGTGACCCCCTCAGTCCCGTCCCGCCCAAGGTTATTGGGTATTTTAAAGAAAAAATGAGTTAGTAGCTCTTTGATTGATTCAAATGCCGTCAAGATATTTGACCTTTGTTATGTGAGGCAGCAGATATCCAGAGCTTCCCGACCGAAAAGAAAGAAACGATACAAATATAAAAAGAAAGTAAATACAATAGGTGCGTCTGTAAAAACCCCCTAATAACCCTGTGGGAAAAAAAAAGGAGGAAAAGAGTGCAAGAAGGTCTATCGAATAAAATACAAAGTACATACTACAAACTACAAAAATAAAATGGTCGGGAAGAAAGTCAAAGACAATACCACGGGAAGTAATCCGGGTGAAGCCAAGCTAAGGAGGACGCGTAAGCACTTCCCGATGAAAAAAAAGAGTCACACCGCCGACGATGCCCTGGGATTGGCAACATTTGGTGCGCGAAACAAAGTAGAAAGGTTTGGAGGATGGATGGCTTGCCAGGCGAGAAAGAAAACCGGAGAGAAAACCAAAAGCTGAGGAAGAATAGAAAATACAACAGGTAAGTTGTTTCTTGTTGAAGAACTGATAAAAAAAACCATTTGATGGTACCTTCTGATGGTGATGGTCAATTTAACCGAGTCAGCTACACGGGAAAGCCATACTTGTGGCGATGGACCAGCTAGGAACTTGATGAAATAAAATAGTACCAGAGCTTCTTAGGTGAACCGAAGTTAGAGGAAAACGAAGACAAAAAGACGAAAAGAGCTCCAAAAATAAAAGCTTTAAATATAAAAGCGAAAAAAAAGCTTCAAAAATAGAGGAAAAAGTCCAAAAATAAAACTGAAGATAAAGGCTGTAAAGATAAAAAGCAGAAAGAAGCTGCATAAAATTTAAAGCTACAAAAGACGTGTGAATGACCACTTTCTAAATGAAAAAAAGCTCCAAAAATAAAAATCTGATAAAAGCAAAAAGAAACTGCATGAAAATAGAGCTCTATAAGTATGAATGATCGCCTTTAAAATAAATAAAAATTGACACACACCAATGAATGAACAATGAGCAATGTCGCCAGATCAGCTACATTGGTAAAGCATTTCTGCTCATGCACTTTAATCACCGAAACTGGAAAGAAAAAAATCAAAAGGACACACGTTTACTGACAAAGACAACTTATTAAATAATGCTACAAAGACGCGAGATCGAATTGACAATAGCCCTTTACAGAAAGTTCTCCCCTTTCATTGAACTTTTCCAACATCTTTGAATGAATAAATAACACCAAGCGAAGTAGCTGCCAAATCCATATGATGAAAAGGAACACCATGTAACTGTTTTTTAGCTCGCAAATTTTGGCGTGCGGCGACTGGTTTTTAGTTTGGCAAGAATTTTAATAGTAGCACGTGTTTATCTTTTAAAGATCATAAAGTTATGCTCTTTCGGTCTGTAGATTGTTGTTACTCTGAGGCTAGTGGGAATAGTAGCTGATTAAAGATGTGTTTGAAATGGGATGCTCCATTTCCAATATTCAGAACCCGCACTCGAATTTGTGTATCCAAAAGTCATGGTGTTCTCTTAACTCTAATCTTTTGTCAATAAGCGGTTGATTTTTCGGTAAGATTTAGTTGATGTGCGCATAAATCTTTGCGTATCAATAGACAACCTACACACGATACGATCATAGTCATCAAGTGTTCTCGGCTTATCGTCCGCATGTAGCACCAAAAGTAAATGAAGATGCGGTAAGCCTCGCTTCTGAAACTCCACTGTGTGTACATGGGCAACGACTCTTCCCAAAACATGGTTCTTCGTTAGATCTTCCATCAGAGCTTTTTTTTACGCTTCATATTGAAGACTCGCGCACAAAGATCGGGCCGATCAACAGCGGCTTGGAGAGGAACCAGCTCGTCCTGTATTTTCTTCCACTGAGGATTGCAAGTGAGAGTGATGAAAAGATCGGGCTGTCCGCATCGACGTACAATATTCATGGAGTCATGATAGAGTTGCCGCATGTGTCTGGGACTTCCTATGAAGGTGGACGGCAAGATCACTCGTTGCCCGACGCTCTGAAGGTCGTTGTCACCCAGCTCTACTGCATCTACGACACCTCGGTACAGATCCGTTCGCAGGTTCGTCTGATTGAGCCGTAAATACGTCAGCTGATTCTGCTCCATTTTGGCGTACATATCAACTATGTACTGCTGGAACAGGCGTCCGAACAAATGCATATTGTGGCCGTTGCTTCGCACCATCAAACGGTAGCTGTACCATTGCATAACCATGATACTGCGACCGCCAGGGGAGCGTGCGTGGATATTCCAACCGAGGTCACCATGTGGGAACATCAAGACGTACTGGAGAGCATCATAGTGCTGATTCATCTCGCTGATACGTTGAAGTCCATGACTCCTCGATTGGAGCACAATATCGCGGCTACTGTTTGGTGTGATCGTACTGTCTACCAGGATCACTCCAACTTCGCTTGCGGTTGGTGCATTGTACCGGCGAGCATCAGGCGTGTTTTCCGCACTTATGAGCAGTCTCACATCTACAGCTCCGTCCGACTCACGTAAAACATGCGCCATGGATAGCAACAGCGGAACAAACGGGTTTATTTCCATGAGCAGATCTTGGAGAATGAGCAAGGTTGCATTTCGTAAATATGGAACCACAGCGTTTCGGTGTGCCAGCTGGGTGTCAGAGTCGTATATGCACAGCTGAGCAAATGCAGGAGTCTGGTTATCCGTTGGTGGAAGCAGGCCACCGATCCGATGATAGATGCCTCCTTGGATGCGATAACAGTAAGCTCCACTGCGATTGTTGGCCACTGACTCGTCAATTTGAGCACCTAGGGAAGTGAAACTGAGATTCGTGTTGTAGCCGCGGATCTGCTCACGGAAATCTCCTCCATTGTCGGTGTTGCTGCGAAGAAGACGCGCAATTGTTGGAGGTGTAGGCTCCAAAGGCGGAAGCACAATGGAACCTTGAACACAGCAGACCTGGAACTGTGGATTAGCGATGGATCCAGACATACGCTCTTTGAGCCACATGTGTGCCTGGCAGAAATTGCACACGGCATCCATGCGTCCCAAAGGTATGTCTCTCTGGAAGTTCCCACTCGTTATTTCGGCCACTGTTGAGCGTTCCTGATTGTTCACTTGACAGCGTATTAGCATGATGGTCGAAATCTGCTTGGGCAACGGGCGCAGGTAATCCAAATATGGCAACTCAGAGGCAAACATTTTAATAAAGTTGAGATATGTAGCGGTCAGGTTACCTGGCGTAAAGCTGAAACAACAATTTTCTAGATACAGTGCCATCTTATTTCGACACCAATTTATCCATGAAACTGAATTAAGTAATATTATTAATATATTCAATAGCTCGAAGACATAACTGAAATAGTAGAATACAATCGAAATTGGTAATATTTCTATTGATATTCCTCGGTTTTGTCACATTGTTACTGTATAAAGCTTGTCAAAAATTGCAGAGGGAGAAGCGGTCAACGTCGAATCTGGCATAGCAAAAGTTCAGTAGTAGCTCCCAAAAACATAAGAGAGACATGGCCAAAATTTTTGTGAGCGAATTCTTTTCGTTAGAGCAATAAAAGGTCATATAATCGCTCTTAGGAAGTTCATCATGAGCGGCCAAATAAAGAGGAAATTACAGAAAGAGATAGCAAATCACATAGTAATGAAGTCTTAACTTGTATTATTTGATTGTATTCTTTCTGTCAAACTAATTTTACGCATCTACTATTTTTGTTTTCTGATTTACCAATTCATTTAGGTTGCGACGCGCGGGAGGATGCACCCTGTAATCGGAGTGTCATCAGCAATCCTCTTGAGGGAGCCTGACTTGATTAATGGAGACTGGGGATTGAAGGCTTCCAACATTGCCAAAATAGCGCTGGCAAGCTTAGCGAGACGGACCTCGTCGACTTGCAAGTTTTTTGCTCCGTACATGCGACAATTGATGCTGCCGATCCACCTATTGTCACAAATAGTAGTAGCGAGATCATCAAGATACAAGAGCTCGTCCTTGAAGCAGTTCTTCAAATCAGGCTTGATGAAGGTCGCATGCTGAGCAGCAACTATGAGATCCCGAATGAATGCAACGCCGACAGGAGAGCAGTCGACACGTAGAACTAAAACGCCGGAAACTTCGCCACGGGCGGCCCTCTTAATCCAAAAGTTGTCGAAAATTAATGGGAAGATGGCGTGAAGCGCATGGCAAGCAATATTTTCCCACCTAACCTCAAGATAAACGTGACTTTTGAGACACCTTTTCCATAATCCTTCGTACTTGGCAGCCATATCAGGCAAGAAATCATCAGCGACGAACTCTAAACATGTAAGCAACGCAGCAGACATAATCGGAGAAGTTCCGTCTGATTAAAACTTGCACTTCTGAGTAAGATGTTCTTTAACAATAGCAACAGCGGTGACGAACTCATGACCTTGAACAGGAATGTTGGAAACCAAGGCCTCGTTATATATTACATGGTACCGGTGAGGTTCGAAGCGAGGTGAAACCAATCCAGACTTGGCGGCTAAGAAACGCATGTACGCAATTCGTGCAAGTTGATTAAAGAGGATACCAGTGGTGGCTGCGTGAAGGGCAATTAAATTGACGACCAAGAAACGAATGGTTCCCTTTTTGTCGAACAGCACATTGTCGAACGCATTGATGGCCTGATCGACGCCATGCGGGAAGTGAACGACGCGGCGCTCGTCCAAGGTGTCGACTTCATTTAGTTTATCAGTGATGAAGCAGTCACCATTCAAGCCGTCTTCGCCTTAGTCAAGAACCCAGTCAAGCTTAGATGGGCTGTTATCACAGATATCGACAGCTGTTGTAACTAAAAAGGGCAGGGAAGTATGCAATGATCATTAAATAAGATAAACTGAACAATCAATGAAACGTAAACTATGCAGGTAAAAAAACCTCTATTTTCCCTTATTTTGAATGCTGCCATTGAAACTGCTTTTGCAACTTTCACAGGATTCAATACGCAAGCAAGTTGATCAGCGCCAACCAACAAAAGTTTCTCACTATCACGTCAGTCAGATATCAGCTCTATGACTGCCCCGCCTCATTACCTTTGCAATACACTCACACAAAAAACCAAAACAGGTCTCAAAGAATTTATCATAAAGTAAGTTGGGTTAAATAATTACGATCGTCGTTCGAGATATATTAAAACGCCCCAATAAATACCAAGGCTCTTTCCTGTACGACAGATATCCTACAAAAATTAACTCCTAGGAATAGCTTAGGGCAACTTATTCAGTGCTTCCGAATTAGCAAAGATTGGATATGTTGTTCAGTAGGTCCACGTAGGACAGCTCAGCGGAAAGGCTGCAGGTGCTTAACATGCGTACATTTTCCCAGCATAACGCCGAACAAAAGGGACGAGGTATGTATTTCAACAATGACAAAGTGAAAAACCAGAGAAAGCCCATTATCCACAAGATGGTGGAGCCTCAGCCTAAACTGCAAAAGTTACAATTTTTACAATCAAATAAGCAGGACGATGTTTGATATTGAGTGAGCAAAAGGTGAGCAACTCATCAAGTGTTGCCTTCAAATGGGCGGGCAGGTGAGCAAAAAACAGTTCCTAAGAAGCATGTTATGTACGTGAAAGATAATGAACACCAGTTATGATAATTGATAAAATAAACGAGCAATCTTTTCTTTTCCAAATGCCAATACGCAGATATACTGGACTGAAAGAAACCATAACATTATTTTTGTCAACCAGGGGTTATAGCGATGGGCAAGACCACTGCTGAAATCTACTAAAGGTCGCTGTACTGCTATGAAAATGCTATACTCCACGGCAAAGTATTTACAACCATTTTGATGGCTATATAAACTATGAAATACATTTATTCTCTTTTACACATCAATGGTGGTTACATAACATATCACAAATCATGGGTGGAGGCCCGACAGCACTATGATCTGGAGCTGTCGAATTAGTCATTTTTCGACGTCCGCAAGCTTGAGGATTTTCTTAGATTGGCCTTCCGCAAAAAAAATTAGGGTATGCTTCCACAAGTGTTCCGCACGCCTTTACGTGCAGTATGGGAAGTGGCCAACAAAACCACAGAAACACTTTGGTGGCCATCCCGCGGCGACGGCAAGAAAACGGTCTTGTTCTTCATTCCCGGGAATCCCGGTCTGGCCGAATATTATACCCAATTTTTGCAGGATATTCATGAGCATTCCGCCCCTTCTTTGGAGATTTGTGCAGGTAACGGGAACGCCATGAGGTGTGATTTTCGAGAACAAAATCTTAACAATGAAGAACACGCATCTGCTGTATACAGTATCTCATTTAGGCCACTCGGTTGGTTCTCACACTGTCGCTTCGTCCCGCGATGCCGTATATACACTGCAAGAACAAATTGAACACAAGATCGACTGCTTTGACCAGCTTCGCAAGGATAATCCTGGTGGCACACAGTTCATTCTAATGGGCCATTCGGTAGGCGCTTACATTTGCGCCGAAGTGCTCAAGCAAAGACAACAGCATGACATTGTCCGTTTAATCGCCTTATTCCCGACTCTGCGAGAAATTGCATTGACCCCCAACGGGGTGTTCATATCGGTATTGTCTTTTGGAAACAGTATTCTTGTGTGCGCATCTTTATTCACTTGCAAATGAACTCGTATTTAGCGATTACTATCCAAAGTGCCTTTGTCTGTGCTTTCAGGCACGGCACACATGCTGTCATACATCTCGTCGCCAATTCGTGAATACGTGACAGGCATGGTGACTGGACAAGAGGGCCATTGTTTAAAAGTGACAGCACATCAGCTACTACACCAATCTGTTGTCAAGAACGCATTTGCTATGGCCAACAACGAGATGGCATCGATCAAAGAATTGGATCATGATTTCTATACGACTCATGTGGATAAAATGATCGTTTACTTTTCAAAGGTCGACAAATGGGCCCCCTTGGATCATTATGAATACATGAAAGAAAAATTCCCAAATGGTAAGTGCGATCATTTTGGCATGCATTTACGATATCTAAACCCAAGCTTCTCGAAAATTGCAGCTCACATTCATCTGTGTGAAGAAGACCTGCCGCATGCATTCATTTTAGGTAACTATTCAATGCATCAAAAAAAAAGGTCAATGCTAATTATGGGAGTGTATGAATGATAGATTCGAAGCATTCTGCATACATGGCACATAAAGTGAGAGGTTGGATAGAAGAAATATTACAGAAATCATAAACAAAAGGCATCCTTTGTGATCGCATACAGAATCTCCGCGCTGAATCTTTAATTGGAATTGGTTATCATCTAACACCGCGAGATATAAAAGTCGAGCTCGCGGGACAAAGCCTGCATGATCGTTCACACGCAGCATGAATGAAACCGTGGATACTAGTATTTCAATTTTGATGAGAGTGTTCCTTGAGTGGCAAAACCGTTGGGTTTGATAATGTTCTGAGGATGAGTGAGAGTCTACCCTGGACTCTTCTAGAGGCTTGGTACATCAAAGATGTGTGTCATAGCACGACGCATATCTGATAGAATCCAATAGAATTTCGGATATATCGCCATCAATGAAATACACGTCGCTTGCTAATTTTTATGCATGAACCCAAAATCGAATCATCACATTACTGCGATGCGGACTTGAGAAGTTTCCCGTTGGCACTGCTGTGAAAATAGCATACGGGGAGGGCGCCATAGAAAGATTGATTGCAGAGGACGTTCCCTACTCTCGGTCACGCTCTTTTCTTTTCTTTTTTTTTTTGTGATCTCTCATTCAAGATCATAGTTGCCACATGGATGATTTCCTAGACGCACACACCGCGGCTGCCACCAACAGATAAAACAAACACTAAACAGTTGCATACAACTAAAACGAGGATTCCCTAAAGTCTATTGATGACGGAAAAAATTGGATGGATGGTTTTAAGAAAAACAAGAAGAAAAAAGAAAAGCAAAGCGATGAACATGGAATCTTTTTTGTGATAAATATTTTGTCTTTTTGGATCATTATTCGGCAGCGAGCATGCTGGTCAATGTGGCTTGAGCGCGCAAAATCTATCCATCGATACGTTTGTCAGTATTCCACTCAAAAATAAACCATGCGTATAAAAAGATTTTTACCTCTACAGCCTGCTTCACTTCCAAATGACGACGAGCGGCCTGTAACCAATCAGAAGCTAAGCGTTTAGGCCATCCTTTCAGTTGGTTCAGTTCGCGAGCGGCGCTTTCTAAATCGTCTTGGTGTTGCAAATAGTATTCGGCACGAGCCAAACGCGCTTCCACATCTTCTCCTTCGACCAAGCCCTGCTTGGCAAACATCAACTTGCTCAGCATCGCGGAAACAACGTGAGACATGATGCTGCCTTCTTCAGGAATAAGAGAAGCGCGACGCACTTCGCGAGCAACAACGTCAAATCGGGTCACCAACTGAGCTAATGAATCGATACCGTGCTGAGCCGTCAGGTCCGAAATGCTGGAAGCGACCACTTGAATCAGTTCATCCCGTCGTTTCTCGGACAAGCTGGCAAAAGGCGAATTGGGAGCACTCAGAACTAACAGAGTACGTAATTCGGCCTGGAACGCCTTGCGATTGCCGGACAGCGCAGCCTTCTTCAAACTATCCGTAGCAATGACCAATTGGTGCGCTCGGCGAGCGTCATCCAAGTGTTCGGCATCAGTGTAAGCCAGCTTCTCCAAATCGGCCTGACGAACCATGACCTGGTCCACCTTGGACAAACGACCACCCCGTTCGGTTTCCACCTGTTGTTGCACTTCATCCACGTATCGTTCCTGGATTTCAATGGCCTGCTTTTGCAAAGCTTCTACCATCATGGCAAGTTGTGCTTCACGTTCCACGGCCAATTCGTTTTCGCCTCCCTCTCTAAGCTCTTGTTGCAAAGCAGCAGATTCAGATGCGAAATGCTGTTTCAAATCGTCGGCTTTATCGGCAACACGGACATTGGCTTTCTTTCGGGCAGAGACCACTTTAGCGTGGACATCACTGCAGTGTTGGTTGACATCGTTTTCGACGACTTGAGCTTTGGCTGTCAAGGCATTCACAGCTTCGTGCAACTGGGTCTGTTCCTTTTGAATGAGATCCAGGTTGTCGTTCAATGCTTTCAAATCACGTGTGGCAAAGTCGACCAATCGACGAGCATGACCGCAAAGACCGGCGTCATTCAACGAAGCAACAAGCTTCTGGACGGTCGCTGCCAGTTGGTTGATGGAGGGATCCGAGCTTTCGGGAAACTCGGGGATATCGACCGGGTCACCACCCGTAATCACATTGGCGAAAATAGCTTTCTGAGGAACGACTCTCTTCTTCTTCTTCTTGACAGGTTCAGGACCGCCTGCTGAAGGCAAAGCGACAGGTTCCTTCTGGCCGGTCAATTGAGCGAAAGCCTCGGCGCCATATTCGTACCATTCCATCACAGTTTCCTTGGCATCAAGTGCAGTTTGCTTAGCAGAATTGGCATGAACCGAAGCCTCATTTTTCCATTGGTTGGTTTTCTCGAGATAATCTTTAAGCTGGCGATTCTGCATGGCGTCTTCCAAAGCATCGAGTAATTGCTCGCCCCCAGGAACGTAGGTGGTATACGTGTCGTAAAAAGCTTCATTTTTCAAGGCAAAGTAAGTCGCGCCAGAGTACATGGTGACACCAAACATGGTAAACCATAGCAATTTCTTGGCCACGGATCCACTCTTTTGAGTCGTCGTCGATGACTCGACTGCCGTTGTATACGAACGGGCAGACTGGAATAAAGTAAGACGGTTAATTTAAACGGTCGATTCACGCATGTCGGATAACTTGAAAAAAAAAGCCTACTCACAAGAGCACGAACTGTCAGATTTCTACCAATGTGACAGGTCGTAGGTCTGGCAAATCTAGCTGCTCCTCGTAGCATATTGAAGTGACCAAGTATACGGACCAAAAAATCAAGTTCGCGAATTGTTTTTTAAGAGCTCAACAAGGGCCAAAATTTTTAATCGCCGAATCTTATTGGCTGCGTCACAAAGCCTTTCTGTTATCCGTTTCTACGTCCTGTCCGTCCCTCGAGCCATCAACCATATCAATGTTACTGTTGTTCAGCCCGTCATCCTCTTTGCTGTTGAATCCCCTGCTTTCAGCACGCTCCCACAAGACGACATTGCTAGTTTCGTCAAGGAGCAAGAAGAGCGGCAAGTTAGTTCCCATCGCGAGCAATGTCTAGGTAACTGATACGTCTTGAAGCTATTGCTGTACGTTCGGAAAGAAGACTTACTCTGCTCCTGGCGCTCTCTTTGTTCGCGAGCGATATACTTGTCATCGTGCTGGTAACTTACCACTCGACCGCGCAAAAGCGGCGCGTGCAGCCTTCCATTCGTTGTGGATGTGAAGCCAGAATCGTGGTTTCCTCTTTTGACGCTGAGAGGGGGGCCCCACCTCTGAGCGTCTCTCCAACTGGTTTGAGGAGCAATTGCAACTCAAGTTCACTTGGGCCAAGATCAATGAGATGCTTCGCTTGGACAGTGACACTTTGAGCAAGGGATATTATGGGTATCGTAACCAGATAATAATCATACTCATCATATTTCTTACTCAAGTGTGGAATGGTGAAGCCCTCATCCCGGGAAAGTTTCTCCATCGGGCACATGCATGTGTACAACGCGATTCAGAGACTTCTGAAGAAGAACTCGCATCTCCATGGTGTGAATGAGAGCCTGCGTTTGTGGCAAATGAGAATCGCCATTACTGCAAGTACGATGCCGGTGAGGCTGTTGGTTCATGTGGGCCTTTATGAGCACATGGAAGACTGAGGGAAGGTGAAGAGCATAATGCTTTATCATAGTTTAAAGATTAGTCTAACCAATAAAATAAGGGCGTGCAGCCTCACAACGACCATTCAATCAGCTCTGATCCTGTCTGTATTTTTTTGATGCACCTCTTCCCTGTTGTGAACCTCTCTCTAGTTATTTTAGCACAGTTGCTTAACAAGGTGTCTAAAAGTACATTCACGTCATCCCAGGATCCCTTAACAGTTCATCAAAGATAATGGGGCACTTGACTCCATCATTAAGCGTTGTCTACATTTCGGAGCACGCCTTTTGTTCACGGACATTTCCATTCTTAGCGTCTCCGTAACGGCAACATGCCGTGTTGGATAGATATGAGTATAAAACAAGCTTTGTTTGAGGATACTCCATTTACCGTGCAGATGTGGAAATTGCAACATCAGAGAAGCTGGGGAGAATGAGCTGTAGTTGTCTCGATTGGCAAATACATGACACCCATAGCATTGCTGTACTTTTACAAGATAAGTGCTGATGCCAGAAGCGGTAGCTTGTACCGGAACAGGCATGACTATATGATGTTGGAGAGAAGGATTAAATAGAGATTATCTAAACAGATTCATCGACTAAGAAAAGCTTTATGTGTTGTATGCAAAACTAGAGGAGAAAGGGGAATCGAGAGAAAAAAAGAAGATATTGCAACCGACTACCCTTTGGGCTGACGATAGATATTATGTTCTTTTGCGATTTTTATCAAATGACCTCTTTTATCTTATCCTCCTTTTTCTTCGCCCCCCCCCGCCTTCCCTCCAAAATAAAAGAAAGACAAAATGTAGTTTATATCCGTTGAATATGTAATAAAATTGTGTTGTAAGCATAAATTGATTTTTTTAGATACCATAACGTTCATGCAAAGACGCTCTGATCTCTTGTGGCAGACTAGCCAGCGCCTGCTGCCATTGTTGCTCACCAAACATGTTCTTGTAACCCATGAGAATCTATTGCAGCAATCGAGGTCGGTTAATCCAATCATCACAGTGTCACTGGTTTTCTTCCCCTTACGTTGCCAAATGATGTATGCAATTCCTGAGGAACCGCTTGGTAATGTGCAATAGCTATACAGATCCCCAAAAATTCCTATACCAAAAGAAAATCAGTTGTCCGATACTGGAACAAAAAAGAAGCTTTTCTTGAACTAACCTTGACAGCACCCTGAGGATTTGCCTTGATCATTTCGCATAAACCCGAGAATGCAGAAGCCTTTTCGTCATTATCACGAATGGGAGTTAATGCCGCAAGCCAGGGCTGAATAAACATTTCCAGATGAGGAGCGACGATATTAGGACAGGTCAAACCCAAACGACCAATCGTGATGGCCACGTTTTCCAACAAAGTGCGTTGGATCTGAGGATTGACAATCAGTGGGAACAAACGTTGCAACATTGGCTCGACATAAGGCTGAATCTCCGCACCTATTCAAATGAATTCGTGTCAACTGGGTCTTTTTTTCCTTTCTCTATTCTTCACAGCTCCAAAACTTACCCCACTTGATAGCGATTTCACCAGCAGCCCAAGCGGCGTTATTGCATACTGACAAATGTTCAGCTTGAGGATCAATTTGATGCAGAACATGAGGCATGAACTGGGGAACCACGGCACGAATATGCTCAAAGCAAGAAATGGCCAAATCACCCAATAACGCATAAGCCGATTGTCGAACTTCAGCAACCTCATCCTAAGAAAAACCAAGAACACATTAAATCAGCACTTAAATTACCCAAAACCCGGCCCAATCGTACCTGAATACAAATGGATAAGAATTGGACCACAGGAGGATTGGTATTAGCGACCAGGGGCTCGGCATCGGTATTCAAAGCCTGGACAATGCCAGACAACAAGTCCAAGGAGACAATCATGAAATCTTTATCAGGTTCGTCCAGGGTAGGATCCATGGCTGTCATTTGACATTCTTCAAGGGTCTTGCACACCAAGTTCACACATCGCTGATACACAGGTTCAGCAAAAGGCTTGAATCCTTTACCCAAAGCCGTACAAATCGATGAAAGACACTAGATAATAATGATGAAGATTATTTAGCGATCCAATCGAAATCTTCCGAAAACAAAGCCTTTTTCTCGTTACCTCAAGGAGCGGGAACAGATCTGTGTTGTCATCGGTGATCTTTTGCCATTTCTTGATAAGCGGGGGCATAATGAGTTCAATATAGGGGGGATTATTCAAGGCTTCGCCGACAACTTCAGCTAATGTCCCCAGGGTGTCGTAGAGCAACAACAGATTGCGTTGTTGGTACTTTTCGAAAGCAGCCGATAACGTGACAAGGATGGGCTGCAAATAGGGCACTAATTCTACTGTGCCTTCTTCCTCGAGCAAGGAAAACGATGAGCAGGCCGCTTCTTGCACACGCTTATTGTTATCCATGATACGCTGCAATAACAATTGAACAAGAGGTTCAAAGTAATGCTTGCGCGCCTCGGGACTCTGACGCGCCATCTGAACAATCCACGAAGAATAACGACCCAGTGTCCAGCAAGTAATGGATCGAACCAAAGGCTAAATACCAAAAACCAAGAATCGTCATCAGCATCATTCTTGTGTTCCATGGGGGCCACGGTGATGGCTTACCTTGAGATCGTTGAGGTTCTTCAATAAATAAGGAACGAGCTCGGGCAAAAAGGGGGCAATGTCTTGCATACCACCTATGCAGTTCCAGTATATTGTCAGTGACCATCCTCACCCATGTCATCCGGCGGTCATAACGTTACCTTCAGCGGCAGCGCCCAAAGCAAGAATACCGCATTCTCGGTGGAGCCAGTCGCCACTTTCCAATTCAGTCTTGAGCAAGGGCATCAGGATACGAATGCCTTCGCCTTCAAACGATGTACACAGGACATCCAAAGCGGCCGCACTGCACTTTCTCAGATTCCATTCACCGTAAAACTCATCGTCATCAAAATCAAAATCATCCTCGTCATCCTCGTCGTCGTCCTCTTCATCATCATCGGCCAAAAGACCGCTGCTCTTCTTCTTATCCTCGCTGACATCATCCTTGATGTGACCTGCTTCGACAACATTGGCCTTGTGGAAACGGGGTTTGATGTCTTGTTCGTTGTCGGCAATGTGAGCATCATCCTCGTCGCCGCCGAGAGTTAACAGATCGACTTCGGAATACACCATTCCTTTCAATAAGACGGGAATGACCTTGGCCAAGTACGGACGAAGATGTTCACGCAACTCATCCTGTTCGGCAAACACGAGCCAGAATTCGCAAGCTTCCAAGGCTAAATCGGGATCATCCGATTGAGTGCAGTAGAGCATGTATTCGACCAGATTGGGCATGTGCGGCAACAAGGCCGTAGGACAGGTTTCCAAAAGACCAACGAGCGCCTGGCATACGGCTTTACGGACTTCCACGCTATCGTCGGTGGCGCGATTGAAAAGAGCGGCCAAGTAGTCGTTCATTCGGTTCATTAATGGTTGAGATCGCAAAGAGATAAAATGCGTAATAGATGCAATGGCATGCAAACGAAGCTTGTAACTGGGATGATCGAAAAACGTAATAAATTTGGGGATCATGAATTCTAAAGGTTGAACACCACCGATGGTGCTATCCAAATCATGAGAGCAATCTTCACAGATGCGTTGTAATGTGCTGAAAGCATTCTGTAACAAATGAAAAAAGATTAACGAGATTTTTTCAATTTAAAGCCTGTATTGCTCGTCTTCCCCCCTTTTTTGCATCTCATCATCATCCCCGTCTGTTCCCAGTTGACACCCATTTTCTCTCGTGCTTACCTCTACCGTGACGGGGTCAGACGAATCCAACTTTTCCATCAAGACTTGGAGGGCTTGAGGCCAATTGTGGACTTGACCGCGCAAGACGATGGCTGCGATAACAAGACTGATGGCTTTACCGATTTCGGGGTCTCCAACATTTTGCAAGCAACTTTCCTTGACATAGTCCATGACGGGAGCGGGAATGGTAGGATAGTATGCTCGAATGTTGTTCTTGAGCGTCAAACCGGCCACCGAGCGAAGATACTGATCTTCTTGCGGCATGCGAGTCAGAATATAGGCAAGATACGAGTTGTAATCCGGAATTTTGTTGAAGTATTCAAGTCTCTGTAAAGGAAACAAAGGAATGAATGAGCAAGTGATCAGGCTGATCATAACGGTGCATAGACTTACTTCCTGGACATTTTGTCCATCCGTAGGATTGATAGCTTCACGCAAAAGCTGCAAAAGGTCAGAAAGACCTTGTTCGGTTGGTTGCCAGGTACTCATGGAATCGCACTAGTGAAACGCTAGAAGGAACCAAAACAAGGTTAATTCCAAGTAAATCTGGGATAACGGGACGTTGAAATATAGAGTGACTAGCAAAGAAAAAATAAACGCTCGCTATTGGCACAAAAACGTGCAACGCCACTCACAGTTGAATAAAACCAAGATGCAGCTTTGACGAATGGCACTCAATGACTAATTGCAGTGATTCACGTCTTTAGCTTGAAAAGAAAATATTCACCTTTCAAAGTTTTTTGATCCCGACCTTGGTTTTTTAGAGCCGAGGTTTAGGCACGTATTTTTTTATTTTTTTCCTTCTCAATGGCTTGCAGGATCGATCGACCCGAAGCCAAAAAAAAAAAAAAAAAAAAAACTTTTACGTCACAAATTGTGACGTTAATTTAATTTTGTCACGTGAACGTTGGCCTACAGCCAACTTTTGCGAAGCCTTTCAAGCAGTATTTCGTTCGGATTGTGGTGGACAACTTTGACAAAGGAGGATTTTTGTAGGGTTCTTCGAAAGATGTGAGCCGGAAATTGTAAACACAATGCGGAGCAAAACAGACTACCTTGGACTTTTTTTTTGAGAATCCAATAAAATATCATAATCCCGGATCTTTTTTCAAAGAGGTGAAGAAAGTGAGGTTTGGGAATTCTGCAGTGCTTGGAAGTGGATCATCCTTATCCAGAGAGGAAAGAAATAGGGTTTGGAAAAAAATAACGGGCATTATTTTTTTCCCATCAGTGATTTTCACTGTTTTAATCAGTAAAGAAGTATGCACTTTTTCCCATCAGTGATTCTCACTGTTTTAAATCAGTACCATCAGTGATTCACATGTTTTAATCAGTAAAGTAGTATGCATTTTCTTCCATCAGCGTTTTTCACTATTTTAATCAGTAAAGGAGCACTGTATGCATCATTTTATCCCATCAGCGATTTCATTGTTCATCAGTGCAGTAGTAGGCACTATTTTTTCCCAGGGTGATTTCATTGCTCATCAGTGCAGTAGGAGGCACTATTGTTCCATGACAATGGCATATGAAACGACTGCCGTCCAGGCTTTCTCATGTCTTCCGCATTCTCATCTTTTATTTTCATTTTTATTCATGCCCCCTAAAAGACGCCGCGCCTATTTCTGCCAAGGTACCGTTTGTTATACTCGCAAATCCGATTTGCATTCGGCAGGATACGGAAAATTTAAACAACACATCTGCCCAGACGCCAAGCCTGGAGCCGTACATTCATTTCCGATAGACAGCGTGGCTATTTATCAGATGTTCGGGCCGGTAGAGACTGGAAGTCGAAGGATCAAGTCCATCAACGATGCGCTAGGAAACAAGCGACAGGTTTTTCAGTCGATATTTAACCTGGATCGAATCAACTCACTGTGTACCCAGCATGGTTTACGTTCGCGATCGTATCACCTACGATCTTTTGGGCATCGCTGTAACCACTGGGTCCTGTCTCCCCGAAAAGAGCCGGGCAGTGTCGACTTACGAAGAACGGAAAGAGCTTCCTAGCGAAGAAACCCATCGACCGACCTACACGAAGTCAATGCTCGAATAGGTGATCAGCTATTGTGAAGCGAGTATCAAATCTCTCGAAAGCCGTATCCGGTCATCACAAAAAAAATGCAAAGATCTTGAAGAGCAAGGTTGTTGAAATACGATGTACCCTTGTGACAGCAGAAAACAAGCAAGCACATATCGAAACTCACAAGGCTGCCAAAATTGCATACAACGATGCGCTCACAGCTATCAATCGGATGAAGACTGATCTATCCAACGAACGAGCCAGCAAGTATAGCGAACGAAAGGTATAGAAACAAATATATTGTGTATCATAGCAACTTTCTCAAATGATGTATTTAGACTTTACAAGATATTGACTCGGGCAAGAGCAAGAAGAGAAAGAAGGGAAAGCTAAAGATGTGCCAGCACCGTTCGATATCTGTCCAACTGTGCGAAAGCCAGGGTGTGAGGATTCAGCGGCAGACATGACGCTTGACCAACTCCCTCCCGACAAGCTCTCATTCGCTGGAACGGATTATGGCATTGTGACCCTTGCCACGACTATGGCTGTCGGACAAAAGCAACACGCGTTTCATCTCACGCTTTTCAACCACTATGAAATTACGACCAAGAGCGTGGATACTTTGTTTTTGACAATCCATTTATCATTTCCGCCGATAACTTGGATTGGAGACTCGTTCATTTGAAGCGAGAAAAAAGCGAGAGATGAAGAAGAAAACGGTAAGGATGAATATCGATGGTTATTGCAAGCATCTAATCATCCAGACCTTTTTTCCTTTCTTTTTTTTGGTGCACGATCTGCAATAGATGGACAAGGGGAAAGCTGCCACGAAGATGGAAAGAATGCTTGCGAAACATTCAATGTCAAATGCGTTATCCGTTGCTCAGGTGCTTGAAAAGCAAAAGGTACCACATCATACAAATGCTGTATTGCGACTTCTGCTTACTGACTTGGATTTATATTAGATGGCCCAATCAGCGAGAGATGATTTGCGAGCATTTTATTACTCCTCCGCCGAACGCAAACTGAAGAGATTCATTCGGCTTCACAAGAAACGCATATACATGAAGACTGTGCAAGAAGAAAGCAGCTACATTGTTGGCTAACAAGGTGGAAACGATCTGCAAGACACCCAAAGGCTACCTGTTCGTATAATTGGCGTTATGGGAACAGGTGTGGGTTCACGCATCGGTGGACATGCTCATCCCGGTCGTAAGTGGCACAAAAAAGCTGGCCTCCAGTTACAACCCGGTGGCAACGACGAACGAACATCAAACGAGCCAGCGATGCGTTTTCTGTTATCAAAAAATAGTCCACCCGTTCATCAAAGACGGAAAACAAGTCCAACGAACTGTCAATGGGTCAGCCACCTGTATCAATAGCAAATGCATCCCACGATTGAACGGTTTCTCCACTTTTCCTCTCTATGCCATGTCGGCGGTGGCGATATGCCTGGCAGGACGAACAACGATCGAATTCGGAAAACCACTCGCGACTTTCGATCCGTCTCGCACAAAAGAAATCAGCCAATCCTATGCTGAGGCTCAAGAAGCACTTGAAACCCGGCCCAATGTGCAAAGATTGCGGCCTGAGGGCACCCATGATTAATGGGACAACTTCAATTTGCACAGCTTGGAGTGAGTTCAAAAAGAAACTGTCAAACTTTTGCAAACTCTGCGTTCTTACAGATACCTCTACAGCATAAAGAGAGGTACAAATTGATTTCAGGAAATTATTAAGTAGCCGTACAGTTTTCATGCAAGCTATCAAATAACTTGGCCGCACCGCCTTTTCAGTCGTTTAACCATGTGTGTACATGCCCCTCAGGATTCTCGAGTAACAGTGGGCTTAAGTTCGGACATGAAACTCTCCAAAGGCTTACCTTCATGGTTGCGCAACTGTAACAAGGGCATTGGGAGTCTGTTCAGTTCAATAGATTGAGGTTTCTCTTTACATACAACCCTCGTCGCCCTTTGCGTGCATGTTATTTTTAACGCTGCTGGTACCGTGATACTACCCTGTTCTCCAATCATAAAAGCACACATACAGGGAAACCAAAGTAAGATGGCTCGACGATTATCAATGACGCTTGTGCCGTCTTTCCAAACAGAAATTCGTATATCATACACTTTCCGATTTGATGATATTGACAGTTTATAAAGACAAATATCATGAGTCTTTTAGTTGTCATGTAAATGATCATCAATTTGTGATTTTTCTCCTTTTGTCCTAAAAGAATCAAAAAGGCTCAAAAATAAAATAAAAACGATGATTTTTCCAGGTTGAACGCATTTGTTTTACAGAGACCCTTTTTTGTTTGCCCAACACATCATCATTGTCCGTGATAATCATCCATTGAAAAACTAGTGGAAGGTTTTCTTGAGGATGTTTCTAAAGTGCTGGTTTCCGGGACTTCCAATAGGGGAAACCAGATTTTGCTTTCCCGGACGGCAGGTCTAACATGCCACTGTTATGTTTACAGTCTCGAATTTCGATCGTGTGTCAATATTACATGAACACCGTACTGCAGTAAGTCTGCAACAAAGCAATAATGTGTGTGTGGTGATGTTGTCATGGAATATTCTACATGAGATTGCAAGTTTGAAGAAAGCAATTGTATTTAACTGACAAGTCTCCATCCTTTCGCCTGCAGATAATTTTCTCCAAAAGGGGCTACTAAACTTACTATGCATGATAATGTGTATCATTGGACGATTCCATCGGTACTCTGGATGGATAAAAAATTAAGCCAACTCTATCTCTTTTCAATGGATCCTGCGGAAAAGGGATGATGGAGCATCTAAACATTTGTTCTAAAAGGCCCGGCCCTACCAATTCGCCTCAGCGTACTATATCCATTTTACTAATGCATCAACCATAATATTCCATCCTCCTTGAACACGCCGGTCACGTAATTTTATACAGCTCTGTATGAATGCCAAGAAAAATGTAAAAAAGAAAAAAACAATATTAAATGGATGATCTTCGGGCTGGGTTTAAACGGTGAGGATCTGCAGCAGAAAAGTACAACCCCAAATCTCAAATTCTACATACACACTGATGCAAAACATGACGGAATAGTCGCTCGATGAACGCCCGCCCACAACTTTGTTGGTGTTGTTGGCGGTCATCCATGAACATCCATGATTTGTGTCCATATTCAACTTGTCCACATTCAAACGTTGCCTTATTTTTTTCCAACCCATCCCCAAACCATTGCATCTTAATGTTGATCGTCGATTCTCTTCCACATGGATTCATTCAAGGGATTGTAGACGGCCCTGAAGTGGGATGTAGGATAATATTTATTCTCTCTCTTATTACAGTGTGTATTGTAAAAGTTCGGTAAATGTGTGGCTCAGTTGCGGTGATACACACATCGTACAAGCTGAGTTACGCCGCAATATTGTTGGTGGGCGCAAAAAAAATAAGAGAATTACAGTAATAGGGTTTCCTAATTGACAAAATAAATCAGTGATCCTTTTTTTTCCGTGATCTGGGATGTTTCTTATGGCAGCATCAATATTTATCATTGACTCACAAAATGACCTAATAGTGGTGTTGCCCCTAACGGGACTCTTGCTTGGTGAGGGAGATCCGGTTGTTCACAACATCCGGTGGCAAAAGCCTCGGTCTGAATGCGGAGTTTGATTCGGCTGACATTTTGCAACTCACATGAGGGCAGCTGGTCTCACCTGTGCTTGGGTTTCGAATTTTTTTTTACATCTTTTTTTGGCTTGGCCAAGTTTCTTTGCTGTTGCTAAAAATACCATCCTTTCAAAAAAGGAGAGACAGATGGAGGTCAATTCTTCCCCCCATAGACACAAGTCCCCCCAAAAACCACATCTGTGTGTGCGGTATCCATGGCCAAAAATGTTTTTTTTGCATAACCATGGCCCAATTCGCCAGCTTTTTTTTTTTTACCCTGCGCCTCTTCAATATCCGAAATTTCTATTTTTTTTTTTTTGGCAGTGTAATTTTTAGCGAAAAACTCCCTTTTTCACAGCCAGCAGCCCAGTTTGCTTTTGTACGTTTTCAAACACTGGTTGGTTGCATCTTTTTTTTCTCCCTTTCTTGCTGCTTATTCTACTCTTTTTTTTTTGTTTTTCAGTGCTTTTTTTCTTTTTCATTTTTTCTTTTTTGCTCCCTTTATTCTCTCTCTTTCTTTTTCTTTCTAGCTCACTTCTTTACTATACACACACACACTCTCTCTATCTCTCACGTCGACTCTTTCCCTTTTTCTTTTTATATACTTGCTCTACTTTCTTGTACTTGTCTTTTGTGTGTGAGACTTGTTCAACGTCAATTCAATTGTTTATTGCAGTTTGCTCATCTATAATTTGCCGTAATGAAGTTCGGGCAAGAATTGCAAGATAATGTGTATGAACCATGGCGGTTCGAATACGTCGCTTATGACGCTATCAAGAAAGATATGCGCCATCGACAGGAAACACATGGTTGGACAGACCAGGATGAAAAAGACTTTGAAGCCACCTTACGTCTGGAAGCCGATAAAGTTGATCTCTTCATCACACGTAAACAAAGAGAAATCGATTCTCGCATTGCGTACTGTGAACGCATCCTCGTCCAACAACGGCCCAACATGACACAGTCCACTCTCAAAGGTTTATACGAATCCATGGATGATGCCCTCACTGATATTTTGATGGATCTCAATGATCTTTCAAAGTTCACACGATACAACTATCTCGCCTTTCAGAAATTGATCAAAAAGCACGACAAGTATACGCACATCGACCGTCAACAACTGTTTGTCGACATCATTCGTTCCAAACCTCTCGATCGTCAACGTTTCGACGTTGCCTTGGTGAAGATTTCTTCCCTTCACGATCTGTGTCGTTTGAGTGGTGAAGCTCGCACCGGTAACGCTGCAGCTGGTGCTGATCAAAATGCTTTTGAACGAGCCACCGCCAAGTACTGGGTCCATCCTGATAACGTTACGGAACTCAAAGCCATTTTGTTGTTTCACTTGCCCGTTTTGGTCTTTAATCCCAATAAACCCATCGAACCTACCGATTCCGCCATTTCCAGCGTGTACATGGACAATGCCGATTTTGATTTGTACAACGGACGCTTGCAGCGTGATGAAGCCGCCGAAGCTATTCGTCTGAGATGGTACGGTCCAATGGATACCCCTCATGCCTTTGTCGAACGCAAAACCCATCACGCTCCCTGGCTCAATGGCGTTTCTGTCAAGGATCGATTCCGTCTGGAAGTCGACAAAATGCAAGATTACCTCAGTCTCCAATACACCGCGGATCAGTATGCTTCTGAATTGAGAGCCCAAGGAACGCCCGAAGCTACCATTGACGCCAACTATTTCATCGCTTCCGGAGTTCAGAAATCCATTCAAGAAAAACACCTGGAACCGGTCATGCGTGTCTTCTACAACCGTACGGCTTTCCAGATCCCCGGTGATCAGCGATTGCGCATTTCTCTCGACACCGATCTTACCTTTGTCCGTGAGGACGCCGATCGTCGTCAAGGCACCTGGCGTCGTCCCGACATGGGCATCGATTATCCTTTCGATTATTTACCCGACAGCGACGTGTACCGTTTCCCCTATGCTGTTTTGGAAACCAAACTGCAAACCCATCTTGGCCAAGAACCACCGGAATGGCTTACTCGTCTTCTCGATTCGCGCCTGGTGTATGAAGTACCTCGTTTTTCCAAATACCTTCAAGGTGCCGCTTACTTTTGGCGTCCTCAATTGCCACTGCTGCCTTGGTGGCTCAGCGAACTTCAGCTCGACATTCGCAATGCCAAACAATCGTCCTTGAACTTTACCGGCTTGTCTCGATCCAAGAGTTTGAAACCATTGATTGATGGTCGTTATCGTATGGGTTATTTGGAAAAGCAGTTGGAAAAACGGGCAACCTTGCGACGCGCAGACAGCAAGAAAGCGAATGGTGGTGCCGTTGAACGATCCAATTCCACACGTCAGCAACGCCAGCCATTGACCAGGCCTTCTCAACCTTCCACGTCCACTCCTTCAGGTCAGCCTGGTAACTATGGTGTCACCCTTTCCGACAATCCAAATACCCAACAAGGAAACCCGAATCCCTTTGATGATCCTTTCTGGTCGCAGCAAGATACATTGCAATTCGATTTGGATCATCACTCACAGCAATCGCAACCCAATTCGTATCTGGACCCAGGCAACGGCATGCGCAATCGATCCACCATTGCTTCCGACCGTCGCTTAACTGATCACTTTGATACTTCGTCTACGGAATATCTTGTAGGAGGTCGTCAAACCCCGCGATCATCGTACATGCACACTTCTCCCAATGTCAAACCTTACTCGACCGATCCTCACCGTGATTCATTGTTTGGGGAAGACGTGATTGCGGCCGAAGCTGGTATGGCGACAGGGCCTAACAAGAAGAAGGAGAAAAAGGAAAAGAAAGAAAAGGAAGGGGAAGGGGAAGGAGGAGCCGGTGGTGGCAAGAAGAAAAAGGACAAGAAGAATCCTGAAGAAGCCGGGGCACGTCTCGAACCCAAGATTTTCTTCGCCAACGAACGTACCTTTATCAATTGGTTGCAATTCGCTGCTTTTATTTTGACCGCCGCATTGACCCTACTGAACTTTGGTGACAGAACAAGTCAGATCGCTGGTGGCACTTTCTTTGCCATTTCCCTCATTTTGGCTCTCTATGCCTTCTTCCGCTACAGATACCGTGCATATCAAATTTCCAACCGACCTCATCTGCGTTATGACGATTTGTATGGTCCCATTGGACTTTGTGTTTTAGTCGTGGGTGCCATGATTGTAAGTCTCTCCTAATCCTTTTTTTTTATGGTGACAGATACTTATGCCTTTTTATTTTTATTTTTCCTTAGCTCAACTTTACATTGAGAATGATCAATCCTTCCCAGACCACCTCCTATTTGGGTATCAACAATAGCACGCGTCAACAGACTTAGACTGTGTCATTTTTGTTTTCTCATCTCTCTCTCTCTTATTATTCCTTTTTATTTCTCATTATATCATGTTTCCCATCCATGCCATCTTTTTTTTTGTTGTTGACTATAATTACTGCGTTTTTGACCATTTTGATCCTTTTTTTTTTATCTTGTCAGGTTGCCTTTTTTGGATTGGATTCCCACATTTTCCCTTGTCCCATGCATTTTTTTTTTTTTTTTTTTGATTCACAGTTTTTTTTTTCAATAAACAGAAAAAAAAATCAGATTTATTTTTAGCAGAAGGTGGTTTTCGATGGAACGATCACCATTGTTGCAGTTGAATCATCGTCATTGCGAGAAGTAATTTAACATATAACCGTTCCACTGGAAACAAATGAAAAAGATGGGTTTGGTCCCGTTTAGCCTTTGGTCGTTTCGGCAGCGGACCCTTTGTCTCCTCCCCTCCCCCCCCCCCCTCCCTTTCCCCCATGAAATGACGCGACATAATTTTTTTTTGTCTGAAAAAGCTATACTTGCTTATAATTTACCCGGTTAAAGAGAACCACCTTGGATTTTTCTTTTTTTTTTCTGCCGACGTGTTGACTAAGCAAGTGGTGATTTATGCTTTGTTATCAGTTTTTCGATCGTCGTAGGTACCACAAGCATGTTCCAATCTTGGTCGGTCCTGTCATTGATGGAAAATTTTGCAGGTAAATCATTGCCAACCATGATTAATTTTTTTCATATTACCCATACACATAACCTATCCTACGTGAAACAGCTATTTTTTGTAGTTTGGATAAAAAAGCCATCCGTTAGACATCGGTGCATCGATTTAACCGGCGGAGAGGCAATTGGAATAACCCAAGTAACGAAGCAATACGTAATCTCATGGGTTGAGCGGAACTTTAAATCCATTGACACGACCGATTGGCTGTGTCCTTGTTTCAAAGCCATGGCAAAGCGTAATGAGTTCTACCCTATTCTATTTTTTCTTCATTCCTTTCAATCACAGCTTTTTCGATTGCATATTTTTTTAAAAAGGCGTAGAAGCTGCACAATTGTTTTGCTTCAACGCTTGTTCATCTTTTTGTTTGTTCTTTTTTAATTTCATTACCCTTTTTCGATTTTTGCACTTTTTCCTTACTGGACAATTGGGCTTCCGTTTTCCTGTATTTCATACTCTGATTCGATATGAAATTCGGTAGCCAATTGCAGCAGGAGATCTTCACTCCATGGAGACTCTCGTATGTGCAATACGATGTTTTGAAAAACGAACTAAAGACAAGACAACTCGACCACGAATGGTGCGATCAAGATGAGCGCGATTTCATTCAATTGCTCGAAAACGAACTGAATAAGGTCTATGAATTCATTACGGCCAAACTCGGGGAAGTCGAAGCTCGTATCAGCTACTGTGAACGTACTCTTCAGACCTTTATGAACAATCCCTCCTGGTGCTCGGAACAGAACTGGAATATCATGGACGATGCTCTTACCGAGGTGCTCTTTGATGTCAACGATCTGGCCAAATTTACCCGTCTCAATTACATCGGTTTTCAGAAAATTCTCAAGAAACATGACAAGTGGACTGGACTGAATTTGCAGCATGGTTTCATTCCTCAATTGCGTGCTAAACCTTTGGATAAGCAACGTTTCGATGTGGCCATCGTCTTTATCTCGGCCCTTCACGATATCTGCCGTCTCCGTGGTAAGCCCCGTACTGGTAATGCCGCCGCCGGTGGTGATCAGAACGCTTTCGAACGTGCCACCTCCAAGTACTGGATTCATCCCGACAATGTGACGGAAGTCAAGTCCATTATCATGCTCCACCTGCCTGTTCTCATTTTCAACAAGGACAAGCGCTACGAACCTTCGGATTCCGCCATTTCCAGTGTGTATTTCGATAATGAAGATTTTGATCTGTATACCGGTCGTTTGCAGCGTGATGAAGGTGCCGAAGCGATTCGTTTCCGTTGGTACGGTCCCATGTCTTCCAACAACATTTTCATCGAACGCAAGACTCATCACGCCGCGTGGCTCAATGGTGCTTCCGTCAAGGATCGGTTCCGTCTTGATTTCGACGATGTGCAAAAGTTTATCACAGGTGAATTGACCGCCGATCAGTATGCCGACCGTTTGCGTGCCAAGAACACCGACGAGGAAATCATCAAGGACAATCATTTTATCGCCCAAGGCATTCAAAAGTCGTTCCAAGAAAAGGGTCTTAAGCCGGTGTGCCGTATCTTTTACAACCGTACCGCTTTCCAGTTGCCCGGTGATCAGCGTGTGCGTGTCAGTCTCGATACCGATTTAACATTTATCCGTGAAGACCATTTGGATGGCAAGCAACGTCGCGGTGACAACGAATGGCGTCGTCCCGATGTTGGTATCGATCATCCTTTCAGTTACCTGGACGACTCGGAAGTTCTCCGTTTCCCTTACGCTGTCTTGGAAACCAAATTGCAAACCCATCTTGGTCAACAGCCTCCAGAATGGTTACTGAAGCTTCTTGATTCCCATCTGGTCCATGAAGTCCCTCGGTTCTCCAAGTATCTGCATGGTGCTTCTTACCTCTACCGCGATCGCATTCCTCTGTTGCCTTGGTGGTTGTCCGAGATGGATATCGATATCCGCAAGCCCCGTGCCACTAACTTTGGTTTAACCCGCTCCAAGTCTTTCAAACCGTTGATTGATGGTCAGTATCGTCGTGCTATGGAAGCCGAAGAACGTCGTATTGGTGTGGTGGCCGATGCTGTAGGTACTGCAGCTGCAGCCGCGGCGGTTTCCAACCTTAGCCTTTCCGACACCAAAGAAGGTCAAGAAGGTCAGGATGCCAAAGAGCCCGAAGCGCAACCTGGAAATGCGGCGCCCTCTTCTCTGCAAGAAACGTTAACCAAGTCGTCGACCCTCACGGTGCCTGGCAACGAAAAGACAGCGACTCCCGCACAAAGTCTTTACGCTCAAGGTCCGGATGCCAACAACAGCAAGGTCTCTCAAAGCGCCTCGTTCTGGGACAACACCCCGCATCGCAATCGATCGACGTTGGTACGTGGTGGTGATGCGCCTCGCAACTATGGAACGCCTCCTGCTTCGGCTGGCGCGGCTGGTGCCGTTGGTGAGAAAGGTGGACAACAACAACTGGGGCAACCGGTGGATATGTCACAAGGCGATATTCGATTGGACGTGGGTGACGCTATTGTGACGGCAGAATTGGACGAGAAGAAGCCCAAGAAGGGTTTTTTCGGTGGAGGGGAGGGAATGTACGTGCAAAATCCAAATAATCCCGAGGGTGTGATTCCTTTGAAGAAGATCAAAGTCGAACCAAAGGTTTTTTTTGCAAACGAACGTACATTCATTAGTTGGCTCCAATTCTGTGCTTTGCTTTTAACGGTCGCTCTCTCCCTACTCAACTTTGGCGACTCTGTTTCTCGTATTGCTGGTGGTATATTTATTGGAATCTCGGCGCTGGTGGCGATTTACGCTCTCTATCGTTTTGAGAAACGTGCTTGGTAAGTTTTTTTTTTTTTTTTAATCAGTTGGCCGTTGTCTTTTGTTTATCGCAATATATTAACTCTTATCAATGTTTAGGATGATCAATCGTCGTGTGGTTGGACGTTATGACGATCTGTGGGGTCCGGCTGTTCTCTGTACACTTTTGGTGGGCGCACTTATTGTCAACTTTTACCTAAGATTCCGTTAAAGCATATCACTCGTATATATTTTCATAATCCCTGTTTATTTAATCTTTTTTTTTATATTTTTCTCCTCATTTATTGTATTTTTATTTCCCATCATGGTTGCGTATACTTCAAATAGATCAACTTTTGTCAAATATTTTTTGGATTCTTTATTTTTTGTTATTTATTCTTTATCGTCAACATAACAAGTATGATAAGATGAAAATGTTTTTATTTTTCAAGCCATACCTCGTTTGACATTATCGTATTGGCTTTCTGGGTAGGATAAATGATTTGGCATGGTGTCCAAGTGATGGTTGAATGCGTCATAGACACAATTCAGTAGACTGCGGGGATGGTCGTGGGCTTGATCGGCACTCAACTCCCAGAACATGGCCCCGCCCAAACTGGCTTTTCTAATATAATCACATTTGCCCCGCACAATCTCGGGTGTATCATAGGTAACAAATTCACGCGCCTGAGGATCGTAAGACCAAGAAGCCAACCGTTGCCAGTCGTGATTTTCTGTCGCCCCGGGTTTCGGAAGTGCTTTGTAGTCAAACATGCCCTGTTCCCAAGACCCCTCGGGCAATCCTTGGAAAGAAGCATCCGGTCCGCTAGTATTAGAAAACGCTCGTCCATACAGTGGCAGACCCATCACGATCTTGTGAGGCGGGATCCCCGCAGCAAGATAATCGCTCACAGCTTGATGACCATTCAACGACCCACCATAAAGCGCCGATTGATGGCCGGTTTTACTGTCCCAGGATCCCGCGAAATCGTAAGCCATAAGGTAAAATAGATCCACATACGGCTCCATTTGTTGCAGCCTCAAGGTTCGGTAATGGCTTGGTCCGCAAGGCACAGCCACGGTTAATAACAGGCGAGGTTGATCTGTTTGTTGTAGTCGTTGCTGATACCGATCCAGTGCTATTCGTAGTTCGTACAAAAGATGAACATAGAAAAACGCATCTTTGTCGTCCTTTGGATATTCCCAATCGATATCTATCAGAACAAAAAAGGTCCGTACCCGCCCGTTGAGAAAAAGAGGTCACTGCAAAGATGCATCACATTCTCCGCTTACCAAGACCGTCGAGTCCGAGATCATTCAGGTGTTTAATGGCGGTATCTATAAATCGTGCTCTTTTCTGTGGATCGGAAGCCACTGCCGAGAAATTGGTCGACCATGTCCATCCGCCAATGCTGAGCGTTACTTTGAGATGGCGGTGTTTCTGCTTTAACAAATACAACTGCTTGAAATTGCCGTAGAGATTATTTCCTTGCTCATTCCAACTGTCGGCTTGATGATTGATGGTTTGTTCTGTTCAAGAGTCATGAGATTTACAAAGCGAACTTTCAATGTGACCAACAATTCATTGGTATCTACCTGGAGGAAAATGCTTGTCTTTGTCTGCCCACACATCCTAAACATGATGGATAAGAAAACAAACTGACAAGCCAGAATCACTTATAAAAGAATACTGTACCCCAAGCACCACGGTGCCGTCCTCTTGCAGATTAGCAAAAGCATAGAGAATGTGTGTAAGTTTATGCGCACTGGCAGCGACATCAATGACATTGTAATTGCGAGCATAGATACTCCTGTGGGATAGAGGTGAGTCTCAAGGCGTCCTTTTTAGGTAATGAAACTGTTTTTCATGTTACCAGTTGGTGAAATAACCGGCAATGACAGGTCCGTTGGTGGCGGGTGGTGGCGGCTGCATGGATATGTACTTTTTACAGAAAGGAATAATAGCCAACGTCGGGTTCTCAAAGTTCTCATTCTTCTACACGCTATTCTTGGCACGCCGAGCTCCACACAAATGAAGGATGTCAAGCTAAAAACGAGTTTGCATAGTCGCGTAAAGTGTAAAATACTCAAAGAAATTTTTTATTATCATACTCCCAAGCAGCCATGTTCCATTCAAGCAACACCAGCTATCCCTGCATCTTGAGGGATGGCTGCCAGAAAAGACCACAGACCATCATCGACCCTAAAACATCGGATATTTATGCCGGCTCAGTTCGTACTGTTTATTTCAAAAGTCACCGTAGGAATTTGAAAATTACAAAGGAAAATCGCAATTATGATATAGACAAAAAAAGAGAAAATGACAATACAAGAAAAAGACATAAAAGAGCATAAACATCAAATGATGAGAGCAAATCAAACATAGACAAATAAAAGAAATGGTTGAAATGATTAATTCGCGAGTTGGAAAATGATCAGATTAAGGAGAGAAGAAGATATAAAGAAAACAAGAGTCGTCAGTAAAATTATATCTAGGGACAGACAAGCAACGTGGACAATGGAAAAAAAAAAGAAAGAAACTTCGTGACGGGGGCCACCAGCAAAAGACATCTTCAGCAGGACGGGACCAGATAGAAAGGAAGGGTGCCTGCAACCCCGTAGTGATTAGGTGCCCAATAGGTGCCGCTTGCCGTAATAGAGAAAGAAGGCGGTCAAACGTCGTATTAAATACTCTTTGTTATACCTTTATTTATTCACAGATTATCGAGTATCTCATCTATAAATTTTGGAGTTGTTCGGATGGCCTTTTATTATTATGGACGCTGTCCATCGAAACGTCGATTTGTATTTTGGAAAGTAGAAATTTTGAAATTCCTGCGGTGACTTTTGAACATTTCGTACACAGTGAGCTCTTTTGAAAAGATACGACACCAAATAGTCTGTTGTTCGACAATTCATTTCGATACTCGAAATGTCATAATGAATTCGCCTTCAATAAACCCCTTACCATCATCAAATGGTCACTTGGTTCTTATCTATCTCCTTCTTTATCTGGTTTACAGTATTCCATGTATGTGACCGATCCATAGGAAAACAGCAGAATAAAGTAAGTATTTTTGTGCGTAAATGCACAAGCCATTTTTTTAGTGGTGCCTTTCTCGATGACCAATGGCTTGAGCGGGGAAAAAGAAACATCATTGGTGATCTTCGCGGCACATATTGGACCCAATTCTGAACAGCGACCATGTATCAGTGGACATCATTTTAACCGAATTGTGTAACTCCGCCCTTTCTTCGGTTGGGTGCTGCGCAATCAATTCAAAAACAACGGCGTGCAAGGAACTCGATCACAACTTACTCTCTTCACTCTGTAAATTTATTGTACAACCGATGCTGCCAAGGTTCCTTGCTCCAAACTCGCGATCAAGTGTGCTGCGGACTATGTCTCTTAAACCGCTGTTAACTCGTCAGCACCCGCGATCGCTTGCTATACCTCGTTCATCGGTGGCTCGATCTTATACCTCGAAGCAACGTAAGCCCGAAACAGGTGCAAAAGAAAACAGTGAACAGTCGTCAAAGGGCCCCGAAGGATTTTTTGGTAAACGGTCGTCCGGTGATCAATCGCAATCCAACAAATCAGCATCCAAAGGCAGCAAGCCACCGGAGATGCCTCCCAATCTGGGAGTGGCGGTGCTCTCGTCCGCCGTTGGTGGTTACGTGCTGTGGAAAATGACATCCCCCACCGACAATGCACGTGAATTGACATGGCAAGGATTTCAATCCATGCTATTGGATAAGGGACTGGTCGATCGCTTGGAAGTCATCAACAACAAACGAGTGCGTGTCTATGTCCGCCCTGAAGCTAGTTCTTTGGGCGTATCCAACGGTAGCATGTTTGTTTTCAGCATCGGTTCGGTCGAAAGTTTCGAACGGAAATTGGAGCAAGCACAGAATGAATTGGGTATCCCATCCAACGAACGTGTCCCCGTAGCGTATCATGACGAAGTCAGTGTCCTTGGTACTCTGCTCCAGTTTGCTCCCACTCTGCTGTTGATTGGTGTCATCTACTACATGAGTAAACGGGGGCCCGGTGGAGGAGGCCAAGGCATTTTCGGTATCGGAAAGAGCAAGGCGAAAATGTTCAATCAAGAGACCCAAGTTAAAGTGAAATTCAAGAACGTGGCGGGCGCCGATGAAGCCAAGGAGGAAATCATGGAATTTGTCAAGTTTTTGAAAGATCCCGCCGCCTACGAACGTCTAGGTGCCACCATTCCCAAGGGAGCTATTCTGTCTGGTAAGTTTGGTTTTTTTTTCTCGTATTTGAAAACAAACAACAAGAGACTGACGAGTCGACCTTTTTTAGGTCCTCCTGGTACGGGTAAAACCTTGTTAGCCAAGGCCACGGCCGGTGAAGCCGGTGTGCCTTTCCTGAGTGTGTCTGGTTCCGAGTTTGTGGAAATGTTTGTGGGTGTGGGTCCTTCCCGTGTGCGTGATTTGTTCGCGACGGCCAAGAAGAATGCGCCCTGTATCATTTTCATTGATGAAATTGATGCGATTGGTAAAGCCCGTGGCAAAGGCGGACAGATGGGCGGTAACGATGAACGTGAAAGCACACTGAATCAGCTGTTGGTGGAAATGGACGGCTTTGGTTCCAGCGAACATGTAGTGGTCCTGGCCGGTACCAATCGTCCGGATGTCCTTGATCCAGCACTGCTACGTCCTGGTCGATTCGATCGTCACGTTGCTATTGATCGACCGGATATTGGTGGTCGCGCTCAGATCTTCAAGGTCCACTTGAAACCGATCAAGACCAACGAAAACGTTGAACAGTTGTCTCGCAAGTTGGCCGCACTGACTCCCGGTTTCTCAGGTGCCGATATTCACAATGTATGCAACGAAGCTGCGTTGATTGCTGCTCGTCATCACAAGGATGAAGTGACCGAAGTTGACTTTGAGCAAGCCATTGAACGTGTGATTGCTGGTTTGGAAAAGAAGTCTCGATTGCTGTCACCCGAGGAAAAGAAGACGGTCGCTTATCACGAGGCCGGCCATGCCGTTGCAGGATGGTTCCTTCAATATGCCGATCCTTTATTGAAAGTATCCATCATTCCCCGTGGCGTTGCCGCTCTAGGTTATGCTCAGTATCTCCCCAAGGATCAGTATCTGTACTCGACGAAACAATTGCTGGATCGCATGTGCATGACGTTGGGTGGACGTGTTTCGGAGCAAATCTTCTTCGATACCATCACCACGGGTGCACAGGATGATTTGCAAAAAGTAACCAAGATTGCCTACGCGCAGGTGTCCACTTACGGCATGAATCCTCGAGTAGGCCCTCTGTCTTTCCACGATCCTTCCCAGGAACAGCAGTTCCAAAAGCCGTTCTCCGAGCAGACCGGTGCTCTGATTGATGATGAAGCACGTAAAATGGTGGTCGATGCGTATAACCGTACTTTGGATCTGTTAACCAAACACAAGGATGATATTGAAAAGGTGGCTCAGTTGTTGCTGAAAAAGGAAGTCATCACTCGTGAAGATATGGAAAACTTGTTGGGCAAACGACCTTTTGTCGAGACCACCGTGTATGATGAATATGTTCGCAAACCTCAGGTGAGTGCTATTAATTATCGCGTCGCTTTTTGTTTCAGTCAAAATTAACCAATGGATGGCTTTCATGTAGACTTCTTCACCACCGCCTTTCCCTGAAGACACCGCGCCTCCCAAGGGCAACAGCGTCGAATAATCAGTTGTAAAAAAATGTATTATTTACTCCCTTTTTTTATATAGACATTTCATATCTTTGTTCTCTGTGCGTGTATCCAATGATTAGATTTTTCTTGTATGATGATGAAAATACTATAAATAACCTTTTCAAACACTGCTTGATCTGGATCATCATGGCTACTAGAACTCGGCACTTTTGAATTGATATTATACAATATACAAAATGGATATCCTCTTATTGGGTCATGTTGAGTCCGGTCATAGTAGAAGGAATACAAGGGAAACAGTACAAAAAAGAAAATGATATATAGAAATATAAGGTGGTGCTGCATGGATAGAAATGATATAAAACATGTGGAGAAATAATGCGGTTATGATCATGGATACAATTTTTTTTTTTTTTTTTGGTTCACGAGGATTGCGAGGATTGACTTGCCATGGCCGCCATGGCACCAATCACGTCTTGCACATGCGGCAAGTGCCACAAGGCCGATGTTTTCTTATCGTCGGCGCCTACCATGACGGAAAAGTTCTCGACGTCAGATCGTTTCAGGATTCTAAACATGTCTTCGTCGGTCTTGTCGTCACCGCAGCACATGCCAAAGTCAAAAGTTTGGCTTGCGAGTAGATGTTTGACAATCTCGCCCTTATTGATTGAGGTGGGACGGACTTCGAGGTTCTTTTTGCCTACCAGGACTTCGACGGGAAGTTTGGACAAAATGGCATTTTCCAGGTGATTTTGACACTCTTTGGCTTGGAAAGCTCCGTACACGGGATCGGCCAAGCGGTAATGCCATGTAAGCGCGCATCGTTTATGTTCGATAAAACTGCCGGTGGTGCGTTCGGTATAATAAGTAAAAATTTCGAGGATATCGTTTTTCCAGCTCATGTCAAAATGTTCGGCTAAATTGATCCACTTGTTGGTCCGCGGATGTTTCATGAAACTGCCGTGCTCAGCGCTCAACCCGAGATTCTCAATATGGCCCAGCCACTGATCCAAAGCATACTCGTCACGACCGGAAATGACCCATACTTCATTCCTTGGATCGTTGCACAAGGCCTGAAGCGCTTCCAGCATATCTTTGGGTGGTACCGCTGCTCCCGGTGTTTTGCGGATGGGAGTCAACGTTCCCTGTAAAGAAGAAAGCAAAAAGCATAAGCATGCACGAAAATTGTTGCAGGGATGGCAAAGGAAAATTGGGACGTACGTCATAATCAAAACAGAGCAGTCGCTTCTTGGCAAATTTGTATCGGGAAACAAGATAATCAATGTTCAGGAGAGGTGTATAGCTGCTCTGCTCCGAGAGTGTGCAAGCATGATGAAGCATCTTGACAAAAGAGTGGGCCCAGAAGGAAGCGGTGTTTGACTTTACATGATCCAATAATTGCTACATTTTTCATAGTTAGCATGGTGATCCCAAGGGTCGATCATAAAAAATTTAAAAAATTTACCGAGTGGCGAACGAGCTTTTCCTCTTCGGACATGATCAAGGCATCATTGATGGCTTTTGCGAGGCTTGCATAATCCCAAGGATTGACCATCAAGGCTGAACTCATGGATCCGGCGGTGCCGGTCAACTCTGACAAGATCAAGGGTCCGTGATTTTCCTGCTGACACATCACATATTCTAAACTGGTAGTATTCATGCCATCGCGCATCGATGTGATCACAGCCGCGTCAGCGATGGACAAAAGCGCATAATATTCATCGGCTTGAATGTGATGATGATAATGATGAACAGGCGTAAACTCGAGCGAACCGTAAGTGCCATTGATGTGGGCGACCATTTCCGATACTTTGTTTTCCAACTTGCTTGATTCGGCGGTGGTGGAATCGGTCACTTGGATCAAGACCACCTGCAAAAGAAAAAGCAGTAAGATGATCATGGTTCTTTAATCTCCGCCGTATAGTGAAGCAGGTTTTACCTTGTTTGCCCATTCTGGATAATCGATGAGAAACTTTTCAAAGGCGGCGAGTTTTTGAAGGACACCTTTGACAAGATCCAGTTTGTCCCGACCGACAAGGATCTTTTTCCCCGTGTACATTTCAGCAATGGCGCGTATTTTGGGCAACACGTTGGGGTTTTGTCGTTTGGCGTCTACCGCGTCTACGTCGATTCCAATGGGAAAAGTGCCGACTTGGCAGAAATGACCATCACAGTCTACTCCGTCAGGGGTCGATTCAAAACCAAGAACGCGAGTACAAGTGGAAATAAAGTGTCGCGAGTTGGCATATGTCTATATGATCCAAACCATACTGTGATTAGGATCTCCCCATTCTGCCTCAAAAAAAGTAGCCGCGTGCTTTAGTTTTTACCTGGAATCCCACCAAATTGGCACCAAGCATGCCTTTGAGAATTTCTTGCCGTTCTTTGAAAAAGAGTTGCCAACAAAGGGTATAAATTAGGATTCCATGTCGACTGGTACAAGACGTCGGTTACACTTACTGGGCAGGCATCGAAAGATTTCGGAACTAGGGAACGGCGCATGGACAAAGAGACCAATACGGGCTCGAGGAAGACGCGCACGTAACATGGCCGGGACAAGCAGCAAATGATAATCGTGAACCCAAACTAGACCGATTATCATTAGACAAAAAAGTGCTACACTGCTGAATAAAAAAAGGACTCACTGGTATCGCCGTCTCTGTAGTGTTCAATAACAAGATCTGCATATTTCTGATTCACTGTAACGTAAGCGTCCCACTGTCGACGTTCCAAACGACCGTCCGTGGCATTGTTCCAAATGATATAGTTGAACAAGGGCCAGAGCACTAAGAATTGGTTCATCAGTAAAAAAAAAAAAAATCAAAAAAAAGGGCAGCAATTTTGTGGGGAATGTTTTAATGAAATAATTACTTGTTTTACAGTAGCCATCATAGTGACCGGCCACGCTTTCGCTGTCAAGGAAAAGAGGAATACAATGATGACTCCTACGGAGGTCGTCTTCGAGGGATTTCTTTTCATGGTCGGTTAATTTGTCAATGAGCATGTCGGAAGCGGATGAGTTGCCGTAGTTGGAGGTCCTACGATAAATCTGGCCGGTCCATCCGAATCGAAGGGTTTCCCATTCGTCGTTCAGGGATTCCATGCCGGCATACATGGCAGCGTGACCTTGTCGTGGTGTGAGGATCCATCGATCGTCTCCGTGGTGAACCACATAGGGGATTTGATGCGTGACATGCAATACGCGGCCTTCAGCTGCCATATCGAGCGGCAGAAGGGGTAAAAATTGAAAAGATTCTTCTTTTGTCATACGATTCAACGAGTCTGAAAAAAAAAGAGCAAAAGCCCGTGAATTCGCTAAGTTCCCCCCTTTTTTTTTGATGGATGAGCAAGCTTAATCAATGCCCTGATTCTTTTTCCCACTTTCAAAAAACGAAAAAGCCACTTGTTGGATTTAATAAAGACAGCGGCGTTTGTTTAACCGAAGACCCACTCCGTTCTTCTTTTTTATCAAAGGTTCACAAATTGGTATGTTTCACACATGGGTATATTATGATTTTTCATTACAGTCTTATGTAGCTACTGTGTAGCAATGTCGAACCCGTATCTGTCCCTATACCAGTTTCTAAGAGGTATGGGGTCTATAAAGAGTTTCAATTTGCTCTCGGTTTCTTAATAGTGATTATAAAATCAACCTCTCGGCTGGCAAGAAAAAAGCACCAATGAGCAATCTTCTTTGGCCGGGAAACCATTCAGTAAAAAGAAAAAAAAAATTACTCACCGCCCGTCAACTCAAAAGTTTTAATCAAGTGTCGGTAAATGAAAAATAAAACTATGACAACACCCGCGCAAAAAGACACCAAAAAAAACCGTTTGAGATTGGCGGCGATTCAATTGATTACTGGGCAAAAATCACCCAATGGGAGAGTTCCAATCTTTTTCCCTAATGGCCTTTTTCACGCCACACACTCTTATTCGACAAGAAATTTCGATCCAATGGCAGAAAATATAATCGACCTTCAGCGGAAGCACGTTACCCCTGAGAAAGGAAAAGAAAAAAAAATGGAACCACTTCCCATCTTGCTTCGAGTGCAGTCGAATAAGACGATATATTCGAGTGACGAAGCCCGCATCATTCAATATACAAATGGTGTCAACGTGACTGAGTCCGCATGTCGACTACTCTATGTGAACGCCCCATGATGTAAGCGCAACTGAACTTTATGGGAACTTTGTCAATTACCCCAAGTAGACGAAAACTACGCACACTAGACTAGCAAAACCAACCAAACCAAAAAGTCCTATTTCTTTTTTTTCCATAATAAAAAGTCTTTAATCCATGATTTATGCAGAATGTTCAAATAAGAAGGAAAAAAGCTCATCGAGGAGAAAGGATAGGAATAATAATGAAAAAAAAAAGACATATTGAAAGAGGGGTTTTCTTTTTTTTTTTTAATGGGCTTAAGGGGAGAGCGAGAATAAGAGCAAGATTACAAAAATACAAGATATATTTTATCTTTCAATAATGAATGGAAAGAAAAAAGTGGAAAGGGAGGGATAAAGAGATCAATAAAGTCTAAAATAGTAAAATGTTGTACACATCATACTTTGCTTGCGACACACCGCTCGCTCAGCAGCTTCATGCTATTTCGTTCGTGGGCCATTTGTTTGCAACTCGTTAGATTGACACACGCATGCGCCTCCGGCAGTCGATGACGAGCACAGAACCTGGATTGGCAATACCGACAATCCCCAATAATATTCACCGACTTATCGTGACAGCTTCCAAATGCACACCGCTTCTTCTTGGTACCGCTACTGGATGAACCTGACACGTCACCGGTCGCTGACGAAGACGAGGAGGACGATGATGCAAGGGATGACTCAACAGCTCCGCCACGCAAGCGCAGCACCAAATGCAGCGTTGACTCCTTTTGAATATTGTAATCCGACAACGTACGGCCATCTTCCAGCTGCTTGCCTGCGAAGATCAATCGTTGCTGATCCGGTGGGATACCTTCTTTATCTTGAATCTTTTGCTTGACGTTATCGATAGAATCCGATGACTCCACTTCCAGTGTGATGGTCTTGCCCGTCAGTGTCTTGACAAAAATCTGCATACCACCACGCAAACGGAGCACCAAATGAAGCGTTGATTCTTTTTGGATATTGTAATCTGACAGCGTTCGTCCGTCTTCCAACTGCTTGCCAGCAAAGATCAGACGTTGCTGATCCGGTGGAATTCCTTCCTTATCTTGAATCTTTTGCTTGACATTGTCGATGGAGTCGGACGATTCCACTTCAAGAGTGATGGTCTTGCCAGTAAGGGTCTTGACAAAAATTTGCATGTTTGTTATTTCAGATAAGAAAAGGAAGAGAGGATATAGAGATAGATAGATAGATAGAGAAAAATAAAAAGGAAATGTATGATGAAAGGGGCAACACTGCGGTCGACATTTATATATTGTACGGATATCACGTGGTGAAACCAATGATATGAGGGCGTTCAGAAACATATTGCCAGCTCCGCCAAGCCTTTGGCCTCCCTGACACACACCAATGACACGGCGCCATCCGTTTCTTGGAACGGAACTTGACCCGATGAGCCATTTTTGTCCATTGCTTTCCATGCTTTTCTTCTTTACACTCATTGGTCGTTGACCCCAGTTCAACCAAGCCCATTGGGGTTTATCTAATGAAATCGATTAATAACCTATCGTTTTTTTTTTACATCGCTTCTTGTACTCCATTTTGACGAAATACAATTCGCCACACCACCGGATCATTCAGGATCCTTATATCATGTCGCATGATATGTAAATTATGTACCACGAATGGCAACTCAACTTCCATAAACAGCTTCTGAGATTACCGCGCATCACTCACCGTCGCATTCTTTGTCTCGGCACTTAACTACCATCTGCTGTTTTATAGAATTTTGCCGCAAACAGTAATTCCGAAATGGTCTTTGTAAATATTCAATATACTCTGGACATTATTGACTTGTATTCTTTGTTCTTCTATGCTGGTCTCTTGCCACCTATACAGCTTCATAACTCCAACCATCCCCCCTTTTTCCTCCTACCAAAGACGGTTGGAGGATACGTCATATACTGGTAATGATTGGTTCCTGGAAAAACAATTTTTTCAGCTGAACTCCGATTGGTCACTCGAGGACGAAGATCGACAACCACCTATTGTCCGGTTGTGCAGCAAGTCTAATTTTATCTCAATCATTCTAACACTCGATGCATCCCATTGATTGGTAATCTGAAGCTGCAGAATAAATTTATCCTGATTGGCAGCTTCATCATCGGTTTGGGCGTTGATCAATGAAAAGCGCCGCAAAACGTCACTTAGGCTGTCTAGCAAGACATGTTTGAAAAATTGCAGAGATTGATTACTGTGTGTATGACGAGAAAACGCTGCACCAGTCGTAGAAAGCTCTGGTAGAAAATATGCTTTTATGACATGCATGTGTTACAACGGCAACGTCATGCTTCACATTGGCAGGGCCAATCGTCAATAGCACCGTCCATATAACTTACACTGCAGGACAGTCGCTCCTTTTGAACATGCTGCAAGGACATGATGTTGAATCATGATGTAATCCGAGTAATGCAATAAAAAGGCTACTTTCATCTAGTCTAGTTTAGATGATAACTTTTTTATGCATTCATCAGTTGTGAGAATTTTATCGCGTATTTGTTAGAACCATGCCTTCTCAAGCTGGATTAAGCTTCTATTGTATCCGACAGTTCCCAATGGCCATATCCATCTTGAGGAATAACAGTTCTTTAGATAACTGAACTGCCACTTTTTTCCTTCTCCTGATATCATGTGATGATATTCTCAGGAAATTTTGCAGTTGATGTGCCACCAACTAATGACATGGGCTTCCAAGGTGGGGCTTATACGAGAATTCGTGAATATTGTCGTTGGTGAACTGTCAATTGCCCTATTAAGCTAATACACTGCAGACTGCGTCAAGCCTTTTTCAGGAATGGCACGCATCATCCCATTACTTGATTACAGCAAGTAAATTCCATGCCAAGATACTCGCAACGACCGTGAGAGATCTTTCAAAATGGAACACACTATTTCAAAAGTGCCCAAATTGCGTGTGAATATTTTTTTAGCGAGAAAATGCTATCCACACCATACACAGGAACTCCATTGTAGTCCTTCATTGCGACTTTACAGCATTCAGCAAGTGCTTTATAATGAAGCATTTATTTTTAATTTGAACATCCGAGTGACCATTGGGCGAATAGCTTAAGCAATGAGTTCGACAACTATCAAGATTGAGAAATTAAAGTTAATTTTATATTCTTCTTTCAAATCGACAATTTGTTATACATACCACCACCGGCGGCCTTGATCTTTTCTTCGGCACGACGAGAGACGTAGCGGGTGCGGACAATGACGGGCTGGCTAACGGAACCCTTGGCCAAGACCTTGCCGTAACCGTTCTGGAGAGCGTCAATGACGGGGACCTTTTCGGTGTTCTTGTACTTTTCACGAACACCTTCACCGGCCAAAGACCAGATCTGGTCGAGATTGATCACGGGGCGCCAGGTCTGGTTCTTCTTCAAGTGGAAGTGACGCATACCGACCTTACCGAAGTAACCGGGATGGTACTTATCCATGTTGATGCGGTGATGGTGCTGACCACCAGCAAGACCACGACCACCAGGATGCTTTCTGTGCTTGCCAACACGACCGTGACCGGCGGAGACGTGTCCACGCTTCTTTCTGTTGTGGTGAAGTCTGGTAGGCTATTCAAACAGAAAAAAAAAAAACCTCCAATTTAGAAATCTTGTTGAATCGTCGAATTGTCCGGTGTGGCAAGCGAGTGGATTGAAAGAATGCTCAGCACTTTTTTGCAATGCAATAAAATGTCGATTCCACAGTGAATGTCCACTGTAGATGGATCATCGAGTTCGACGGTAAGGAATCGTTACAGCTGTCTTCGAAATATAAGGTAGGATGGAGCATCTGGACAATGGCATTCTGCATCCATCGATATTCATCCACTACCGTCTCCTCCATTTGATCCATCTTCTTCTCTCTCAACACCATCGCCCCACCACCTCAAAAACTATAGGATGGCTACTCACCATTTCGGTAAAGAGAAGGATCTGCCTCAATCACTGTCGTCCGTCCAATGTGGTGGTCTGCCGGTTTCGGACTATGGAGCAAATGCAGTTTGGAGACATTTCTCCGGACTAATTCGGACATTCATGGAAGTGGCATGTGACTGTCCGGGAAGAACATTAGCCCACAGATCCCCCTATTCCGCACACCACCGTATCACCGGGCCGGCGACAAGAGATTGCAACGCTCTGATAAAAAATGCACAACTGTGCAGAAAGAATCTCTAACAATAAAAGTGACGCTCAACAATCGTATTACAGCCGGGAATCCCTTTTGATGGTATATATTAAGCGACCACTTGGGTTCAAAGCGGATCCACGGCCACATCATCCACGAAGTAAAAATAGTCACGAAACAGTCATTTATGAGGCGTGCCAATTACATTTCGGGAAAAGTGGCTTAGCATATGTTTGTGAATTTTTCTCTATTCGTGTCGATTTGAAGCTCTCCAAAAAGACCTGACCCATTTTTTTACCCAACTTGTGTATATAAAAATAGAATGGGCGATTATCAAAAGATCGTGGTCAAGAAGAATCCCAAGGTAGCTTCTCGTAAAAACCCGGAAACCAGGTACTGGCGTCGGTTCAAGGTAAGCGCTTTATTTGTTCACGCTTTTTTTGCTTGCCATGATCTGGTTCACTTAACGTTTTTATGCTTTCTTAGTCTCCCATCTTGATCAAAGAATATGCCAGCATTCCCTCCATTTATTTCTCGCCTGTGGCACCCTATGATTTTGCAGTGACCTCTTCGACTCGTGTACAGATCTATTCCTCAAAGACTCATCAACCGAAAAAGACCATTTCTCGATTCAAAGATATTGCTTACTCGGCTAGTTTTCGTCACGATGGCAAACTCGTAGTTGCAGGCGATGCCACCGGTTTAGTCCAAGTCTTTGATGTTAATTCAAGAGCCATTCTCAGAACTTTCCGCGAACACACCATGTAAGCCGAAGTTGGTTCTTTTTCTTTCTACTTGGTGCCCTCCGCACCATGTTGGATCGCGATCGGATGAAATCGTTAACTTTATACTTTTTTTTTTCTTCGTAGGCCTGTGCATGTGACTCGATTTTCCAAGAATAATGTAAATGTCCTGTCGGCTTCGGATGATCGAACGGTGCGTGTGTGGGATATACCAACCGAAGCCAGCGTCAATGTGTTTGAGGATCACGAGGATTACGTTCGAACCGGGCTGGTCAGCGACGAGAATCCCAATTTAGTGATGACGGGTTCGTACGATCAGACCGTCAAATTATGGGATATGAGACAGAACGGTTGTGTGATGACGATGAATCACGGTGCGCCGGTGGAATCGATCTTGATGTATCCTGGTGGAGGGGCCGTGGTGTCGGCGGGCGGACCTACCTTGAAAGTGTGGGATTTACTAGGTGGTGGACGATGCATGCATGCTATTTCCAACCATCAAAAGACGATTACCAGTTTATGCTTCGATGGTTCGTCGTCACGACTGGTGACGGGTTCATTGGATCATCATGTCAAGGTCTACAACGTGGAAGATTACAAGGTGGTGCACAGCGTCAAGTACCCTGCACCTGTACTGAGTGTAGCTCTGTCACCGGACGATTCCCATCTTGTCGTTGGTATGGCCAACGGCTTATTATCCATTCGTCAGCGACAAATCAAATCGGCCGAAGTCGCGGCCAAAAAGCAAAAAGACGAGCGTCTCCGCACGGGCGCCTACAAATACTTCACACAGACACGGCAAGACGATTTCGTGGTGGAAAGAGAGCGAACCAAGCGTCTGCGTAAATACGATCAGTTCCTTAAAAAGTTCCAGTACGGTAATGCGTTGGATGAAGTATTACGAGAGGGAGTTCACGAGCCTGCGGTGGTAGCCGCCTTGTTACTGGAATTGATCCATCGCGACGGTTTAAAGACCGCCATTACCGGTCGAGACGACGTGTCATTAGAACCCCTGGTGCGCTTCTTGATCAAACATATCCATCATCCTCGATACACCAATTTGGTGATCGATGTTACCGATGCCCTGATTGGTAAGTTGACTATTTTGTTAACGGGCTGTCTTACCAAGCCTTTTTTTGACGTTTTGGAAACTGTTTTCTAGACATTTATTCTCCTGTGTTTGGTCAATCTCCAATTATGGATGATTTGTTGAAACGACTATTATTCAAGGTCAAGCAAGAAGTTGCTTTCCAAAAAGAATTAGCTCAAACTGTGGCCAGTCTGGATATGTTATTTGCTAGATCCGGAGCAAGTAGTAGCGCCAGTTTGATCCACACAGCACCTTCATCCACCGTAGCATCTCCTCGTCTTCATTAATTAAGCAAGATCACCATCATTCCAACACGATTTGCATTGATAAAAAAATAATAAAATGTCCCGGAAAGAAAAAAAAGAAGGAAAACGTGTCTGATTTTTTTCGCATCATCGGTTGTGCATGACTCAGCCAAATTCATTGCTTTTGCGCTTTTTGGGGCCTGATGTGAAAGATGAAAAGGCGGAATTTCAATCAATTCAGTGGTAAGTTAATTTCCATGACAAAGACAGATTGTTGAACGAGGCGCCCTTTTCTTCCCCATTCACCATGACCCCTTCTAATTATCAGTACGAGAATCTTAAAGTCGACATTTCTCCCAATGGCGTAGCTCACGTCCAACTTTATCGTCCCAAGCGCCTTAATGCCTTTAATGACAAGTATGCCTATTATTATTCCTTTTTTTTTCGCTGCCTGAACACTCATTCTTACAAGTCATTGGATGGAAAAAAAAAAAAAGACTCTTTGCAGATATTCATTCGGTATTTGACACATTGTCCGCGGATCCCAATGTAACAGCAGTCGTAGTATCCGGATCCGGACGCATGTTCTCGGCTGGTCTTGATCGTAGGTATCATTTCTGCCATGCATAAAAATCTAGCTTTTGAGCTAATTCATTTTCGTTTTTTTTTTTTTCGGCAGTCAAAGAAGGGGGTTTCAAATTCGGCGAGGCTGTGGATACTGCGCGACAAGTTTATGCTACTCGCGCACACATCAAGGTTCGTTGAATCGAATGGGAAGACCATCGCGCATTGTATATCTCAATTGAACTACGGGGCGCGGCTTAGACTTATCAAGATGCTTTAACTGCCGTTGAAAAATGTTCCCGGCCAGTCATTGCAGCTATTCATAATGGCTGTTTCGGTGCAGGCGTTGATTTAATTACTGCTTGCGATATTCGTTACGCCAGCAAGGACGCTTTCTTTTGCGTCAAGGTAAATTAGACGGAGCTACAAATAATCAAGCGCATATTTTTTTTGTTCTTTTGCTGATCATTTCTACCCCATTCGGGGTTTTTGGCGCTTTGTCTTTAAAAGGAAGTCGACGTTGGCTTGGCGGCGGATGTTGGCTCACTGCAACGGTTGCCCAAGATCATTGGCAACAACAGCTTGGTGCGTGAACTTTGCTTCACTGGTAGAAAGTAATTACTTTAATATTCGATTACAAGGGACGAGTCAAGAATGTTAATGGGTTTCTTTGTAGCATCTATGCCGACGAAGCCTTGCAGTGTGGTTTAGTGAATCGTGTCCTGGATAACTATGAGAAATTAATCGGTATGTGTTGTTCAACACCGTGGGAAATTTCCATAAATGACAAGTAGAAAAAATCTGATCTTGTACGCTCAGAAAAAGCATTGGAGACCGCCAATATCATTGCTTCCAAATCGCCGGTGGCTGTTGTAGGTACCAAGTAAGTTGATGATATTCCCACCAACTGTCCTGTGACTTGGATTGGTTGATAAGTGTTTGATGTCTAGACACTTGTTGAATTATTCTCGAGACCATTCGGTGGCGGAAGGCTTGGAGTATACCGTTGCTTGGAATGCCGGCATGTTGATCACAGAGGTAACGTATCTGCCAGATCGTCTTCTTTCTCATTTTGTGGATGAACTTTTTACATTGATTCTTTTCTAGGATATTCCAAAATCCGTGGAAGCCTTTGTGACCAAAAACCCTCCCAAATACTCTAAGCTTTAATGTTTCGCAGCAGGCGCGGCTTTTACAGATATTTATACTTATACCGTTTGAATAAACCTGAAATCATAAAAAAAGAACATATTATTGGTGGCGCTTCGTGCAAAAAAGTCTTTTTTGGAGTTTGACATTCAATGATAGTATTTCCTTGATTCTCACAGATTGGCGCCAACTTTTAGGCACGGGTCGCTGCATAGTGGGTGGATACACTAGAAACCTGCTTCTAGAGTCCGACGCTTATTAATATGACCTACGACTGCGCATATATTTTTGATTCAAGCTCGATCGTTTTTTCTTTATATGCTTGCCACCGCAAGAAAACTAGCTCTTTTATATGTTTTCATTGTTTATCAGTGTGAGTTGTTAAAATATTATTCGTGATGGGGAGAAGATTGAACAAAAAAGGTCCACCCTAGTTCAGCGTTCTGGTAATATTTTAAAAGCACGCAGTCGGATGATTGGCCAAAGGGAATGCCGCAAACTTTAAGCCCAAATGTGGTTGTCTCGAAAACGGGCCCGATCTTTTTTTTTAACTTTTTTTTTTCTTGCTCTTATTCTTTCTCGTGCAATCCCGCATCAGAGACGTATGACGAATTTCTACTTGTAGGAAGCACGATCAATGTCATTCCATTCGTCAGGAGCTGATCTTACCGCTGCGCCGGTCACGCCTGCGCAACTCGCTCACTTTCTTAAAGAAGCACCCACCGTCTACAAAAACAAGCTACATCGAGGCGCGAAACGCCAGATTCTGACCAATTGTTACCGCGCATTATGGAGCAACAACTTGTCGTGGATGCAAAAATACTTTTTCAAAGAAGGATTGTCTGAAAGCGAAAATCTGTCGACATTGCTAGAAAAATACAACTTGTTTGACAGCAACGATGATGCCTCGGCGGTCGTGGCCACCAATCCGGATAACGTTCTCATCGACACTTCGGCCGGTAGCCCCGAGTACTGGGAAAGTCAACGTGGCAAGCAATGTGGCCATTTGTTTAAAAAAGGCGAAAGTGTCTATCGCTGCAGGTAAAATGAAAACCCGGGAAATGCCACGCCGATGGTGGATGAACACACGAAACAGAATTTGGTGATCTGACCCTACTTTCGCGTATGCTCTCTTTCTTTTTTGCTTTTTTCACCAGGAATTGCGGCCTTGACGATACCTGTGTCATGTGTTCTCGATGTTTCCATGGCACTCAACATGAAGGTCACGATGTCAAGATTTGGATTAGTCGCGGTGGCGGTTGCTGCGATTGCGGTGATCCCGAAGCTTGGAAAATCCCTTTACACTGCGCCATTCACAGTCCACACGCTTCCGGTCCTTCCACCGCCGCCGAACCAACCCCTGCACTGGATCTTTTAACATCGGTGCCTGCCGAACTACTAGCTTCGGTCAAAGAAACCATCGCCGTGGTCATTGATTACATGCTTGAAACCTTTGCTACGTCGCCCGAAGATGTGTCACCTACCAATTTGCACGATATTCAACAGGATTGCGAAGATTCGCACAAAGCCCTGCATATACCGATTGCCAATGCCGCCGAAGGTCAACGCCAAATGTACGCTTGTGTGTTATGGAACGACGAAAAGCATTCCTTTGACGAAGTCATTTCCATCGTTGTACGTTCGATTGGATGCGCCAAGCACGAAGCAATCAAGATTGCCGAAAATGTGGATGCTTATGGTCGTACCACAATCAAAATCTCAGACGACGTGGCCGAGTTGCTAGAGATCGCCCAGCGAATTCATTCCATCAAGCTGGCCGTCACGATCCGGTCAATTCAGAATACGCTACGTGAAGAGATTTGTGGAATTTTACTGGATTGGCTCAAGGATCTCATTGGTGGACGATATAAATTCTTTAGCCACGTTCAAGGCGGCAATTGCATTATGCGAGATACGGTGTGTGAAGTGCTGTGTGAAGACTGGTCACTTCGTTCCGACCTGGCGGCGTTATCCACCCGATCACGACGAGGACGCATGGTGGAAGAAGATGATAGTTTCGCCAGTGCCGATGATGGTCCAGAAGATGGGTTTACCGACGAAGAATTGGAAGATGCTCCGAATATCATGAATGAAGTGAACCAGCTGCAATTTAATAACGACGGCAATGAGTTTGTGATCACCAACGAGGATGTCCAAGACTTTTTCCAAGAGTTACCGTGGATCATCCGCCAAGTGGAAACCCAGCGTGATCATAATGAAGATGAAGAAGAAGATGACGAATTGAATGATCATGAAACTTTTCGCGAAGTCGAAAACGAGGACGATGACGACTTAAACGGTCCTGAAGTGTTTCGTGAAATCGTGAATGAGGACGAACACGACGACGACGAAGAGATTTACGATCATTGGGAATCCTCTTACGAGCAGTACGCCGAATCGCCGGATGCCGAAATGCACGACGACGACGAAGACGAGGATTCGATGCACGAACACGGTGTGGATAATGATGTGGAAATGAACACTGTTGACCGTGCATTCACCGTGCCTTCTCGATCGTCTCTTCGTACCACCACTGAACACACGGCGGGATCGCAGTCGAGTCAACCGTCTTCGCAACCAAAATCTGTCAAGCCACGTTCATCAAAGCATTCACGGGATATTATTGACCTTGACTGGGATTTGGACGCTTGGTTAACACATGTGGAGCATTTGGAGGCAGAAGAGATCGCGATCGCTTCGTCGCTTCACGTACCCGTCAACACAACCAAAGGTTCCATGAAAGAAGCCAACGACCTACTCAAGAAAGAATTCAAACGTAAATTGCGCTTGGATTATTTACTGCAGTATGATTTACGGTTGTGGAAAAGCGCTCGCGCCAGTATCAAGGACCTTCTCATTGGCACCCTCATTTCCAACTTTGACTATCGCCGTGCTCTCGGTAAGTCGGCTTTCGTTTCAGACTTTGATAGTTCGTGATCTAAATTTTTATCGGGTGCTATAGGTACGCGTTATGCTCGCAATTACCCAGAATTAGTGGATGCCTTCTTTTTCAAAGATCGCGAACCGGAGCATTCAGTAAGCACACTTTCGGTTCAACTGTTGACCGTGCCGACGGTGGCCTCGATGCTGGTGAAGGAGTACAAATACTTTGGCATTGTGTGTTCAATTCTCGCCAATTTCTTTTTAACCGACGATATCCATATGCTACTCTCGGACGAGTATCGCCACATGCAAGTGGACTGTTTGTCACGGTCAATTACTCGCCATCGTTACGCGTACACGTTCCTTGATCTCCGTTATGTTTTAAATGCGGATCCCGTGAAACTCGAAGTGACCCAAAGTCCATTGTACCTGCGTCATTTTATCGACATGTTGTTCCAGTTCCAGGGAATGGATCCCATTGAACGCGAAAAGTTTATCCACGTGGAATATGAAGCCAATGCGTGGGTGAGCGCATTCAATGTAACATTACAAATCTCCAAGCTGTGTCGCCAGTTTGCCGACTGCTTTGCTCTATCACAAGACACGCTGTCGCCCGCGGAAGTATCGCGCAATCTTTGCCGTTCCGTGTATCGGTTACTGAAAGCTATTGCGGACTGGTCTCCGCGACTGGCCAATCGCGATAAAGATTCTACTCATACCAACCGCAAGCGACCCCTCATCCGAGGCGTGCACCAGCAACGATACCATCAAGTCAACTTTGCGCAATCCGGCACGTTTGAAGTGGTAGAATACGACGTTTCCACCGAACCTGTGTCATTTCATCACCCTTTCCACTGGCTTTTATCCGAAATTCTTGAACATGTGACCCTGTTTCGCGACGAATTACTATCCGAGAATGGCTGGCATTACGGTTTCAAAAACATGATGCAAGCTGTGTTCCGAGAGGAACCCCATGACTTGGTCTTGACAATTCTGGATTATCCCATCCGAACCATGGTGATGCTCTCACAAATCAACAGTGGTGTATGGGTACGCAACGGATACGGTGTGCGAAATCAGGTAAGCGTTGTAAAAAAAAAAAAAAAAAAAAAAAAAAAAAATGCCTCCCTTTCATACACATCGGTCTACGGCACACGATCTGTGGATGTGTGTGTTCGCCTATGGGCGTGTGGATGAATGGTGTGGTTTATGCAGAGCGGTGAAGTTAATGTTCAACTATGTGTGATAGGCTCGCACTTATCGAGATGTCAGTGTGCGTGAGAATACCTATGATCGTGATATCTATCTTTTACAAATTGGTTTTGTGGCTACCAATCCTAGCCAATTGCTGGCGACCATGTTGGATCGATTCGATATTGTGGCATGGTTCAATGGACGACCGGACAAACAGCATGAGGCTTACGATGCGAATCAAAAGACCTACATTGTCGAAGAGTTCCTCAACCTGCTGATTATCTGTGCCACGGAACGCGGCTTTGCTTCGGGCATGTCGGTTGAACACCGCATTCATCGAGCAATTGTCCAGTACCTGGGAATCTCCGGTATGGCGTATTCCGAGCTTCTGAAAATGATTCCCGACAGCTTGAGCGAGCATGAATCGTTTGAATCCCAGCTGAGCGCTTTGGCCAATTACAAGGAACCCGATGGTTTGACCGATCACGGTATCTACGAACTCAAGGAAGAATATCATGACGAAATCGAGCCTTACTATTGGCATTACACACGTAATCAACGCGAGGAAGCGTTTGACGCGCGCCGAAAACGATGGAAGCAGCAACATCCGGACCAGAAACTCGATGATAAAGAGGAATTTTTCATTGTACCTGAAGCCCACAAAATTGGATTTGGACCTTTCAAGTACCTTGGCAACTTTTTACACACGCCATTGTTCTGCCACATTCTCGTTCACGCCTTGTGGCATCCTCAGTTGAATCAGTCGACGGCCAGTGACACCATCATTGATGAAGCGCTTCACTTGGCCCTCCTTGCCATTGTCGATCAGAACAACGTGATTGCTGAACAGACGCGTGCCTCGGCCAAAGGTAAATCGCGTGCGGACACGGCCATTGACGCGTTGCGTGGATTTGTACAGAATGCAACCGAGCATGGTGTATCGATAGTCGTGGATTTGGAGCGACAAAACGTGACTTTACTGGATGTTCTTCTGAAGCGTTTGGAGGATCCGGAATACCGACACATTCACAAACGGTGCAATTACATTGTCCATTATCTTGAACAGCATGCATCGGATGATATCAGGTACAAGTTTGCGCAATGGCGCAGCGCACGCTATACCGGCAATGGTCCAACGGAGGATGATCGTAAAGCGAGCGATGCTCAGGCCGAATATGAACGCAAAAAGGCGGCGGCCAAAGCACGCCAGGCTGCCATCATGTCTCAATTCGCGCAAGCTCAAAACCAGTTCATGTCTCAGTATGGTGAAGAATATGAGGATGAAGATGAAAGTGACTATGAGCAAGAATTTGAAGAAGAGACTCAGGCGACGCAGATCGTGGCTCCCGACGGCGAGCTTGAACTTGAACGTATCTGCCACTTCCCCTCCGGCACTTGCATCGTGTGTCAAGAAGAATTGGATCGGTCCAAGCTGTATGGTATGCTAGGCTTGGTGCAAAAGTCGCACATCCTGCGCCAAACTCCTTTGAACAATCACGATGTGTTGTCGGACATCCTTGATACCTGCCAAGGCATCGATCCAACCGAAGAGAACAATAACCTGGAAACGCTCCAGTACAAGAAAACCGATCTTCGCGGCTTCCCGTCGGACGAGCATGTGGCGGGACTCCACGTTTCTTCGTGTGGTCATTTGATGCATGCGGAATGTTTCGAAAACTATCAATCGTCGGTGGCCAATGAGACTCCCAGCGCCCTGCGTGCGCTTTTGCCGGACAGTGGAAGAAAACGGTTCCTCTGTCCACTGTGCAAGGCGCTAGGTAACACATTACTGCCTATCGTCTGGAAAGGCAAGAAGGAATCGTACCCTGGCGTGCTTCGTTCGCGTGAACCGTTTGAATCCATTTCACAGCACGGTCAAGATCTTATCAGCCAGTTGTGTGAACAAGTCAAACCGAATCCGACGGACGAAATTCCTGGCTCTTTTGGCGCTGCTGAGCAGGCCAGCCAAGATCTGCGACACGATGATCCTCATCTAGCCGTGTCGGATTTAACGGAACTGAAACGACTGTATTTCCGATTCATGACGATTATTAAGTTACGAAATGGACGCATCATCACTGGCCCGGAAGACATGCATCTTCGATGTGCTTTGGAAGAACTTTTCGACATGTATGCCTACACCATTTCGGCTGTGGAAATTGCCCAGCGCGGGGTCAAGGAGTCGAGTGCCAAGGATTTGACCGTCGAACACACCGGTACCTTCCTAGACGGCATTTCCACGCAAACCCAGATGCTGTTGAAGGTGCTGTCAAAGACGAATCGCGTCCTGCCGCGGATGGTGGAGCCGCTGTACAAAGTCAAGGAACGCCACGCTCTCAGCCGATTACAACTCAACGCGTTGATGCAAGTGTTCCCGTCGCCCGATTCGGGGAGCATGGAGGATGACGGTAGCTACATGCCGTTGTTGGCCGATGATCCTTTCCGAGTGTTCAATATTCTCAGTTTCACATTGACCGATGACACCATGGATATCCATCACATTCTTCGACTGCTTTACCTTGCTGAACTGGTCAAGGTGACCATGACCCTCCTCCAGAAACTCCCGGAAGAAGAGTTGCTGAAGGATGCCAAACTGAGCGACAAGTTGCGATCGCTGCAACAACGCCCTCTGCACGGTGAACAAGGGCCACGTGGATTTGCTGCATGGTTGATGGGATCGCTGGACGTACCTGCTTCTGTAGCACAGCAATTCTTTGACAAAATTGGCGGCAATGCATTTGCGGCCATGGTGCGCACATTTACGTTACCTTTCCTTCGAAAGTGTCTGTTACTCATGGTGGTACATCACGGTTTTGTGCTGCAAAACCCGCAAGACGCCAAGCATTTGATCGCAGATAACGAATATGATCGTCTCGTTGAAATCATGGGACTGCCTGATTTTGAAAGCGTTTTCAACGTCTCGACACAGGAACAATCGCTGATTGATCACTGGTGCCGCGATTTCAACCTGCGGGTCAAGCATCAAGATCCCTTGGGTGAGCCTGTACGTCTATCGTTGAACTTGCCAACTGTCTATTCTTTACTGTCTCTGCCGTACCGTATGGACCAGCTGTTTGACGAAAGTCTGCGGCGTGCGTGCCGAAATTGCGGCACGTTGCCCGAATATCCCGCCCTCTGTCTCATGTGTGGCACCTTTGTGTGCTCTCGACGGTTCTGCTGTTCCCAAAATGACATGGGCGAGTGCAACACGCACATGTTACTGTAAGTATATGCACGGACAACTATTGAGATGAGCTCGAAACTAATGATTGCATAACACCCTGAATAGTTGTGGCGGTGAAGTCGGTATCTATATGGTGGTAAAAGAATGCTTTGTCTTGCTACTCCATGACAATGGTGGCACGATTATGAGTGCGCCCTATTTGGATACACACGGTGAAGTTGATTTATTCCTAAAGTAAGTGTGCTGGCATGGATGTGTATGTTTTCACGTGGATTGATGAATTTGAATGATGCATAGACGTGGTACACCTCAGTATTTGAAACCCAAACGGTACGAGCAGTTACGAGAACTCTGGTTATCGCACTCTATCCCAGCATTTGTACGAAGACGAATGGAGACGTCATTAACTTACACACGATGGGAATCATGGTAAAAAACCCATCTATTTTTGTACATCTTTATATCCCAACCAAAAAATTTACAAACGATCTTCTCCCCGCGTTTGCTATTTGAAAGTGATCATCACAAGCAAAAAAAAAAAAAAAAAAGAATAAACAAGTAGAAAAAAAAAATGGTGTAAATTGTATACATTTTTTGCGTGAATATAACAAAACCATGTTTGGAAAGGATTGGATCAGAAACCTTGAGAGATTTTGAGTGAGTTGAATGACCCGATAGTGGCAACAAAATCTCATAAAACTTACAGCATTGACAATCAAACGGGCAATCGGGTGTATCTAAGACGATCAATCGCCGCAACCAAACAAAAATCAGGACGTGAGAGACAAAGAGAAAAAGATAGCCATCAACCTACCTCCTCCTTCGCCTATTCGCAGTTCCTTTACGTCAAAAATGGGATAACCATCTTCAGTCATGCGCTCTTTGGGAAAGGAAAAAGAAATGCATGTCAATTACGGTTCATTCATAAAAAAAAGTGCATTCACAGGGAAAGGCAACATACTGGATTTCTTTCCTCGAGAATCTGCAAATCCATCATCACCGTCATCATTTGTTTTGTGCGGTGCAGGTCGTTTGTTGCTTTTCTTAACAGCCGCCAACTCGGCAAAGACGACTTCTTCGACTTTCTGCTGTTCTGGTTCTTCGTCACTTTGGTCTTCTTGTTCTTCTTCGTCTCCGTCACCAGCTTCTTTCTGAACCTCTTCTTCGGCCATCTTGGCCTTCTTTTTGGCCTTCTTTTTGGCCGCTTTACTCAATGCCGCTTCCTTTTCGGGTTTGGTGCTTGACGCGATGGTCTTGGTCGCGAAAATATCGTCAATTTCCGACGCCGCCGAGTTTTTCGAGGTTTCTCCAGCTATCGTACAAGCGAGAATGTGAGTATAACAATGAATCGCAGTCTAATAAACTCCATTTTAAAAAAGCCATTACTTTGCTTTGCTTTGGGCATGATGATGGGATTCTCGTTGCATAAGTTGGACAATCGGGTTCAAAAAAAACCCATTTGAAATTGGATACAAGGAAAAGCAGTCTCAACGGCCCAATCACCAGAAAGTCCATGCCTTTTTCTCTGTCCAACCATTGTCATGGCTTTCTCGCACAGGCGCATGAATCTTTCCCGGAAGCGATCCGGAGTATCCCTGGTCCGGACTCGGGACGGTCGCTTTGGCCCGGCAATCTTCTGAAAAGCTTCACTTGGATGGCGCATGCCCACTGGGCGGGATTTGCCCATTGCTAAACTGCCGGTCGTTTCGGGCGCTGTTTTGACGAGCAACAGCCGGTGGTGTGGCAATCGCTGTAGCCCCTAGCAACTTGGTTGCATGGCACCAATTGTCCAAGAAAGAGACATGCCCTAGCTGTTGCCCTTCTTTTCGTCAATGCTATGCAATATAATAATGAAGAAACCCTCGCACCAAGTCATATTTTCAAGGTTCAACTGAAAATGCATAACACTTATTAGGCTATCAAGCGTGTTTTTGAGAGTAGCATGAAGCTCACATGTTGTTTTTCGAGATCCGGTGCCCTCAGCTCCTTGGACAGATTTGGTAACTGGAATCACCACATCATTTTTTTTTTTTTTTGTTTGGTATCACCCTTTTTTCAGTAACTTTTTACTTGCCAGCATTTTTTCCCATTACACGACCTATTTCGTTTAACCCTTAGCCCAGCGCCAATTTGTACATCATTAACAGTTTTGGCCATACTCAAATTTGGATAGAAAAAGAGATAAACAAAATTGAGCGATTTGGGGCGAATGGGGACCGTTTTAATTTATACAGGGTAAGCGGGAGTGTATGACATTAATCGAATTTGACCAGTGAGGGATATGAAATAGTGCACACATGATGAACGTACACATCGACGTAGAATGGAAATAGCTTCAAGAAGAAGCAAACGACGCAGCTGACGTATTCGATGACAGCGAAGGCGGCCTTGAGATACGTTTTGATAAAAGGGCTGCATTACGTGCCAGTTGGTCTAATTTGTGCTGAACATCTGGATGGATATGATATTCTCGACTCGTAATTCGTGCCGGAATAGTGATGGGACCCTTGCTATGGCGTGAAGATACAAAAGGTTGCCAGGAAAGAGGTCGTTCAGAACGCAAGGCTTTCACAGTGTTGGGAGGAAGGGGTGGTTGCCAGGAAGTAGGTCGCGGGGATTTCCGATAGAGAGGTTGTGTGGAAGCCATGCTGGACATCAAAGGATCCTCGTGTGTCATGTCTGAAGATGGGGTAGGTGGGCTGAAAACGGTATGGATCCGAAAAGAATGAAACAAAAGGTAATAAGAAAGAGGGAATTAAAAAACTAGTGTCCGGTTGACTGAGTGAAAAAAGTCGTTGAAAAAAAAAGGCAAGTGGGGTGGTCTTAATCAAGCCAATTATCATCGAAATCAGGAAAACTTGGACTAGGGTTCGTTTATTATTTTGGCAACGGCATCTGAACTCAATGACTCTTCTGAATATTATTTATTGTGGTTGTCACACTTGGAAGCTTGGATGGGTTTCTGCGTTCCTGAGCGGGAGAACCGAATCCGCACACGCGTGTGCAACCATTGTATTTCCATGACCGACAGGTTTGGCCCTGCGGTCACCAGTGACGCCTCCAAACACACACACACCCCCCCCCCTGAAATGCATGTGGGGGATGTGCCAAACTTGGGCCTGTTTTTATTTATTTACCGGAATGTGTAAACATGACAGCATTGCCACCATCAGCCACACCACATGAATCATTCGATTTTACATTGGCATTATGCTTGTATCCAGTGATGACGGTGTTCATTAACCAATCATCGGGCTTACCATCTTATTGCCCCTTTTTTTGCTAGAATTCACATGTAATATCTACCTTCATCTATCTGCAATTGCGCCTAGTTTTCGGAAACGCCATCAACCGAATGGTAATACCTTGCTAGCAGTCGCCGTGATATCAACTCCGCAATACTGTAACCAGCTTGTTGGGCACGATTTGATATTGGGGATGATTCACAGGTAGTTTCGGTATTTTTTTAACCTGTATAACAGGTTGATTGGGCCAAGGCGCAATATGAAAGATATACAGCACTACAAAACGTTGAAAATGGTGTTTATATCATATGACATTCAAATAATACTGTGAAAGCTCCTTGAGAAAATCGGAAACGGCAGCACCAGCCTCATGTACGTTTTAGGAATTTTTTGTCTGATGCTTTTAGTAAATGGAATGTTTAATAAGCTGGTTGGATCGAGGTTCGAAAATCCTGGACATGGCCAGCTGAAAGCAAACAAAAAAAAAATTCAATTGGAAAGCTGGAAAGAGGATAGAAAGGGGATGGAAATGACCGTACCCAATCTATGGACCATGAGTTAGCCCAGTAAAAATTTGCACTTACGGCCACGGTCCAGCAATCTGGATATGGGCGGTTGAGATTCTGTCAGGCTGTCATCCGCATTACTATGAGAGACAGCAAATATTATCTTTTGCGCACCAAGAGAAATAAACACGGAACGTTACTAGTAATTCAGTGATAATGATGATCCAGAGATCTGGTCAAGACCGCCGTTCCTTTCCAGTTTCTGTGAGTCATTATCACACAATCTCTTGTCTTAAGATTTTGAAATACATAGTCGTAATAAAGCATTCTAGGAGTGCGCGAGTTTTGATGGTCATTCGGTTAACGTGATAGAAATGTATAAAGATTGAGTTAATCAGCGCAAGTCATCCATCAATAGATGGAACTTGGCTGAAATTTTAAAATTTACCATTTTCAATGCTGTTTTTGGTGTTCACAGATGTAAAAAATTAGTTGATTCTGGTAAGAAAAAACCATTGATTCTGTGGATGTAATAATTTATTGTTGGATGAAAAGGTATTTTGTATCGGATAATACTATGCAAATTTTCGTCGATGTGCTCAACACGAACCGCTTTGAATGCAAACAACATGTTTAATCTCAAAAGTAGGTTTACATATTGAATCTAAAGACTTTGGTTGAGATTGTCCTGGAACTCTGTTTTGCGGCATTATTGTTGATACAATCGTCGGGCCACATGTTTTGCAGTGAGGATGGCTTGATCTCGGTGAGAGCCCAGATTAGGTGCTACCCAATGTAACACCACGTATAACAGACATCCAAGCGGCGATTTGACACTGTCGTATGAGCTCGATCTCTCAAAAACATTTTTTATGATTGCAATGACACAAAATTGCAGCGATATCTGCTCATATATCATTCAATCACAAAAAGAAATAAGAAAATAAATAGAAAGGACACATACCTCTGACAAACCAAGTAAAACATGCTCTAAACCTCCCGATCGCCATATCTCCACTACCTTTCTACTTCTCCTCCCGTTAAACGTCCTTTCACGTATCCCTCCCCCCCCCCACTTTTTTTTTTTTCCAATGGCCAACGATAAGCAAGCGTCATCGTTAACAACCGAGACTCCAAAGACCGAAAGCGAATAGGAAAGGAATAAAAAAGACAGCGATTTCCTTTAACGCAAGTTATAAAACCTGATATGGCAAGTTTTTTCTTCGACCCTATCTTTTTTATTAAGGTTTGCTTTTGTGAACAACGTTCCGCGCGTCTATAATTTGTCTGTGTGTCCGCATGTTTGACTCTGTATTCAAAAAATTGTTCATTTTACTGTTTATTATTTCACCAAAGGAATAAGCACCATCACTCACTGAGTTGCTTAATCAGAAAAAACACCGCGCCACCCAGAAAAACGCACCAAAAAAAAAAAAAAACCAAACAGGAGGTTCTTTTAAGACAGGACTTGAATAGTCCCCAAAAGATGGACTATCCAGCCAAAAACTTTACCAATATTACCAATATTACCAGTTTTCCCAACAAGGATGGCCATGCGGACCTCATCTGCCGCGCAACGTATCACCAACCATGAAAAAAAATAAAAATAATAAGGTAAAATTAACATGGTTAGACATTGCATTTCCCTTTTACTTTTTCATATCATTTGATGGGTGCCAAACAATCCAAACGATCTGTCAAGACCGCCCCGACTAAGCCTCGTCCTCGTTCATACGTCAACACCACTTCCGCCAATTCCGCCACATCATCAGGATCTCCGAGCATGGTCATTGAGGGCCGAACTTACCACAATGTCGAATCAAGTTCTTATTGTTTGCCACGCGATGAAGAAGAACAAGATCGTCTAAATTCTGTAAGCCTTCTTTTTTTGACCCCGAGAAAATCCTCCCGCCATAATACATACATTTCTCATGATTTTATATTTTTTTTTCTTGGTCTTACGGGAATAGCAACATTTTGCATTGAAAGCATTATTCGAGGGGTAAGCATATACATATATATTTATCGATCAGGAAACGAACAAGGGCCATAACCTCATAAACTTTTTTTTTATTAATTCCATCATTTTTGCAGTAACATATTACCATCGGTACAGGAACGATTACCTGCAGATGCGAATATCCTTGATATGGGTTGTGGTTCAGGCTCCTGGGTCATGGTAAAACAGAAATGACAGTCGTTTGAGTGGAATGGATGGAACAAAAAAAAAAAAAAACTGATAGAGAAACAATGGTTTGATTGGATAGGAAATGGCGATTGAGAATCCCGAAGCACGTGTGACAGGCATCGATATGGCTGACATTTTCCCTACCACCATCCGTCCAGAGAATGTCCGATTTGAGATCGTCAATATCCTGGACGGCTTACCTTTTGAAGATAATACCTTTGATTTGGTGCATATGCGATTACTTGTAGCTGCGCTGCGAGTGAATGAATGGCCTCGTGTTTTAAACGAAATTCATCGTGTTCTGAAACCGGGAGGACTCGTTGAACTTGTTGAATCCGATTTTACGGTACCACAAACCTGTCCTGCAAAGAAGTGAGAAAAAAAAAGTGGCCTGCATTTTTGACGGATACGTCCTTTTTTTATTTTTTAGGAAACCGAACAAAGCCCGAAAATCCGTCGATTCATATCCGCATGTAAGACACGCGTGTGTCTTGTTTCACTGCAGCGTAATTCAACTAATTTTTTTTGTTGCATTTTAGTTTTGGAAACCATGCAGGAACGTCAACAAGACCCATGGATCTCTCGAAAATTGTCAACACTATTGCAAGATAGTTCATTTGAAGTGCTACAAGATGAACTGAAAGAAATCCATTTCGGTAACATTTTTTTTCTGCCAAATTTTTTTGAACGTTGCGCAAGTCAAGGGAAAATAACGGTTTTTAACCATTTGGGGTTTTTCATTTTAAATAGGTCCTGATCAGAATGCTATTGCCACGGAAATCCTGTGGGGATGGAAAGAAGCCATGAAAACGCTCAAACCTCTCCTTAGTGCGAAACTGTGTCCGAACAATGAAGACTATATTGCGCTGGTCGATGACTACATCAAAGACTGCATCGAGAATCGCTGGTTCGTTCGATGCGTCGCCGCCTCGGGTCGAAAAATATAAATTAAAGCAGCTCAATTTTTGTATTGCAAGCTGATCTAGAACCGTTTTATAACTGATCAAAAAAAAAAAAAAAAAAAAAAAAAAAAAAAAAAAATACCATGACTAGAAAATGAATCATCAGAAGTTCATTCAAAAATATCCAATGTCTCTGACTTTAGTTGGTTTACGTCGATTCAAGTGAATTGCAGTGTCTCAAGACTTATCTCTCATTGGACAGATCGTCCGTTAAGATCACCGTGATTCGGGCGATGAACAACACAGTTACTGTAGATGTATATGGAAAAATAATTCTTGAGTTCAGAGCGAACCAGCAAGTATGATGCTCAAAGGTACTTTGACGATGGTTAATTAAAGTGGAAGGTCATATCTATACTGTACTTCTCTCACTATAGAACGCAATAGCCACTGGTTCATGAGCTAAAATGAGGCTCTGAACTCCAAGTTGGCATCCAAATTGGGGATATGATTTGACTGTCACGTATGATGGGTCCTGCATAATATGAAAAGCATTCTCAAGGTTGCCACTTTGGAGACCATGCTTGCTGTCATGGTAAATGCCACTTTAAGTTGAGCTTTTTTTTTTTTTTGTGGGCAAGTTTCAAAAGTGGCAATTCAACTCCGCTCCGCCTGTGGACTGGAGAGAAACTACGAGAATCAAGTCAATTCCGCAGCGCCATAACTTATTTTCTTTTCTCTCTCACTGGTTCTCAGTAATATTGACATTATGGCAATTAATAACGATGATCATCCGCAATCGGAACTGGATATGCTCGAACACGCCATGAACTCCATGATGCAGGGAACCTTTTCTTTGCTTTTCAAGAATTTGCTCGATCCGTCCATTTTCGACGATCGCCAATTTCCTGCGGCCATGGATCAAGCTCGGATCACCAATGGCGAACCCTTGGTAGAGAGTGAAGGAAGCGACTTTAGACGTATTGCCCAGAAAGCTCGGAGACAGCGGAATCCGGACGAGTCTACGGAGGCTCCCGAAGAGATCGTGTCAGCTGCGGGCCATACCTGGGGATCGGACAAGGACGTGCCCGTCGGGTTCCCATCGCTGTCGACATTGTTCGCTTCCATGATACCCAGTGACAATATGGTAATTCATCAGTGCATTTATGCATACACTTATCTTGAATTTAACTTCCAAACACGTGTGTGAATTGGCAGACTTGGTCATCTTCGTCAACTTCCACGCGGTCTGTTGTGCATCCGGATGGAACCGAGGAAACCACGACTGTGCAGTCGCGCAATGGTGTGACAGAAACTATTAAAAAGGTGCGATACCCGGATGGGACGATCGAGGAAACACGACAAAATTCAAGCCAGCCTTCACCTGCAGTGACCATGCAACCCAACAGTGATTTTGGACAGTCCCGAACTTCCAATCACGAAGACCCGCCAAAGTCAACATTTTCCATCAGTCAGCTCTGGAACTCATTTTTCCGCTGACCTTGAAATCTTCCCTGTCGTGCTTTGCTTCGTCATTATAAAAACTGTAAATTTTGTATTGCTATTACTGCATTTGTCTTTGTTTCTTTTTTTCAAACCTTTTTCATCATGTCTGATAAAAACAATGCTGCCGCTTATAATCATCAGTTTGCCGAGGTGAATGGCATCAAGATGCACTATGTGGATGAAAATCCCTCTTCGCAAAATGTGCTTTTGCTCTGTCACGGTTGGCCGGACCTGTAAGTTGTGCAAAAGATTACGCCTTGTTGCAGTACGCTTATCAGTTTATCATAAACCTCGCTACGGTGCGTTTCCTTTAGTTGGCTGGGTAAGTCACTTTTGTTGTCCCGAGTAAAAGTAGTCGTTGTACTGATTTTGGTGAAATGAACAGGCTGGCGTGAACAGATCTTCTTTCTAAGTCAACTTGGTTACCGTGTCATCGTCCCTTCAATGCGCGGATTCGGTGGAACGGTAAGCACGACCGAAAATGAACAAGAGTCCTTGTTTTGGATAACAAAGTGGGCTAAGCATTTCTTTTTCGGTCAAAGGAATCGCCTGCGGACCCGGAAAAGTACGGTATGGGCGTGGTTTGCGCCGATTTGGTTGCATTATTGGATCATCTGCAAATTCCTACCGTCACTGTGCTTGGTCATGACTGGGGCGGTGTCGTGGTCTGGCGTTTTGCCCAGTTCTATCCTGAGCGCACCCACGCTGTCGCCAGTTTCTGTACACCTTACCTCAAACCAGAAACCCAATACGTTCCTTTGGAAGAACTCGTCAAGAAGGTCCCCAATTTCTCGTATCAGCTCTACCTTACCACCCCTGAAGCCGAACAAGAGCTCAATGAAAATGTGAGTCTTCAATTTTGCTGTCATCCGTACTATTTTCTCATCGGATGCTGATCAAAACACGGTTGTAGACGGAAGCTTTCTTTATCCGTTTACTAAGACCCATTGGTGAGACTACCGAGCGATTCCTCGATAGAGAAACGATGCGTTTGGTAGCCGGTCGCGGTCCCATGGCCAAGTGCGATTCGTTACCCGCATCAGTGCTTGACTACTACGTTGAACAATTCCAAAAGACCGGTTTCCGAGGTCCCCAAAACTGGTATAAACAGTCCAAGAGAAACTTTGAGCAATGCAAAGGTAACAGTGATTCGTCGGATGGAATACATAATACGCGTCATCCGCGTCATACGTGGGATGATAATGACTAATCGACCTTTAAAATACAGATCTTGACCCTATCATTCGCAAACCATCCTTGATGGTGGCGGCTGAACTGGATCCTGCATTACCACCTGCAATGACCGCCAAAATGCCCGAATACGTCCCTGACCTTGAAATGCACATTGTCAAAGGCTCAGGTCATTGGCTCCTCTGGGAAAAGCCCGAGGACTGCAATGCCATTTTGAAGGAGTGGCTCAATAAGGTCGCTCCTGCTTCCTCGAAAATTTAAACCAATACCGAGATGAAAGACAGAGTAGGATAGCCGCCGTTTTTGGGGGAAATAAATCATGGCTTGATTCTTTATTTCTAGCTCAGCGTAAATGCGCCTGCTGCCATGCATAAATTTCGTTCAGTGAATTGCACTTTATAAATCGGGGTGTGCTTGGTGGGTAAGACAGCCATATGATCCGAACTGGACAGGGAAGAAAGAATAGGAATGATCAGTAACAAAGATATACCGACGCACTGTAATGTCAAAAAAAAAACCTACCTTTCTATGGTGCCAGTTTCCCGCTTTTCTTCTATTTTGGATTTTGATTTGGCGTCCTTTTTCTTACTTGAATCCGTCTCTTTATCATCCACTCGTATTCGCTTGGCATCTGTCTTTGAACTCTCTGCATTGCTGAGGCTTGACACATCCTTGTTAACGTCCCATACCCGCACGGTGCCATCCGCTCCCCCGGAAACAAGCACATTGCTATCCGAGCTAAAGTCGACCGAATAAATAAAGTCGGTATGTCCCGTCATCGTCTTTAACTTTCGTCCCGAGCCAAGATCCCATAAAATAATTGATCGATCCTCGCCTAAGAGAAAAAAAAAAGAGTTGGACGAGGTTGGTCATATATTCTTTTTTCCCTAGTTTTACCAGCAGAAGCCATTAAACGTCCATTGGGAGAGATGGCTACGGTTTTAATGGATCCTTGATGTCCAGTGAATACGCGCACACATGTCCCTCGCTGAACATCCCACAATCGTGCGGTTCGATCTGCAGATCCCGTCACAATATATTTCGAATTGGGATGAAATTTGACAGTCTGTACCACCCGCAGAAATAAAAAGAAAGTGTCAGACGGGCATGCATAAATGAACCAACACAGGCTAACTCTGCCTACTTACATCGACATCGGAAAGATGACCGGCAAATATGCGTAATGGATGGACGCGATCACATGTCCACAACCGAGCTGTTCGATCATGCGACGCCGTGGCAAAGTAGAAACCCAGAGGGCCAAAATCAACATCCCACACAGGATAATTATGGCCCTTGTAACACACCAAGTTGTCGAATGTTTCTGTACTCCATAATCGGACTAGAAATATTCCATTCAGGAGCAGTATGTTGAATATCTGATCCTAGCATGAACGTATAATCCCCGGTTTACCTGTTTTATCTTCGGAACAAGAGATGAGATATTCGTTATCGTAACTAAAACTGACCCCATACACTGGCCCTGCATGGGCAATTAATCGTTTGGATGAACTGGCTTCACCGTTTTCCTCAATGTCTGTAATCCATGTAAGTTTGTTTGTAAAGATGCGTTTGATTCCTAAGATGCGCGTGCATGTTTTACCTCTAGATACCGCGTCAGACGGATGGTGATTCCGTGACCTTGATCTCAATTTTTCTCCCTTTAGGCTCCAGATTTTAATAAACGATTCTGAAAACCCTCCCGCAATTAAACTCGCATCTTGCGTCATGGAAAGACAATGTAAACTAGAAATTGAGAACCATCGACTTGATTAGTCATCAGAACCTCAGATAACCCACTTTATAGTTAAACTTACTTATCATGAGTGTTGTAAAAGGTATAAGCGCAAACGCTGGGTAACGCCGCGCTGGTGAGTCTAACTTTCTTGCCGAGTTCCTTCAAGGTGGCTATTTCCGCTTCCACATCCATACCACCCCTAACAACAGAAAAAAAAAAGGCATGATCAAAATGAGGCCCTACATTGAATTTCGTGATTCGCAAACTTACTGGTGCGGAATGGGTACATCCGGAAGTGATGGACTGTCCGCCGTGTATTCCTGCTTCACCTCTTTCAGACTATCCATCATCACGGTATCTTCATACATGCTACTGCTCTGAAAAAAAAAAAAGAACAACCGCCCAAGATGTAAACCACGCATCCATCTCATCTCCTGCCAGATATTGTTTTCCTTACCTTGTCTATGCGTTGTCCATCCTCACGATCCTGCAATTCGTGATCGGTCGCTGCTCCGGTATCGTCTTGGGGATGTAAAGTTGATCGAGGCTGTGGTGTGTGACCGAGGATGCCGACAGGACCGCGTACCTCCAATCCGCCCGCGGATTTGAGTTTATCCTGTGTGACTGATAACGATCTCAATAGATCAACATGGGGTATGATGCAACGTAGTCAAATCGAGGATGAAATTTACCTTGTATGTTTAAATGTTGATTATAGATGCGGAGTAAGAGCCTAAACTTGTTGTCTTGGAGATAATTGACAAGTAATTCCAATGGTACTGCGGACAATTGTAGGTGGTATTTATTGTTCAGGTAAAGTTGAGCAATGGCATTGTCCTGAACATGTTGAGGATCGATGAGGGAGGCGAAAGTGGTGATATCGGAAGAATGGGTGGCCATGTGATCTTGCTTGAATGTCTCCATAAAATAATGTGCTGTAGATCCGTTTAGTCATTACCAGATCAAGTATGCGACTACTCCAACTCACCTTGTTCACTCATGTTATTCATGATCAAATCGAGGTACGAGTAGACAAACATTGGAAACAACACGAAAGCGAGTTCGGGCTGTGACATAATTTCAGGTAAACAGATTTAGCCACCGGTTCAGTAGTGCAGGTTGAACTCGTTTTTCTACCTTGTAAATGTCCAGAGCATTCTCGACCCATTCCCGTAAGCTTCGGTAGCTGTTGGCGTAGGCGTCTGGATTGCCTTGTTCGGCGGTGGCCATGAAGCGCACATAACCCGGTACATTTTCGGTAGGGTGCAACTCTTGCCGAATTTGCTCCAGGCTGACGACGTGACCTCGCGCAGTGTGCGACGTTGTATCGGGCCGTCGATAACCTTTACGTTGAAAGTAGGCTGTCATGATCTGGTCCAGATCGGATTGCGAAGGCTGATGGGCTAGTGGGGTCGCGTTCTGCCATTGCGTTGAATGCGGTTCCACCGATGCCCGTGCCTGATCGAGGAAATGTGTTCCGTGTTGTGGAGGAGGGCCGGCCATGCTATTGCTGAGACGATCGTTCAATGCCCGATGGATTCACAGGGAATATTTGATATATAAAAAAAAAAAAGGAATTCCAAGGACATGCACGGCGTCCCTTTTATCTCTGTCTAAAAAAGGCAATCCTATGCCCATTGCGTCATCAACCAATGTGCAGTTTGTCTGATTGGGAAGATCATTCAATGCTTTGTTTGCAAGTGTACGGGAAGAACAACACTCAAGCGCTTCCTAAGGCCGAGTCTTTGGTCCAAACTTCAAGGAGGTTTTTACTTAATGTGTTTCTTAGTACATTGATGCAAGATCTTCATAACCCCTGTGATGGAGACGGGAAAATATGCAGAATATGAGCTGCCGCCCAAGCGTTGGCTAAGGCAATGATCCTAACCAAAGATACCACTTCACGATATGGCGAATGGACATTGCCTAGTCACTTGTCTTTCCTGGTGCGAAGAACATGAACAACTGAAAGACTTCGCATGATTTGTGGCATATTGAGAGTATTATTGCCGTGAACGATGTATTCCATTTTTGCAAGCCAGGACTTTAGACATCGATTGTTTTATCAAGGAATACTGGAGAATAACACCGAAGACGCAGGTTTTTTTTTTGTTATCGCAGATGGACAGCATCGACGCCTCTGCTGTCAACAAGGGTTGTCTGCAAGAACCCTTTTTTATACCAGCTAGATGTTAAGGTTGCTTCCAAATTCAATTCTTCATCTATTTCTTTTTTAACTTATACAATAGAGTGAATGGTTGGAAGAACAACCTTTTCTGTAGAAAATTCTCATAAAGAGCATGTGCCTAGAGACAGTAACATCTGTGGCAGGATCTATAATTTAACCTCTTGTCTTTTCTCAAGACAGTGTTGCTACCCAGTGGACCATGCGAGTCTATTTAAGCTGCAACTTCTGAATATCATTGATATGGACTGTAGGCTATTCTTCAGCGCAAATTAGTTACGGCCGTTACGTATACAAAATTCTCAAGCATCACATCCAGTGATCCAAACTCTAGAGTCCAATACAGTGATCCCATGGCCTATGGAACAAATGAACAAACTTGTGAGGGCGATGAAAATGAATGCGAAAAACTTCATTGGAACAAGTTGCGGTGGTTTTGCTACATCAAGTGCCCACAGCACCCTAGAGAATTAGTTCTTGCAGCCATCGTCAGCGTGTTTAGCACCGACACCCCGGAATTGAACTAAGTGTTTGCAGGTGTCGGTAGCACCCAATTAAATGACCGTTCGTTTTGTCCAAAAAACCATATTCGGTGAACTCGATACGAGAAATCCAGCAGTCTGCCGCGGTACCTTGTTTTTCAATTCGATTCAAGCGTCATATCCATAACCGCTGGTTATGTACACGAACAAGTGCATATCGAACCATCTCAAAAAAAAAAATTGCCAATGGAAGGGCTTATTATTACAAATACAATTGCGATCGTTTCCCGCCTGACCATGAGCTAAAATGAAACCCGATTTTTTTACTTTCTTCTGCTGACTTGCTATCTCGACGGACGGACTTGACGGACTCGCGGAGTTGTGGTAAGGAAGGTGGCTAGAAAAGGCAATTTCCAACTTTTGCGGTCTTGCTTGGATCGGTTCGGCCAATGGCATCGTGGGAATTGTCGTGTAGCTTCGGCAGATAACAAAAAAGAATCCAGCAAAGAACAAACGCCGTTGTTTTTGTTTTTTATCTTTCTTTGATTTCTTTATTGTATCGTCCAAGATGTCTGCTGCCGTTCGTTCGTTATCCAGCCGTTTGGCTCGTTTTGCCGCCTATGAATGTACCGCTGATTTATCCCATCTCAGCACCCACGAGCGTACCGCCATTACCAAACTTGTCAAGGCTGGCAAGCTTTTTGACCAGATTTACTTGCGTCAAGCCTGGTCCGGCAATGAAGCTCTCCAGAAGAAACTTCAACAGCAAGGCAGCAAGGAACAAGTCCTGTTATTTGATATGTACAAGGGACCTTGGGTGAGTTTTTGAGGGAGATGTGGTGCAGAAAGAGCCACACGATTTGCTCACACGTTAGATCTCGGTAGGCTATCGAGGACGACAATGTGCCTTTTATTGATGGCGTGCCTCAACGTCCTGAAGGTGGTAATTTTTATCCTGAGGACATGACCAAAGACGAATTTGAAAGCTGGCTTCAAACTCTGGATGGTCCACAGCAAGCTCAGGCAAAGAGTTTCTACACAGTGATCCGTCGCAAGGACGATGGGTCACTCCACACGATTCCATTTTCTCAAGAGTACAAGGATTTGTTGACTTCCGCGAGTGAGTATATGCGTGCGGCAGCCGAGGATCTGAAAAAGGTGGAGAAGAGTGCCGACCAAAAAGGTACCAGCATCGACGAGTTCTTGAGTTCGCGTGCGGCCGCTTTTGAATCCAATGATTACGTGCCTTCCGAACTGGATTGGTTGCGTTTGGGCAAGTTTAACAAGCTGGAAGTCACCGCGGGACCTTACGAAGTGTACACGGATGCCATGCTGGGCTACAAGAGCGCTTACGAGTTCTACGTGCACGTGCGTGACGAACACTCTTCCCAGTTACTGGAAAAATTCTCAGACTTGCAATTCGTCGAGGACCGTTTACCTATTCCGGAAAATTACCGTAACAAGGAATTGGTAGCGGCCCCGATCGTCGTGGTGAATCAGTTGTACTCGGGCGGCGATGTTGCGGTGCCCATGACGGCAGCTTATAACCTGCCCAACGACGAAGAAGCTATCAGACAAGGTGGCAGCAAACTGGTCTTGATCAAGAACGTCCAAGAGGGTAAATTCGAGCATGTCTTGACCCCGATCGCTCAACAAGTCCTGGCCAAGGAACAGTTGAAGTACCTGACCAGTGAAGCTTTCACCACACACATCTTGTTGCACGAAGTATGCCATTCCAACGGTCCCCATCATACCCTGGACGGTCACACGGTTCGTTCCAAGCTTCAGGAATTCCACTCGGCCATTGAAGAGGCCAAGGCTGGTAAATTACTTTTATAATATTTTTATTCTTCTTATATTTTGGAGAACCTAACCCGAGGCTGACATGAATTTTATGACAGATATTGCTGGCTTGTTTGCTGCCCATCTATTGGTCAATCACGGTACCATTGATAATGTCAAGAGCGAAGAATTCTGGGTCACCTTCTTGGCGTCTGCTTTCCGCAGCATTCGATTCGGTATCCAGGAAGCTCACGGTCTCGGTCAGGTAAAGGGAGCAAGACATGGGCAATGATGGGAATACACACTTACCGCAAATTTACTAGGCTTGCCAATTGAATTACCTGATTGAGAAGGGTGGTTTTGTGTGCGATCCTTCCAGCAAACTGTTCAGTGTCAACTTTGACAAGATTGAAAGTGCGGTGTCTGATTTAACCCGCGATATCTTGATTCTTCAAGGGGATGGTGACAAGCAAGCTGTGGCGGATTTCGTGAAGCGATATGGACAAATTGAAAAAGATACCAAGGCGGCTTTGGATCGTATTGAAGATGCCGGTAAGTACACTTTAAGGGAAAAACCTTGCTGCACGCTGGGGGAAAAAATGTTTACACTAAATTTTCTTATTAGGTATTCCTGTGGATATTCGTCCCATCTATCCTATCGAAAAGGAGCTGTAAAAAAATCCATATCACACAAACAAGCAACTTCATTGTCGTTTTATCATCCACATTACTTTTTATTTATAAATATTTTTGCTTGGCGTACAAACTCTAAAAACAAAAGCTTATATTCGTGAAATGGGTTTCTTGATTTTCTGTATTTTCTTGTATTTTCTGAAAAACCCTACAATGGATGTCTATTTCTCGGTGAAATTAGGAACGGCAAATTTCCACCGTGTTACTTGACACTTTTTTTTGTTCACCCCCTGATTATTTGCGTGTTCTCTGCAATGTAAACATTGACATGAAACTTGGTTGTTCACACGTGCAGTCGTCGCGAATTTTGATAGGAGGATTGGCATAATCTGGCTGGTTTAACAAGCTTTGGGGGCATGGTGACACAAAAGTATACACGAAAAAAAAAAAAAAAAAAAAAAACGTTGGATCTTTACAAAACTCTTGCAACTGTCATGAGATGAAGCAACTCCAAGCAAAAAGGGAGAACATGTGTATCAAACATTGTTAACAATGGACAGTTTAGCCACATTAGCCAGTGCTCACGCGCATTATTTGTTTATTGTACAATTACGCCAACGGAACATTGAGGAGTTGAACCACATCATTGCCCAATTTTGATCTAGACTTTTTTGTCTATTGTACCTCGGTTCAAAGGTCAGAAAAAATGATATGAACCACACCAAGTCATTACCAAGGAATCGATGGCATGTTTCAAGGAGATCTTCTGTTTCTGTCTATCTTGATATTATTATATAAGTTGGTCTCGATGGCATCATCGCGAAGAAAAAATCATGCCAACTTTTAACCGGCCGTACAGGCCACCCTGTCATGTATTAAAGATTGATTCATTTCTGAGCGGCCTGTTTGACTTGATAATCACAACAATCTATGCAAAATAGTTTACGAAATATTGGTATTGCTACTCGGTCAAAAGTTTTACACAATGATTAATCATTGGTCGGTCTTTTGCGCAGTGCATCCAGAGTACTTTTTCTATTGTCGCCTTGAAATGATGAGGATTCAAACCGGACTTGAAAAAGGAATGAGTGCGACGTTGGTGGTTATGCATGGTCACGGTCGGGATGCAGAAAAAGCTGCAGCTCAGGTGGCACCACGTGAGAAGCGTAAAAATGCGTTGATAGGCTCGCCCTGCACCTCGACGTGATTGTAAGACTATCTATGGCACGGTTTTTATCGCCGAGAACCGTAGAAAGAGAGTGTTTTGCCGGGCTTGGCATCCTTGATTGGTCAGCCTAGTGAGGGCGTGAGTTTTGTGCAAGTGAAAATGAGCAAACTATCTATCTCTGTTTGGGACAAGAAAGAGATCCGCACAGACATGTCAAAATAATCACATGCCTATCTTGAAGCAACTCTATATTTTTCTATGCATATCCTTCCTGTTTTACACTTTTTGATAATCCGGAATCATGTCCACTGACAAAAAATCCAACTGCGCAAAAAGGAGGTTAGAAGGTTCTGTGCAGCAAGATTATAGATGTTTTGGTATTTTTAATTTTTTTTTTCCCTTTTGTCAAACAGGAGCATTCCGGGTATCACGTCGAAAACTAAAAAGACAATTAGATCCACACAGAGACAGTGGTTATATCGGATACAAGGAAATTAAGGATGATCCAGAATGATGTATGGTAAAACGACAAAATAAAGTGGATGATGCTTGATGACACGAAAATGAGAAATTGCACGCCAAAGAATGAGGCGAACTTGACATTGGATGATTTCATTAACACACGCAACCACACACATATACAAGCTTATATATCGTTTCAAAAAAATCTGGCCCAGTCGTTATGATTTCCTTTATACAGATAGAGCAGCATTTTTCTGAAGCATTGATCTCCGATGCTGCCATCTATGGGGAAAAAGAAAGCTACCGTTTTCTCACGGCGTGAACCGGCTTTATTTAGTTTTTTTCTCTTCCTTTGGTCTCGCGTAAAAAATCGCATTCTTTTTGTCTTTTTAGGGGATTAGTCAAAGACGACATGGTTTTAGATTCGTCAATTTTTAGTGACCTGCATGGGTCCATGTTTCTCTCTTCCCATATAGACCGGTCAAATCTTGACCGCTGCCTGCCTTTTTATGAAACCGGGCAAACTGCATGTTGGCATTCATCTGATTACAAAAAAGAAATCTGCCGCTGTCCAATCAAAGTCTTGGCCTGCGAAAAACTTCTTTCCAGTTACTCGAATCGGCGTTTTATTGCTTAAAAAAAAGCTTTTTTTTCTTGTGCAGTGGGATCGTCCCTGCGATTGGTAACGTAATGTGTAACCATGGAAGAGCATGGTCTGTCCATCTTGTCGGCTACAAAACGGCTTTCTTGGATCAAATACTCATTTAAACCGCTTATTTCATAACGAAGCATCGATCATATTGTTTATTGGCAAGAGAATATCCTGTTCCAACCACGATCCCTATTGAATGACAATAGGTTATAACCTGAAAATCCCCAGAGATCATTTTAAACTTTTTTGAAGGTCGATGTTTTAAAAAAAACACAATATCCGGACCACTGCTTGAAAAGGGAAGATCGTCTCACCCGATTTCAGAAGGCGATTTTCCAGATGGAACGACGATTGTCACACATTGAACAGTGACAATAAACTCATCACAAACAAAGAATAAAGAAAAACATTCATTTCGCACGCTGAAATGATGGCAAAAATAACATAACAAAAATGGGTTTTTATGTATCGAAATGTTGGGGGTGGTGTAGTGAAGTTTTGATTCCTCGGATGGTGATGACTTTCGTCTTGATTCGACAAATAATACGTCGAATGATAACAGTGTTTTTTTTTCTTTTTTTTTTTTCATAGGGGAGGGCGAGGGAGTTCCAAATATTCCTCAAAACACCGAGTTACTCCAATCATTTTATATATAAAGCATCTAGCCTCTTGCTGGTTCCCTGAAATTTTCCTTTTTTTTTTTCTTCTCTTCATTGATAGTACTTTTTCTTCGTTTTTGACCAAACCTTTTTACACTTTTTTTTTTAACGCGCAAAGCCTTTTCTAAAAGCATCCACTTCTTGATTTGATCAATTAATCATGCCGTCTCTTTTATTTTCCACCAAATCGTTCTTTCGCATGAATGAAAAGCAACAACCGTCGTTGCAAGTGTCCAGGCACACCACCGAGTTGGAAAACCAACTGAAACAAGGTTCCATTGCTGCAGCGATTCGGTTAGCTGCGTTGGCTGAGCCGAAGCATTTACTTTCAACCGTCACTGGGCCCAGTTGTCAACAATGCGATACGTCAGCTGGCTACTATTTGACTGCATTGCGTCTCGTGCAGCAACAGGACTCGGTTCGTTACGACGGCGATATGCTGGAATTGGTTTGGTTTAGTACTCAGGCGGTGTTGGAACATGGCGCATTGACCCATCCTTGGTTCGATCTGTACGATGAATTACGTGAATTATCCAAGACCTTGAAAGAAGACGATCATCCTTTGACGGCTTTCAGTGAAGGATACCGTCAAGCCATTCAAATCCATCTGTACAACTGTCGCGCTCGTGTTCAGCATAATTTGGGGGAATATGATAAGGCTATTTCGTACTATCGCAAGTGTGTTAGCATTCCGTCCACCACCACGTTTAATCGGGAACGTTTGCTACAGCAATCAGCTCAGCTGACTT